CGTCAGCAATCTATGTTTAATATTTCTATGATATTGACGCAATTTGGAAGAAGTATCTGGTTACACATTCATAAGAAAAAAACTATAATTTACTTCGTTTTTCTAGCAGTTGCGTCTCTAAGCATTTAATTACTAACTTGGCTACAAAAATTGGAAAGACTGCACAAATTCTAGCACAGAATGGTCTTTATTAGTTCTTTGAATATACAGGAAAATGCAAAATCTGCAAAAAAAATTCTCTCGTTGGCTTAGTGTAGTGATCTGACATTGAAATTTTTGAATTTGATGTGCGAGCAAATGATTATGTAAACAAAGTATCTTTCAAGACACTCGTTCATGTAGTTTAACTCAGGATGTATTTCGTACATCGCGTATCTTCATATTCAAGCTGCATTTAGAAATGCTATGTACAAGTATTTTGTCAAACAATCTTTTACAGAAGTAAATGTATATATCTACCTAAAATATTTTTATAAAGAACATGATTATAAATGTTCATTTTACGTTCCAGTGATTAACGATTGTGTTTACATTTGCAACATCCAACCCTATTTTGAATTTCAAATTTTGATTATTGCCACGTATAATGCTTGTAAAGACGCAATATATTGATCCCAACTTTAAATAAGAATTTTGGGCATTTCTGGATTAAATTATTGCATTACTTGACAAAGTTGATAAAATACTAATAAGGTTAGTTTGGATTGGTTTACTGTGTTCGTATATTGGAAATCATCAACATGAGAAAGTGTGAAAATTATTTCTAGGAACAGCTTCTTATGTTTGTGATTACATTTTTTAACAAAGTTGTTTCCATCTTTTATATATGATTATATACGGCAGTATTTTATCCTTATTGTCAATTTCAGTTAACTTTTCAAGTGGCGGTTGCCAAGTTACTTTCTAATTGAGTTGACAAGTTTTGTACTTGAGTACGAAAGTTGTGTACTTGAGTACGGAAGTTGTGTACTTGAGTACCGAAGTTGTGTACTAAAGTTGCAAAGTACTGGCAAACGCAAAAGGTATTTGTACCCTGTAGACATTTGGCAATGAATCCGTTCAGTAAGCAAGGAAAAGCTTTACCAATCGAAGTAAGAAATGAAATACTTGAAAAGTGGTTAAATAACGAGCGTTTGACAAACATTTCGAAACAACTAAACCTACCGTATAAGACTATATCAAATATAATAGATCTATGGGTAGACACTGGTTCTATTGCACCTCGCCAGAGCGAACGTGATGTTCGAACCACGCGTACAGATGACGTTATTGCATACGCTGAATATCTAAAAATTAATAAACCATCTATTTACGCAAAAGAGATTCAGCAACACCTAGAAAATAACAAAGTTTGCCTTCCAGCAAACGTACCTAGCAGGTCATCCATTAGTAAAATTTCGAAAAAAGATCTTGGTTACTCTTACAAGGTAATAAGAACAGCCGGACGTTATGGAGAAGTTAGAAGCTTACGTAGCAAATATTTCATTGATTGATTGCAACCGTATGCATTTCTTTGATGAGTCGTCTGTAGTTGTTACGAGTGGCAACAGACGTCGAGGGCAAGTATGCAGGGTACTCCTGCATTTAAAATCCAACGATACTCTTCTAGTGCCACATTTACTGTAAATTTTTTACATAATGTAAACGGCGTATCGCATTATAACACTCTTAGCGAGCCGTCAACGGATTAGAATTGCTAAAGCTTTTCCTCGCTTACTGAACGGATTCATTGCCAAATGTCTACAGGGTACAAAGACCTTTCGCGTTTGCTAGTACTTCGCAACTTTAGTTCACAACTTCAGTACTCAAGTACACAACTTCAGTACTCAAGTACACAACTTCAGTACTCAAGTACACAACTTCAGTACTCAAGTACACAACTTCAGTACTCAAGTACACAACTTCAGTACTCAAGTGCACAACTTCAGTAAGTACACAACTTCAGTACTCAAGTTCACAACTTCAGTACTCAAGTACACAACTTGTCAACTCAAGTACACAACTTCAGTACTCAAGTACACAATTTGTCAACTCAAGTACACAACTTCAGTACTCAAGTACACAACTTGTCAACTCAAGTACACAACTTCAGTACTCAAGTACACAACTTCAGTACTCAAGTACACAACTTCAGTACTCAAGTACACAACTTCAGTACTCAAGTACACAACTTCAGTACTCAAGTACACAACTTCAGTACTCAAGTACACAACTTCAGTACTCAAGTACACAACTTGTCAACTCAAGTACACAACTTCAGTACTCAAGTACACAACTTCAGTACTCAAGTACTTAACTTGTCAACTCAAGTTCACAAGTTCATATCGAATGTTCCATATTTGGAAATGTAGTTGGCAACATTAGAAAGTAACTTGGCAACCGCCATTTGAAAAGTTAACTGAAATTGACAATAAGTTATGGGTTTTCTTTAGGCGAGGTAGTGTAGAAATGTTTGAGGCTCTTCAACGCCAGATTTTTAATCATCCGAATGTTTTAAACAAGACAGAATCGTTGTTGTCTTTTGTTTCAATGCGTGTTCGTCACGTTTGAAATGGGTCTTATGAACATGAGAAAAATGTTTGGACTAGGAACAGTTGTTTATTCTTGTTTGTTCTTATATTTTACAGGAAAAATTACTCACTTTGTTTCCATATTTAGTTTAAAATGTATTATTATGTAGTTATATACGACAGTATACTATCGTCTTAGAATGAATATTTTCTAGTGATGTGCAACAAATGTTTTAGGTTAGTTTTAAAAGTGGAATTTTCAATGTTCCGAGTCCGTAAAATAAGTCATTGTATTGATTGATTGATTGATTAAACTTTATTAAAAAGAGGGTAACACGTGACACAACAAGTGTGAAAAACTTGTGGCCCTCAAACTAACAAACTACGAGATAAATTACAATTTAAAAACCAGAATTACACAAGACTAAAATACTAAAAAACTAAATAATAAATTATTCTATGAGCATATCTGAATTAGCTTTATCATAAAGTTTCTTTTTAAAAAGTGTAGCTGATGAAAGTTTACGCATTGTAAGAGGTAGACTGTTCCAAAATCGACTTGCAGTAGCAGCAAAAGATCGCCCACCATCATTTTGTCTCTTCGTTTTGGGTAAACAAATAGTTAAGTCTTTATAACGAGTATTTCTATTGTGGCGACTGGCATTTGTTGGTAGAATATCAATAATATAAGATGGACAGTTACCATAGAAACGTTTATGACAAATCATGGCCTTTCTAATTTCCACTTCCTTACTAAAAGGTATCCAGCCCAATTTGGAAAAGAGTGGAAAATTGTATAATTGACTTTTGAGTCCATCCGTTTGTCTTGTTTATTAAAATGTTAGTTTCTAGTTTCAGCTTGCAGTCGTAACTTAGCTTAATTGTGTTTCATGTTTGAATAACATAAACGTTAAAATTTTTGTCTGCCAGATGCATTAAATATACTGTTCACTATCTTGATTATCTTTTGTTTAATAGCGTTCATCACGAAAAGTGACGCGTTTGAAATGGCTTACATAACAACAATATGTTTCAATTTATCAACGACTAACGCTAGTATTTTGACTAACGCTAGTATCTTGACTAACGCTAGTATCTTGACTAACGCTAGTATCTTGAGTAATGCAAGTACGACGTCATCCACAAGGTAGAAATTTTACATATGTTATAAAATGAACAGTTTTTCCACAGTTAAGTGCAGCATAATCTATTATAAAGAGAACATGGTAAGGTCTTGGAAATTTTTCATATGATATTACTATTTTTAGTGAATCTTGTCTACCGGATGGTAATTATCGTCATTGGTTTTTGATTCCTGCTGTAAGATTTCTGTGAAGATGAAATATGTTTGAATTCGCTTATTACATAAATGTGTATTTTCCATAGGTTGCAATATTGACAATATTAGCATTTTTAAATCGTCGTAAGAGCTTTAAGACTGAAATGTTTAAAGGTCGTCCTGGTGTTGTTATGTAAGGAAAATATTATTGATAAATTAGAACTTGTTTGTGGTTAAATTTATTGTTTGTTAACTTTTCTATTGGTCTTTTGTAGTCCGATAGATTTTCTGGACAGAAATCGTAACACAATTGTAACTTTATTTGGAGCAATAACTGGTTTTATTGTGTCGCTTGTATTGAAACTTTTTCAGACTCAAAGCAATCGTTGGGCTCAAGGTGAATTGTCTTTGCTTTATCTTAAAATATGTTTTACTAACGAATACAACTTTTTTATATTCGTCCATATTCTTTATCTTGCAGCATTTTTCACCATTGCAATATGCATCGAGATTGCTTTCCTCTTTTATCCAATCTTTGGATGTTTGGCTTCACATTATCGTATTCTTGGATCATTGTTAGGCTTTAGTTACAGTCTGTCGTTGTAAGTTTACAGTAATCTTGTTTATATTTCTAAAGTTTAAAGTTTTGACAACTTAAAAACGATATTTTATTTCATCTGCACAACTCGTAACTGCGTAATAAAAACTTTTTGGAAATTTATTATTTTTTATCAGCTTTTTGGTGCAAAATATTGGAAAGTATCAAAAATGTAGGGTTAGTGAAGACAATTGCTTATACAAAGATGTAATATAGCTACCAAACTTGCATCTGACTATGCCATTTTTAATTTGTAGAATATTTCTCCTGTTTTAATATTAAGAGAAATTCCAATATTTCTTTGTCAACTCTTTATCATTGGCAAATTTTTGATCGTGTTATTTAAAGAGAGAAAGAATTTTGGTCAACTATTCTATGATAAGGTATTTTAATATTTATTACAAAGTGATTTATTTATGTTTTGTTGAGTAAAATTTTAATATTTTAACAGACCAAAGATAATTCTATCAATGTAAAACTTTCATTGCCATGGTTCAATGATTATGTCAAAAATATTTTTTATCCAAGGTAACATCAATAGTCTTTTTATCACAACATGGTGCATGTATATAACTTGTTGTAAAGTTTAAGTTATTTTTTTTAATCATTTCAGACAAACACCTGACCATTCCAAAGTTTTATCATATTTAAGGAAGATATATAATCCTCATAAATGTAGGAATGATTTTACTCAAGTCAAGAAAAACAATTAAATTCCTTTAATTTCCCTAAAATTTACAGTTTGCTAACAATACGTTTTGATATGTTTTCTTCAACGATTTTATAGATTTTAAATTTTCAACTCATACTTCATCTGTGTTGATGGTTTGTTCTATATTTCTATATTACGTAAGTTTTCATTTCGTATGTTTCTTCCAGCTTGCTACTATAGTTTTCGATGTTTATATGGTTGAGGAATGATGAATGATTGTTGTAAAAAATTCAGTTAAATGTTATTAAAAATATTTTGCGAAATTCGAAACTTCTTTTTATTATCGCTGCAACTGCGAGCGTACGATGTAGAAAAACATATTTAAATCATATAATAGGGTCATGTTCTGCAAGAATTAAAAGAAAAGGAAGACTGTTTTTATGACATAAACATTATAACATTAGTTCTTAATTTCAAGGTAACTCCAGTGTACGCATTGTGTACCTACGTTTTCTTTTGAAAGCAAATCTTTTTATCGTTTTTTAGGGAACAATCAGTTTCATTATAAGTGTTGCTCGATACTTTAACGTTCGCGTGCAAAATTCATTTGGTCGTGGCATTCGTGGTTGGTTCTTTTTATAAGTACAATGAATTCATTTATTATTTTCTTACTATATTTTTTTTATCAAATGTTCAATTTTTTTAGATTGCTTAATCGCAGCGTTAATTCTCACGTTTTTGTTTTGTGCGCTCTCCCTTCTTCGTTTTATGGAGAATCATAAGTAATATTTCTTTTATTTTTTTGTTATTACCATTGCACAGGATAAATGTAGAGTCGTTCTTATCTTTCTTCATTTCATTCAGAAATAACATGTTACGAATGTTTAAAGGCGATAAATCCTTCATTCCAAAAAAAATAAAATCTTCACAGTTTATGATCGTAAGTTACATCATCAAAGTAAAGATGAAATTGTTCAATTGAAGACAACATTTGACGATTTTTTAGGGAAAATGTTTGAGATATCAAAGTTTTCAAATTGGCTATTTTCTTTGGGGTAAGAAAGTTTCATGAAACATTTAACATCATTTGATATACGTATACAAAAAAGTTTTCCATGAATATACATTTAAAAGAATTGTATTTCAGGTTATTTGTTACAGTGGCTTATGTTGTTCCTTATTTGTGTACTTTTCTACTGTCTAAAGTTTCCCATTTATCAAAAATTGATTTTGACTCTTGTCGAAGTAGCAAGGTAGGTCAAAATCCAAGCAATTTTCTTTCTACATAATCTATATCGGATTCTGGGTGCGATAGGATATTGGAATTTCAATAAATGCAAGTATTTTGGATCCATTAATTTCCCAATAAATGTATTAGGATAGGACAAAATCGAATCTAGCGGAAACAAAGTTGTTAAGCTTAACGAGAGAGCCAAACATTAGATGAAAGATAATGGCGAATGTCTCCAAGAGATATAAGCTACAGCGACTTAAACAGCGTGTCATGCAGTCGGTCTTTTTCAGCTTTTATTTGTTCTCCCTTTGACTTGTTGTGTTGATTTGTTTTAGAATGAGCTGGAGTTTTTCAAGCAGTACTTTATTAAAAGTATTTTCTATCAGGCTGATGTGATTTTCTTTTCTTTGGTTACTGTGATGTTGACTTTCTTGCAGCAACTAAGTCTAATATTTGCGTTTTTGCTGAGCTCTTTTTGCATGCAGGCGGGTTAGTTGTGTTTCGACGAGGGATTCAGAATAAATGTTTTTTTTAAAGAACTCGTTAACTGAATTAAAAATATTAAAACATTTGTATTCGTTGTTTGTTTACATGTCAAATTTATGTAGTGGATTGCACAAAAAGACATTTCTTCTTCATTGTCTTGTTTTTTTCATCTTTCGTTATTTGATTGTCGTAACTGTCAACTAATCATCATGATTTGTCATTTTTTTCAGCGTTTTCTTAGCATTGGGATTATTAACATATCTTACTCTTGCTTTAACTGCTGTGGCAATTTTCCGTGATCCTAATTACAATAAAAATGTAATATCCATGAACAACAGGTGCAAATAAATGTGTAATCATCAATATATTTTTAACAAATAAATTATTATCATCAACATTTTCTCATACACAGGAACGCGTATTTAGTATTTTCATATTTTTGGTTCTTCATTGGTCTTCCCATGGGAATGTTGTCAGCATTGTCACGTATTTTAAAAGCAATGATAATTGGGCTTATCTTGTTACCAAGAGTGGATCATAGTGTTTTGCCTGAAGGTTTTCAACGATTTGATCCTGGTACGTCATTAATGTCTTTAATCACGTGATGTTTATTCATGTCAAAGACAGAGAGAGGTTAAAGTTCATTCAGTAGATCTCAAAACATTTTCGTTGTTACATTATTTAAGGTTATATTTCGTACATCGCCTATCTTCATGTTCAAGCTGCATTTAGAAATCCTATTTTACGAGTATTTTGTCAAACAATCTTTGACAGAAGTAAGTATTTTTATCTACTTTAAATATGTTTATAATGAACATGATTATAAATGTTCATATTACTTTACAGAAAATGGTATCCGTCAATGGAAATGCTCACCTCAAGCCCGCACCAGGTGGTTCCTTGCCTTAACTTTGACCCGCAATCCTGAGATCATCAGTTATCGTAAAGATAAAGAAAAAGTATTAAATGATCCAGTTCGCACGAGTTCTTTGAAAATCAATTTTCCAACTTCGGATGAAACCAACTTAGTTGTGTGAGATATAGTTATATCCACGACAACAACGTTTTAGTGAGGAATGTTAACAATTTTTGTTTTGTTTTTTATATTTACTTTCATGGTTTGATATTTAAGGAGATTGAAAATTGAAGTAATGATCAACTCACAATCCTCAGATCATCAGTTATCGTAAAGATAAAGAAAAAATTTCCAATGATAAAGGAAGCGTCAGTTCTGGTATAGATAATTCGTTCGGTTTGGAAAAAACCAGTTTAATTGTTTGAGTTATGATTGTTTGTTTCGTTTGTTATAGTTCTTTTTAATATTTACATAAATGAGAAGATGAATGAAACTAGAAATGTAATTTTCAATTTAAAATTCAAATATGACAGGTATTAGAATGAAGCGATAGAGGTATTTTATTTTCAGAAAGTCCATTAAAGTACAAGCATTTATTAAAAAATAGAAATAAAAACATTGAAACTGTGAAAGACAAAAAGTGCTAAATTCCTGACAAGAACAAAAAGTCATCATGATTTGTCACATTTTAGCGTTATTTTAGCTCTTGCATTATTGTCAAAACTTATTCTTCTTGTGACTTCCGTGACAATTTTCCGTGATCCTGATTACAATAAAAATATAATATCCATGAACAACAGGTAGAAATAAATGTTTTCGTGAAATCATCAAAATATTTTTAACAAATAAATTATTATCATCAACATTTTCTCATACACAGGAACGCATATTTAGTATTTTCATATTTTTGGTTCTTCATTGGTCTTCCCATGGGAATATTTTCACCGTTGTCACGTATTTTAAAAGCGATGATAATTGGGCTTATCTTGTTACCAAGAGTGGATCATAGTGTTTTGCTTGAAGGTTTTCAACGATTTGATCCTGGTACGTCATTAATGTCTTTAATCACGTGATCTTAATTCCTGTCAAAGACAGAGAGAGGGTAGAGTTCATTCAGTAGATCCCAAATTATTTTCTTTGTTACATTATTTAAGGTTATGTTTCTTACATCGCCTATCTTCATGTTCAAGCTACATTTAGATATCCTACTTTACGAGTATTTTGTCAAACAATTGTTGACAGAAGTAAGTGTTTATATGTACTTTAAATATGTTTATAATGAACATGATTATAAATGTTCATTGTTATACATAACAGAGAATGGTATCCGTCAATGGAAATGTTCACCTCAAGCCCGCACCAGGTGGTTCCTTGCCTTAACTTTGGCCCGCAATCCTGAGTTTATCAGTTATCGTAAAGATAAAGAAGAACGTCTAAATGTTCCAGTTCGCACGAGCTCAGTGAGAGTTATTTTGGACAGTTCAGATGAAACAAACTTAGTTTCCTCTTGTTAGCTTCATGACAACAATCTTGCGAAATTATCAACGATTGTTTTTGTTTCCTTTTATGGTTAAATAGTTTAGAAGATTGAAAATAGGAGTAATTTTGGTTTCATACCTGCAATATTATACACGTAAAGAGATTGAGGTCGTTTTTTAGTGCTCATTGAGTTAGTTAAACAAACATACATAATAAAATATGTACTTAAAAAAGTATAAGTTAATGTTTCGTTTGAAAGTTGAAACGACATGACTGACCATATAAAATTTATTCTGTTTTTCGCACGCAAAATTTTGATCTAGAGAGAACTTGTGCAAACGTCATCAAAACCATAGGAAGAAATAGACTCGAGGGCTACTTTGATTTGTATAAGTCAATAAGTCAAAGAGTCAGAACTTTATGTCAAAGTTATTCTCATATGCAAAGAGCTTGATTTCTGTTGAGTTATGAAAGTAATGAGTCATACTAGAAATAATTTGAATTTCAAAACATGAACATTTTAAATTCTTCCGACATTTTAACATCCGGCAACGCACCATTGATCATCTTCTCGTATTATGAGTTATTTTTAAACAAAAAAGAAACGCTTTACTGCTTGGCGATCAAGTTTTCATGAGTTCCAAAGAGTTTGTACAGCTCCAATAAATACTATATTAGCTGTGTATGATATGATTAATGTTTGATGCTATAGAAGCTGACATTCCTGTTTTAATTATGATTTTTATATCACCACATGCTGCATTATTTTAAAGACAAAAATTATTGTTTTAGGATACTGCTTTTACTATAAAGTGTTACAAGTTGATAAGGAATTAAGAATAGTTTAAGATGGTTTACTTCATTGTATGTTACTTCAAATCATGAGAAAATTATGATTATAATTTCGAGAAACAACTTGGCATGTATTTCTCGCTTTGCTGCTTGTATGAATGTTTTCATAGTTGGTTTACATGGTTACATCACTTGTTTACAGGATAAAAATACAACAACGACCAAATTATATCCTTCTTTTGTGGTTTTCCTGCAAGTGAAGTATCGCTAACGCTTAAGGTTTGAATAATATAAACGTTAAAATTTTTGTTTAAATATACTGCAGACAATTTCTTGATTATCTTTTGTTAATAGCGTTCATCACGAAAAGTGACGCGTTTGAAATGGCTTACATAACAACAATATGTTACAATTTATCAATGACTAACGCTAGTATCTTGACTAACGCTAGTATCTTGACTAACGCTGGTATCTTGGGTAATGCAAGTACGACGTCATCCACAAGGTAGAAATTATACATATGTTATAAAATGAACAGTTTTTCCACAGTTAAGTGCAACATAATCTATTACAAAGAGGACATGGTAAGGTCTTGGAAATTTTTCATATATTACTATTTTTAGTGAATCTTGTCTACCGGATGGTAATTATCGTCATTGGTTCTTGATTCCTGCTGTAAGATTTCTGTGAAGATGAACTTTTTTAAAACCCACTTACATTCCATACAAATGTATATTTTCCATTTCAGGCTGCAATATTGACGATATTAGCATTTTTAAATCGTCGTAAGAGCTTTAAAACTAAAATGTTTAAAGGTCATCCTGGTGTTGTGATGTAAGAAAAATATTATTGATAAAATAAAACTTGTTTATGGTTAAATATATTGTTTGTTACTGGTTTGTTAACTTTTATATTGGTCTTTTGTAGTCCGATAGATTTTCTGGACAGAAATCGTAACACAATTGTAACTTTATTTGGAGCAATAACTGGTTCTATTTTGTTGCTTGTATTGAAAGTTTTTACTTCTCATGACAATCCTTGGGCTAAAGGTTATTTTTTATTTGTCTTAAAATAAATGCAATAATGAGGAATATGTATTGTTGACTTCGTCCATAATTTTCTATCTTGCAGCCTTCCTGACCATTTTAATTTGTATTGAGATTGCTTTTCTCTTTTATCCAATCTTTGGATGTTTGGCTTCACATTATCGTATTATTGGATCATTGTTAGGTTTTTGGTACAGTCTGTCGTTGTAAGTTTACAGTAATCTTGTTTATATTTTCTAAGCTCACTGATTGCTATGTCTTCACTAGTTGGAGCAAACACTACCGTTTACTTTATTAATTCTACATCTTTTAGTTTTTGTGGCTTTGTTTTGTCTAACCTGCTCTCGTGGCTACGTAATAATAACCATTTTGAAAATGTTTAAATCTTTTCAGCTTCTTGGTTGAAAATATTCAAAATTTTGAATCTTATCCAAAGTGCAAGGTTGGTGATGAAAATATTTTTAGGGAGATGAGATATACATATTTTTGATCAATTTTGAAAGTGCAACGCTTCTTCAATCTACTTTACAGGGTCATACTCTTCCTTATATATTGGAAGACATTCCATTAATTCTTTGTCAATTATTTATTATTGGCAAATTTTTGATCGTGCTGTTTAAAGAGAGAAAGAATTTTGGTCAACTATTCTATGATGAGGTATTTTAGAATTTAGTACAAAATGATCCATTTATAATTTTTTCATTGATTAAAATTTTAATATTTTTACAGACCCAAGATAATTCTATCAATCTAAAACTTTCATTGCCATGGTTCAATGATTATGTCAAAAATATTTTTTATCCAAGGTAACGTCACTAGTCTTTTTGTCACAACATCATGTATATATAACTTGTTGTAAAGTTAAAGTCGTTTTCTCTTAATCTTTTCAGAAAAACACCAGACCACTCCAAAGTGTTATTATATTTAAGGAAGATCTACAATCCTCATAAATGTAGGAATGATTTTACTCAAGTCAAGAAAAACATTTAAATTCCCTTAATTTTCAAAAAAATTTACAGTTTGCTAACAATACGTTTTGATATGTTTTCTTCAACAATTTTATAGATTTTAAATTTTCAACTCATACTTTATCTGTGTTGATGGTTTGTTCTATTATTTTATATGCCGTAAGTTTTCATTTTGTATGTTTCTTCCAGCTTGCTACTATAGTTTTCAATATTTATATGGTTGAGGAATGATGAATGATTGTTGTAAAAAATTCAGTTAAATGTTATTGAAAATATTTTGCGAAATTCAATGCTCTTTTTTATTGTCGCTGCAATTGCGAGCATACGATGTAGAAAGACGGATTTAAAACATATAATAAGGTCATTTTGTGCAAAAATTAAAAGAAAAGGAAGACATTTGTTTTTATGACATTAACATTATAACATTAGTTCTCAATTTCAAGGTAACTCCCGTGTACGCTATGCGTACCTATGTTTTCTTTTGACAGCAAATCTTTTAATCGTTTTTTAGGCAACAATTCCTTTTATTATAATTGTTGCTCAATCCTTTAACGTTCGCAACCAAAATTCAACTTTGGAAGACGTTCTTCATGGCATTCGTGGTTGGTTCTGTTTATAAGTACAATGAATTCATTTTATTATTTTCTTACCATATCATTTTTATGAAACGTTTAATTTTTTTAGATTCCTTAATCGCAGCATTTATTCTCACGTTTTTATTTTGTGCGATCTCCCTTCTTCGTTTTATGGAGAACCATAAGTAATCTTTCATTTATTTTTTGTTATTACCATTGCACAGGATAAATGTAGAATAATTCTTATTTTTCTTCATTTCATTCAGAAATAACATGTTACGAATGTTTAAAGGCGATAAATCCTTCATTCCAAAAGGAATAAAATCTTCACAGTTTATGATCGTAAGTTAAATCATCAAAGTAAAGATGAAATTGTTCAATTGAACACAACGTTTGACGATTTTCTAGGGAAAATCTTTGCGATATCAAAGTTTTCAAATTGGCTATTTTCTTTGGGGTAAGAAAGTTTCATGAAACATTTAACATCATTTGATATACGTATACAAAAAAAGTTTTTCATGAATATACATTTCAATTAATTCTTTTTCAGGTTATTTGCTACAGTGGCTTATTTTGTTCCTTATTTGTGTATTTTTCTACTTTCTAAAGTTTCCCATTTTTCGAAAATGGGTTTTGAATCGTGTCAAAGTAGCAAGGTAGGTCGAAGTCCAGGTAATTTTCTTTATACATAATCTATATCGGATTCTGGTAGCGATAGGATATTGGAATTTCAATAAATGCAAGAATTTTGGATCCATGAATTTCCCAATAAATGTATTAGGACAGAACAAAATCGAATCTAGCGAAAACAAGTTTGCTAAGCTTAATGAGAGAGCCAAACTTTGGATGAAAGATAATGGTGAATTTCTCCAAGAGATATAAGCTACAGCGACTTAAACTGCGTGTCATGCAGTCGGTCTTTTTCAGCTTTTATTTGTTCTCTCTTTGACTTGTTGTGTTGATTTGTTTTAGAATGAGCTGGTGTTGTTCAAGTAGTACTTTATTAAAAGTGTTTTCTATCAGGCTGATGTGATTTTCTTTTCTTTGGTTACTGTAAAGTTGACTTTCTTGTAGCAATTAAGTCTAATATTTGCGTTTGTACTGAGCTCTTTTGGCATGCAGCCTGGTTAGTTGTGTTTCTACGAGGGACTCAGAATAAATGGTTTTTTGAAGGAACTCGTTAACTGAATTAAAAATATTAAAAATTTTGTATTCGTTGTTTGTTTACTTGTTGAATTTATGTAGTGGATTGCACAAAAAAAACATTTCTATTTCATTGTCTTGTTTTTTTTTCATTTTTCGCTACTTATTGTAACTCTCAACACCAATCACAATAATTTGTCATTTTTTCAGCGTTTTCTTTGCTGTGGGATTATTAACTAAACTTACTCTTCCTTTGACTGCTGTGACAGTTTTTCGTGATCCTGATTACAATAAAAGTATAATATCCATGAACAACAGGTAGAAATAAATGTTTTCATAATATCATCAAAATATTTTGAACAAATAAATTATTATCATCAACATTTTCTCATACACAGGAACGCGTATTTAGTATTTTCATATTTTTTGTTCTTCATTGGTCTTCCCATGGGAATATTGTCAGCATTGTTACGTGTTTTAAAAGCGATGGTAATTGGGCTTATCTTGTTACCAAGAGTGGATCATAGTGTTTTGCCTGAAGGTTTTCAACGACTTGATCCTGGTACGTCATTAATGTCTTTAATCACGTGATATTTATTCTAGTCAAAGACAGAGAGAGGTTAGAGTTCATTCAGTAGATCTCAAAACATTTTCTTTGTTACATTATTTAAGGTTATATTTCGTACATCGCCTATCTTCATGTTCAAGCTGCATTTAGAAATCCTACTTTACGAGTATTTTGTCAAACAATTTTTGACAGAAGTAAGTAGTTATATCTACTTTAAATATGTTTATAATGTTCATAATTCTAAATGATCGTTATACATAACAGGAAATGGTATCCGTCAATGTAAATGTTCACCTCAAGCCCGCACCCGGTGGTTCCTTGCCTTAACGTTGACCCGCAATCGTGAAATCATCAGTGATCGTAAAAATAAAGAAAAGATTTCAAATGATCAAGCTAGCGTCAGTTCTGATATAGATAATTCGTTCGTTTTGGAAACAACCAATTTAACTGTTTGAGTTATGATTGTTTGTTTCGTTTGTTATAGTTCTTTTCATATTTATATAGTTGAGAAGATGAATAAAACTAGAAATGTAATTTTCAATTTAAAGTTCAAATATGACAGGTATTAGAAATTTAGAATGAGGCGATCGAGGTATCTTATTGTACAGAAAGTCCATTAAAGTACAAGCATTTAATAAAAAATAGAAATAAAAACATTGAAACTGTGAAATACGAAAAGTGCTGAATTACTGACAAGAACAAAAAATAGACAGTTGTGGGCCGTTATTCGTTATTTTGGCCATTTAAATAAGATGATTGAAGGAAGATTGAACGGTAAAAGAAACGTAAGAACAAGGATTGAAATCTTCATATTTTTTAAAGAAAATATGTATGCTGTCGTGAAAAGAAGGTTCGATCCGAAAACAGAGTTTTTATGGTTGTAGTAATTCACTTCACCTTCTTTTGGTTGATGGAATTATGCAGCAATTGTCACTGCAATGGCCGATTTCTTTGATAAATGCTATGACTTGTTTTCAGTTAAATTTTATTGTGTTAAAGTTTCCTAGTTATGGCATCATTCAATCCTAAGCTTATTTAACCAGTCTTAACGCTATTCATACGTCAGTAATCTATGTTTAATATTTTTATGATATTGACGCAATTTGAAAGAAGTATCTGGTTACACATGCATAAGAAAAAAACTATAATTTACTTCGTCTTTCTAGCAGTTGCGTCTCTAGCATTTAATTACTAACTTGGCTACAAAAATTGGAAAGACTGCACAAATTTTAGCACAAATTGGTCTTCATTAGTTCTTTGAATATACAGGAAAATGCAAAATCTGCGAAAAAAATTCTCTCGTGGGCTTTGTGTAGTGATCTGGCATTGAAATTTTTGAATTTGATGTGTGAGCAAATGATTATGTAAACAAAGTATCGTTCAAGACACTCGTTCATGTAGTTTAATTCAGGATGTATTTCGCACATCGCGTATCTTCATATTCAAGCTGCATTTAGAAATGCTATGTACGAGTATTTTGTCAAACAATCTTTGACAGAAGTAAATCTACCTACAATATTTTTACAAAGAACATGATTATAAATGTTCATTTTACGTTCCAGTGATTAACGATTGTGTTTACATTTGCAACATCCAACCCTATTTTGAATTTCAAATTTTGATTATTGCCACGTACAATGCTTGTAAAGACGCAATATATTGATCCCAACTTTAAATAAGAATTTTGGGCATTTCTGGATTAAATTATTGCATTACTTGACAAAGTTGATAAAATACTAATAAGGTTAGTTTGGATTGGTTTACTGTGTTCGTATATTGGAAATCATCAACATGAGAAAGTGTGAAAAATATTTCTAGGAACAGCTTCTTATGTTTGTGATTACATTTTTTAACAAAGTTGTTTCCATCTTTTATATATGATTATATACGGCAGTATTTTATCATTATTGTCAATTTCAGTTAACTTTTCAAGTGGCGGTTGCCAAGTTACTTTCTAATGTTGCCAGTTACATTTCCAAATATGGAATATTCGATATGAACTTGTCAACTTGTTGAGTTGAGTTGACAAGTTGTGTACTTGAGTACGGAAGTTGTGTACTATAGTTGCAAAGTACTGGCAAACGCGAAAGGTATTTGTACCCTGTACCCTGTAGACATTTGGCAATGAATCCGTTCAGTAACAAGGAAAAGCTTTACCAATAGAAGTAAGAAATGAAATACTTGAAAGGTGGTTAAATAACGAGCGTTTGACAAACATTTCGAAACAAATAAATCTACCGTATAAGACTATATCAAATGTTAGTCTGTAGTCGTTACGAGTGGCAACAGACGTCGAGGGCACAGTATGCAGGGTACTTCTGCATTTAAAATCCAACGATACTCTTCTAGTGCCACATTTACTGTAAATTTTTTACATAATGTAAACGGCGTATCGCATTATGACACTCTTAGAGAGCCGTCAACGGATTAGAATTGCTAAAGCTTTCCTCGCTTACTGAACGGATTCATTGCCAAATGTCTACAGTCTACAAAGACCTTTCGCGTTTGCTAGTACTTCGCAACTTTAGTTCACAACTTCAGTACTCAAGTACACAACTTCCGTACTGAAGTAAACAACTTCAGTACTCAAGTACACAACTTTCGTACTCAAGTACACAACTTTCGTACTCAAGTACACAACTTTAGTACTCAAGTACACAACTTCAGTACTCAAGTACACAACTTGCCAACTCAAGTTGACAAGTTCATATCAAATATTCCATTTTTGGAAATGTAGTTGGCAACATTAGAAAGTAACTTGGCAAACGCCATTTGAAAAGTTAACTGAAATTGACAATAAGTTATGGGTTTTTTTAGGCGATGTACTGTAGAAATGTTTGAGGCTCTTCAACGCCAAATTTTTTTCTTCCGAATGTTTTAAACAAGACAGAGTCGTTATTGTTGTTTGTTTCTATGCGTCTTTGTCACGTTTGAAATGGGTCTTATTAACACGAGAAAAATGTGTGGACTTGGAACAGCTTTTTATTTTTGTTTGTGCTTATATTTTACAGGAAAAATTACCCACTTTGTTTCCATATTTAGTTTAAAATGTGTTATGATATAGTTATATACGACAGTATACTATCGTCTTAGAATGAATATTTTCTAGTGATGTGCAATAAATGTCTTCGGTTCGTTTTAAAAGTCGAATTTTCAATGTTCCGAGTGCATAAAATAAGTCATTGTATAATTGTCTTTTGCGTCAACCTATTTGTCACCTTTGAAAAATATTCTTTGTTTTGTTAAAGTATACGGCATTATTGTAGACAGATATGACGAATTTCTTTACAAATGCTTACAATGAAATTTTAGCTATAGTTTTTCAATTTAGCAATGAATAATTCAAGTTCGTCATCCACAAGGTAAACATGTCTGTACTATACTCATGTTATTATATCAAACGAATGTATTTCTAGTATTATAAAGTAATGTCAGCTAGACACATATGTTAAACAATCTTTGCAAAACAATTTCTACTATTCATAGTGATTCTTGTCTACCAGATGGTAATTATCGTCATTGGTTCTTGATTCCTGCTGTAAGATTTCTGTGAAGATGAAATATGTTTGAATTCGCTTATTACATAAATGTATATTTTCCGTAGGTTGCAATATTGACGATATTAGCCTTTTTAAATCGTCGTAAGAGCTTTAAGACTGAAATGCTTAAAGGTCGTCCTGGTGTTGTGATGTAAGAAAAATATTAATGATAAATTAAAACTTGTTTGTGGTTAAATTTATTATTTGTTAACTTTTCTATTGGTCTTTTGTAGTCCGATAGATTTTCTGGACAGAAATCGTAACACAATTGTAACTTTATTTGGAGCAATAACTGGTTCTATTTTGTTGCTTGTACTGAAAGTTTTTACTTCTCATGACAATCCTTGGGCTAAAGGTTGTTTATTTTTTATTCGTCTTAAAATATATGAAATAATGAGGAATATGTATTGTTGATTTCGTCCATAATTTTCTATCTTGCAGCCTTCCTGCCCATTTTAATTTGTATTGAGATTGCTTTTCTCTTTCATCCAATCTTTGGATGTTTGGCTTCACATTATCGTATTATTGGATCATTGTTAGGCTTTAGTTACAGTCTGTCGTTGTAAGTTTACAGTAATCTTGTTTATATTTTCTAAGCTCACTGATTGCTATGTCTTCACTGGTTGGAGCAAAAACTACCGCTTACTTTATTAATTGTACAGCTTTTAGTTTTTGTGGGCTTGTTTTGTTTCACCTGCTCTCGTGGCTACGTAATGACAACCATTTTGAAAATGTTTAAATCTTTTCAGCTTCTTGGTTGAAAATATTCAAAATTTTGAATCTTATCAAAAGTGCAAGGTTGGTGATTAAAATGTTTTTGCGAAGATGAGATACATATCGTTCATCAATATTGAAAATACAACATTTGTTCAATCTCCTTTATAGAGCATTTCCCTTCTTTATGTTGTCGCAGACATACCAGTAATTCTTTGTCAACTATTTATTATTGGCAAATTTTTGATCGTGTTGTTTAAAGAGAGAAAGAATTTTGGTCAACTATTCTACGATGAGGTATTTTACTGTTTGTTATAAAAAGATTTATTTATAGTGTTTTGTTGAGGAAAATTTTGATATATTTACAGACTAAAGATAATTCTATTAATGTAAAACTTTCATTGCCATGGTTCAATGATTATGTCAAAAATATTTTTTATCCAAGGTAACATCACTAATCTTTTTATCACAACAAAGTTTATGTATATAACTTGTTGTAAAGTTAAAGTCATTTTCTTTAATCTTTTCAGAAAAACACCTGACCACTCCAAAGTTTTATCATATTTAAGGAAGATATATAATCCTTATAAATGTAAGAATGATTTTAATCAAGTCAAGAAAAATGATTAAATTCCTTTAATTTCCCTAAAATTTACAGTTTGCTAACAATACGTTTTGATATATTTTCTTCAATAATTTTGTAGATTTTAAATTTTCAACTCATACTTTATCTGTGTTGATGGTTTGTTCTATTATTTTATATGGCGTAAGTTTTCATTTCGTATGTTTCTTCCAGATTGCTACTATAGTTTTCAATGTTTATATGGTTGAGGAATGATGTGACTGTCTTAATGTATACATGTTTTTTGTTCTCAAATATTTTGCAAAATTTGATTATCTTTATTATTGCCGCGAGCGTACGATGTTGAAGAACAGATTGCAGTCGCATGATTGGGTCATGTTACTGCAATTGAATTAAAAAGAAAAGAATGAAGAATCTTTTATAACATTCATTAACATCATTTGTTAATTTTCAAGGTTACTCACGTTTACGCATTGCGTACCAAAATTTTTATCGTTTTTTAATTTTTAGGGAACAACTTTTATTATAATTGTTGCTCAATCCTTTAACGTTCGCAACCAAAATTCAACTTTGGAAGACGTTATTCATGGCATTCGTGGTTGGTTCTGTTTATAAGTACAATGAATTCATTTTATTATTTTCTTACCACATCTTTTTTATCAAACGTCGAATTTTTTTAGATTCCTTAATCGTAGCGTTGATTCTCACGTTTTTGTTTTGTTCGATCTCCCTTCTTCGTTTTATGGAGAACCATAAGTAATCTTTCATTTATTTTTTTGTTATTACCATTGCACAGAATAAATATAGAGTCGTTCTTATTTTTCTTCAATTAATTCAGAAATAACATGTTACGAATGTTTAAAGGCGATAAATCCTTCATTCCAAAAGGAATAAAATCTTCACAGTTTATGATCGTAAGTTAAATCATCAAAGTAAAGATGAAATTGTTCAATTGAAGACAACATTTGACGATTTTTTAGGGAAAAGGTTTGAGATATCAAAGTTTTCAAATTGGCTATTTTCTCTGGGGTAAGAAAGTTTCATGAAACATTTAACATCATTTGATATACGTATACAAAAAAAGTTGTTCATGAATATACATTTAAAATAATTGTATTTCAGGTTATTTGCTACAGTTGCTTATGTTGTTCCTTATTTGTGGTTTTTTCTACTGTCTAAAGATTCCCATTTTTCGAAAATGGGTTTTGAATCGTGTCAAAACAGTAAGGTAGGTCAAAGTCCAAGTAATTTTCTTTATACATAATCTATATCGGATTCTGGTAGCGATAGGATATTGGAATTTCAATAAATGCAAGAATTTTGGATTCATGAATTTCCCAATAAATGTATTACGACAGGACAAAATCGAATCTAGTGAAAACAAGTTTGATAAATTTAATGAGAGAGCCAAACTTTGGATGAAAGATAATGGTGAATTTCTCCAAGAGATATAAGCTACAGCGACCTAAACAGCGTGTCATGCAGTTGGTCGTTTTCAGCTTTTATTCGTTCTCCCTTTGACTTGTTGTGCTGATTCGTTTTAAAATGAGCTGGTGTTGTTCAAGTAGTACTTTATTAAAAGTGTTTTCTATCAGGCTGATGTGAATTTTTTTTCTTTGGTTAGTGTGATGTTGACTTTCTCGCAGCAATTAAGTCTAATATTTGCGTTTGTACTGAGCTCTTTTGGCATGCAGCCGGGTTAGTTGTGTTTCGACGAGGGATTCAGAATAAATGGTTTATTGAAAGAATTTTTTGACTAAATTAAAATAAAACATTTGTGTTCGTTGTTTGTTTACATGTTAAAACTACGTAGTTGATTGCACAAAAAATTCTTTTCTTTATTGTCTTGTTTTTTCGTCTTTCGTTATTTAATTGTCGTAACTCTCAACTAATCATCATGATTTGTCATTTTTTTCAGCGTTTTCTTTGCTGTGGGATTATTAACTAAACTTACTCTTCCTTTAACTGCTGTGACAATTTTTCGTGATCCTGATTACAATAAAAATGTAATATCCATGAACAACAGGTAGAAATAAATGTTTTCATGATATCATCAAAATATTTTTAACAAATAAATTATTATCATCAACATTTTCTCATACACAGGAACGCGTATTTAGTATTTTCATATTTTTGGTTCTTCATTGGTCTTCCCATGGGAATATTGTCAGCATTGTTACGTATTTTAAAAGCAATGATAATTGGGCTTATCTTGTTACCAAGAGTGGATCATAGTGTTTTGCCTGAAGGTTTTCAACGATTTGATCCAGGTATATATGTCATTGATGTCTTTAATCACGTGATGTTTATTCCTGTCAAAGAAAGAGAGAGGTTAAAGTTCATTCAGTAGATCTCAAAACATTTTTTTTGTTACATTATTTAAGGTTATATTTCGTACATCGCCTATCTTCATGTTCAAGCTACATTTAGAAATCCTATTTTACGAGTATTTTGTCAGACAATTTTTGACAGAAGTAAGTATTTTTATCTACTTTAAATATGTTTATAATGAACATGATTATAAATGTTCGTATTACTTTACAGAAAATGGTATCCGTCAATGGAATTATTTACCTCAAGCCCGCACCAGGTGGTTCCTTGCCTTAACCTTGACCCGCAATCCTCAGATCATCAGTTATCGTAAAGTTAAAGAAAAAGTTTTAAATGATCCAGTTCGCACGAGTTCTTTGAAAATCAATTTGCCCAGTTCGGATGAAACCAACTTAGTTGTGTGAGATATAGTTATATCCACGACAACAACGTTTTAGTGGGGAATGTTAACAATTGTTTGTTTCATTTGTTATATTTACTTTCATGGTTTGATAGTAATAGAGAGTAGTTGAAAACTGAAGTAATGATCAACTTTCGAGCTGAAACATAACACTATCTATATAAGTATAGTGATAACAAGACAACAGTCTTTATTCTTCTTTTTTGATTCAATTCTACCAATAAGTGAGAAGCATTTATCTTAAATTTTTACTGATACATCTTGTTAACAATATTTTCTTGTGGAATTTTTTCAGTTTATGAAGTAAAAGATATTTTTTCCCATCATATTCTCAATACTATCTCCTTGCAACAGCTGCCATAATTGGTTATCATAGAAGCAAAGTTTAATAAAATTGAGTCACTTTTGTCTTTAAACTTTAAATCTATATTCATATTGATTTTTTTCATCATCATATCCATAGAAAATTTTGTCCATTATGTTCTACAGTTTCAGTTTCTTCATAATTCTTTTATCATCTCTATGTCGTACATCTTTGGAAACATTGTTATATTTCCAAATTTGATAATCAGTATAATCTAAAGATTCTGTAAATAATAGTTTTTGCGTAATTAAAGAACAGCGTGGGCTATTGACTACAACATTGGCTCACACCTTAGCCAATAATGAAGGTTCTGTTTTATTCTCTGCAACGTTTATCACTGTTTTCTGCTTTGTTTATACCCGAGGTGAGATGTTTCAAAATATCCATCTATGGTCTAATGTTTTCTCTTAGTCAACGGAACAAAAATTAATTCTTTTTCATAACCTAGAGCTTTTTCGTAAATAATGTGCATCATTCAAACTTTTCTTTAGTTCCACATCCTCGGACTTTAATACCCGGACTTTAGTCGGGTTTTTTTGAAACATTTCAAGCTGAGGTGGTCTTCGCCTGCTACAACCATGTTCTAACAAATATCAAAAGATTGAATGCAAAATGGAGTGTTCCTTTAATTGTAACTCTCTTCCTAATGAAATTATGAAGAAAGCAAATCCCTTTCATTGTTTTCAAGCAACAATGGCAGCTTGTATTGATGGTTGAAATTTATCTATTTATCTATGTACCCTGTAAAATGATGAACTCTTAGTGTTTTTAGCTTTCTCCAATTTTACATAGACATTCTCGTTCTCCAGTAAGAGAATTTACTGGAACGCTTTTACGTTTTGTGATTTATATCTATTTGATAGTTAAGAAATTATTTACCTGATTTGTAAGTGCTGATGTGTTTCCACTTCACATCCGAGGCTTTTTATATTCTAGTTTAATCATTTCTGTGGCAGTGTAGCAAATCTGAAACAGTGAACGTACTAATGGCCATAAAAAACTTTTGAAAAAGTTTGCCACTTAAAGGGTTACCTGTATGAGAGGCAGGTAATTCGAGACGGATAACGTAATTGAAACCTAAATGTATTAATGTAATTATACACGTGAAGGTCACTACAAACGTTTCTCATGTATCAATTTCATATTTTTTTCAATGTGTGAACTATAAATCCCGTATCAACGTGATCTGCCTTAGTGTTCTTTTTGAAAGTCTCTTTTCGAATATATCCCAAAACTTTACAAGTTTATAAAGTATTAAGGTTAGTTTGGCTTTGTTTTTACTGTGTTTGATTTCTATGAAATCATTTATGTAATGAAATGGTGTAAAATAACAGGAAACGGGCAGCTGTTTTATCCTGTTTATGATTGTATTTAGTGTGTAAACTTTTATACTTTGCTTGAATTAAAGTAGCTGCTATACGACATTCTTCTAGACAGATGTGATGAAGTGCTATATAACGAAATTTAGCCCCATTTTATTTCAATTTAGCAATGGATAATCCTAGCTCATCATCCACGAGGTAAACATGTCTGTACCGGCTCTAAAATTCGTGTTCATTTATAAATCCCCAGCAGTGATTGGGACAACATTTATTGAGAATGAAGACGCAGTAACGGTTTTGGAAAATCATTACTATATATAAATTATTATTTTCAGTGTTCATTGTCTGGTGGATGATAATTACCGCCACTGGTTTTTGATTCCTGCTGTAAGATTTCTGTTAAGATGAACTTTTTTAAAACCCACTTACATTCCATACAAATATATATTTTCCATTTCAGGCTGCAATATTGACAATATTAGCATTTTTAAATCGTCGTAGGAGCTTTAAAACTGAAATGTTTAAAGGTCGTCCTGGTGTTGTGATGTAAGAAAAATATCATTGATAAATTAAAACTTATTTATGGTTAAAATTATTGTTTGTAACTGATTCGTTAACTTTTATATTGGTCTGTTGCAGCCCGATAGATTTTTTGGACAGAAATCGTAACACAATTGTGGCTTTATTTGGAGCGATAACTAGCTCTATTTTGTTGCTTGTTGGGAAAAGTTTTCATTCTCCTAGGAACGAGTGGTGGTTTAAACGTACACTTTTCTTGTTTCATCATAGAATATATACTTATGACTATTATAACTTTTATTTTCGTCCATATTTTTTAGCACTTTTCGTCATTGTAATATGTATTGAGATTGCCTTTCTTTTTTATCCAATATTTGGATGTTTGGCTTCACATTATCGTATTATTGGATCAATGTTAGGCATTAGTTACAGTCTGTCGTTGTAAGTTTACTGTAATCTTGTTTATATTCCTAAAGTTTAAAGTTTTGGCAACTTAATAACGATATTTTATTTCATCTGCACAACTCGTAACTGCGTATTAAAAACTTTTTGGAAATTTATTATTTTCTATCAGCTTCTTGGTGCTAAATATTGGAAAGTATCAAAAATGCAGGGTTAGTGAAGACAATTGTTTATATAAAGATGTAATATAGCTACTAATCTCGCATCTGACTATGCCATTTTTAATTTGTAGAATAATTCTCTTGTTTTAATATTAAAAGAAACTCCAATATTTCTTTGTCAACTCTTTATCATTGGCAAATTTTTAATCGTGCTGTTTAAAGAGAAAAAGAATTTTGGTCGACTATTTTATAATGAGGTATTTTAGAGTTTATTACAAAATGATTTATTTATGTTTTTGTTGAGTAAAATTTTACCATTTTTACAGTCTAAAAACAATTCTGTCAATGTAAAACTTTCATTAACTTGGCAGAATATGTATGTCCGAAATATTTTTCATCCAAGGTAATTTGAAATGTCTTTATGAAATTATTGTGCGTAAAATCTTTCATAAAATTAACGTTGCATCATATTATCTTTTCAGATTACCACCTCAGCATTCCAAAATTGTATCCTGTTTAAGAAAGATCATTAATCCTCATAAATGTACAGATAATGAATTGCTTTTGCTTTTCTATAAAAATGTTTTTCTTTATACCTGACATTTTTTACAGATTATCAATATTCAACCCACACTCTTACTGTGTTGATTGTTTGTTCCATATTTTTGTTTGAGGTAAGTTTTGTGTTAAGCCCGGAATCATTGTTATTATAAAGATAATTTTGTATTGTTGTGTTTATATAGATGACTGTTGTGTTTTTGATTCTTGCTGTACATGGCTTAAATGAAATGATGCATTCGGATGGTCGACGAAATTCTTTTCTTGAAGTATTTCGTAGCGGTGCTCCTGGTTGGTTTGTTTAATGATTATCAGTATAAAGAATTGATTTTCTTGAACTTTACCATACTCTACATATTATGTTCATGTAATAAAATTTTCATTTAGTTGCCCTTATTGCAGCAGTGATTTTCTCCTCGTTGTTTTGTGTCATTTCCCTTCTTCGTTTTATGAAGAATCACAAGTAATATTTGATCATTGTTTAATATCTTACAGTGTAAATGTCAGAATCTGTCTTAACTTTATTCATCATTTCATTCAGAAATAACATGTTACGAATGTTTAAAGGCGATAAATCCTTCATTCCAAAAGGAATAAAATCTTCACAGTTTATGATTGTAAGTTAAATCATCAAAGTAAAGAAAAAATTGTTCAAATGAAGATGAAGCTTGACTATTTTCTAGGGGAAATCTTTGAGATATCAAAGTTTTCAAATTGGCTATTTTCTCTGGGGTAAGAAGGGTTTGATGAAAGATTTACTACATTTCTGACAAAGAAAAATAACATAATTTGTGGTAAATATACTAAAACAGCATTTCTATTTTAGGTTATTTTTCACTTTTGCTGATGTTCTTTCTTACTTCGGAATTCTTCTACTGTCTGAAATTTCCTCCTTTGCGTAAATATATTTTTGATTGTTTGAAGGAAATGAGGTGATTTCAAACAATTTTCTTGAGAATAAATCTTATTCTTTTTTGGTGTTTTGTTGTCTTCCATTATTTTTATTCTTAACCCAGCATTCTTTAAAATATTTCAGCATTTTTGTTGTCGTGGCAATATCTGCAATAGTTATCCTTCTGGTGACTTCAGTGACTGTTTTCCGTAATCCTGGTCTCACTAAAAATGTAATATCCACGAACAACAGGTAGAAATAAATGTTTTTATTATATCAGAGTATTTTCAAAAAATCATTCATTATCATCAACATCTTCTCATACACAGGAACGCATATTTAGTATTTTCATATTTTTGGTTCTTCATTGGTCTTCCTATGGGAATATTGTCAGCATTGTCACGTGTTTTAAAAGCAATGGTAATTGGAGGTTTAATGCTACCAAGAGTGGATCATAGTGTTTTGCCTGATGGTTTTCAGCGATTTGATCCTGGTACGTCATTGATGTCTTTAATCACGTGATATTTAGTGTTGTAAAAGACAGACAGAGGTTAAAGTTCATTCAGTAGATCTCAAAACATTTTCGTTGTTACATTATTTAAGGTTATATTTCGTACATCGCCTATCTTCATGTTCAAGCTGCATTTAGAAATCCTATTTTACGAGTATTTTGTCAAACAATCTTTGACAGAAGTAAGTATTTATATCTACTTTAAATATGTTTATAATGAACATGATTATAAATGTTCATATTACTTTACAGAAAACGGTATTCGTCAATGGAATTTTTCACCTCAAGCCCGCACCAGGTGGTTCCTTGCCTTAACCTTGACCCGCAATCCTGAGATCCTCAGTTATCGTAAAGATAAAGAAAAAACTATAGATAATCCAGTTCGTACGAGTTCTTTGGAAATCATATTGCCAAGTTCGGATAAAACCAACTTAGTTGTGTGAGATATAGTTATATCCATGACAACAACGTTTTAGTGGGGAATGTTAACAATTGTTTGTTTTGTTTTTTATATTTACTTTCATGGTTTGATAGTTAAGGAGATTGAAAATTGAAGTAATGATCAACTCACAATCCTCAGATCATCAGTTATCGTAAAGATAAAGAAAAAATTTCCAATGATATAGGAAGCGTCAGTTCTGGTATAAATAATTCGTTCGGCTTGGAAAAAACCAATTTAATTGTTTGAGTTATGATTGTTTGTTTCGTTTGTTATAGTTTTTTTCATATTTACATAGTTGAGAAGATGAATGAAACTAGAAATGCAATTTTCAATTTAAAGTTCAAATATGACAGGTATTAGAATGAAGCGATAGAGGTATTTTATTGCACAGAAAGTCCATTAAAGTACAAGCATTTAAATTAAAAAAATAGAAATAAAAACATTGAAACTGTGAAAGACGAAAATTGCTGAATTACTGACAAGAACAAAAAATAGACAGTTGTGGGCCGTTATTCGTAATTTTGGCCATTTAAAACATGATTGAAGGAAGTTTCAACGGTAAAAGAAAGAAAAGAACAAGGATTGAAATCTTCATACTTTTTAAAGAAAATATGTATGCTGTCCTGAAAAGAAGGTTCGATCCGAAAACAGAGTTTTTATGGGTATAGTAATTCAATTCACCTTCTTTTGGTTGATGGAATTATGCAGTAATTGTCACTGCAATGGCCGATTTCTTTGATAAATGCCATGACTTGTTTTCAATTAAATTTTATTGTGCTAAAGTTTCGTAGTTATGGTATCATTCAGCCCTAAGCTCATTTAATCAGTCTTAACGCTATTCATACGTCAGCAATCTATGTTTTATATTTCTATGACATTGACGCAATTTGAAAGAAGTATCTGGTTAAACATGCATAAGAATATAGCTATAATTTACTTTGTTTTTCTAGCAGTTGCGTCTCTAGCATTTAATTAATAACTTGGCTACAAAAATTGGAAAGACTGCACAAATTTTAGCACAGAATGGTGTTTATTAGTTCTTTGAATATAAAGGAAAATGCAAAATCAGCGAAAAAAATTCTCTCGTGGGCTTTGTGTAGTGATCTGGCATTGAAGTTTTTGAATTTGATGTGCGAGCAAATGATTATGTAAACAAAGTATCTTTCAAGACACTCGTTCATGTAGTTTAATTCAGGATGTATTTCGCACATCGCGTATCTTCATGTTCAAGCTGCATTTAGAAATCCTATATACGAGTATTTTGTCAAACAATCTTTGACAGAAGTAAATGTATATATCTACCTAAAATATTTTTATAAAGAACATGATTATAAATGTTCATTTTACGTTCCAGTGATTAACGATTGTGTTTACACTTGCAACATCCACCCCTATTTTGAATTTCAAATTTTGATTATTGCCACGTACAATGCTTGTAAAGACGCAATATATTGATCCCAACTTTAAATAAGAATTTTGGGCATTTCTGGATTAAATTATTGCATTACTTGACAAAGTTGATAAAATACTAATAAGGTTAGTTTGGATTGGTTTACTGTGTTCGTATATTGGAAATCATCAACATGAGAAAGTGTGAAAAATATTTCTAGGAACAGCTGCTTATGTTTGTGATTACATTTTTTAACAAAGTTGTTTCCATCTTTTATATATGATTATATACGGCAGTATTTTATCCTTATTGTTAATTTCAGTTAACTTTTCAAGTGGCGGTTGCCAAGTTACTTTCTAATTGAGTTGACAAGTTTTGTACTTGAGTACGAAAGTTGTGTACTTGAGTACGGAAGTTGTGTACTTGAGTACCGAAGTTGTGTACTAAAGTTGCAAAGTACTGTCAAACGCAAAAGGTATTTGTACCCTGTAGACATTTGGCAATGAGTCCGTTCAGTAAGCAAGGAAAAGCTTTACCAATCGAAGTAAGAAATGAAATACTTGAAAAGTGGTTAAGTAACGAGCGTTTGACAAACATTTCGAAACAACTAAACCTACCGTATAAGACTATATCAAATATATTAGATCTATGGGTAGACACTGGCTCTATTGCACCTCGCCAGAGCGAACGTGATGTTCGAACCACGCGTACAGATGACGTTATTGCATACGCTGAATATCTAAAAATTAATAAACTATCTATTTACGCAAAAGAGATTCAGCAACACCTAGAAAATAACAAAGTTTGCCTTCCAGCAAACGTACCTAGCAGGTCATCCATTAGTAGAATTTCGAAAAAAAATCTTGGTTACTCTTACAATGTAATAAGAACAGCCGGACGTTATGGAGAAGTTAGAAGCTTACGTAGCAAATGTTTCATTGATTGATTGCAACCGTATGCATTTCTTTGATGAGTCGTCTGTAGTTGTTACGAGTGGCAACAGACGTCGAGGGCAAGTATGCAGGGTACTCCTGCATTTAAAATCCAACGATACTCTTCTAGTGCCACATTTACTGTAAATTATTTACATAATGTAAACGGCGTATCGCATTATAACACTCTTAGCGAGCTGTCAACGGATTAGAATTGCTAAAGCTTTTCCTCGCTTACTGAACGGATTCATTGCCAAATGTCTACAGGGTACAAAGACCTTTCGCGTTTGCTAGTACTTCGCAAGTTTAGTTCACAACTTCAGTACTGAAGTACACAACTTCCGTACTGAAGTACACAACTTCCGTACTGAAGTACACAACTTCCGTACTCAAGTACACAACTTCAGTACTCAAGTACACAACTTCAGTACTCAAGTACACAACTTCAGTACTCAAGTACACAACTTGCCAACTCAAGTTGACAAGTTCATATCGAATATTCCAAATTTGGAAATGTAGTTGGCAACATTAGAAAGTAACTTGGCAACCGCCATTTGAAAAGTTAACTGAAATTGACAATAAGTTATGGGTTTTTTTAGGCGATGTACTGTAGAAATGTTTGAGGCTCTTCAACGCCAAATTTTTAATCTTCCGAATGTTTTAAACAAGACAGAGTCGTTATTGTTGTTTGTTTCTATGCGTCTTTGTCACGTTTGAAATGGGTCTTATTAACACGGGGAAAATGTGTGGACTAGGAACAGCTTTTTATTTTTGTTTGTGCTTATATTTTACAGGAAAAATTACCCACTTTGTTTCCATATTTAGTTTAAAATGTGTTATGATATAGTTATATACGACAGTATACTATCGTCTTAGAATGAATATTTTCTAGTGATGTGCAATAAATCGTTTTAAAAGTCGAATTTTCAATGTTCCGAGTGCATAAAATAAGTCATTGTATAATTGTCTTTTGCGTCAACCTATTTGTCACCTTTGAAAAATATTCTTTGTTTTGTTAAAGTATACGGCATTATTGTAGACAGATATGACGAATTTCTTTACAAATGCTTACAATGAAATTTAGCTATAGTTTTTCAATTTAGCAATGAATAATTCAAGTTCGTCATCCACAAGGTAAACATGTCTGTACTATACTCATGTTATTATATCAAACGAATGTATTTCTAGTATTATAAAGTAATTTCAGCTAGACACATATGTTAAAAAATCTTTGCAAAACAATTTCTACTATTCATAGTGATTCTTGTCAACCGGATGGTAATTATCGTCATTGGTTCTTGATTCCTGCTGTAAGATTTCTGTGAAGATGAAATATGTTTGAATTCGCTTATTATATAAATGTATATTTTCCATAGGTTGCAATATTGACAATATTAGCATTTTTAAATCGTCGTAAGAGCTTTAAAACTGAAATGTTTAAAGGTCGTCCTGGTGTTGTGATGTAAGAAAAATATTAGTAATGAATTAAAACTTATTTATCGTTAAAATTGTTGTTTTTTACTGGCTTTAACTTTCATATTGGTCTGTTGTAGTCCGATAGATTTTCTGGACAGAAATCGTAACACAATTGTAACTTTATTTGGAGCAATAACTGGTTCTATTTTGTTGCTTGTGCGGAATAATTTTACTTCTCATGACAATCCTTGGGCTAAAGGTTGTTTTTTATTCGTCTTAAAATATATGCAATAATAAGTAATATGTATTGTTGATTTCGTCCGTAATTTTCTATCTTGCAGCCTTCCTGACCATTTTAATTTGTATTGAGATTGCTTTTCTCTTTCATCCAATCTTTGGATGTTTGGCTTCACATTATCGTATTCTTGGATCATTGTTAGGCTTTAGTTACAGTCTGTCGTTGTAAGTTTACAGTAATCTTGTTTATATTTTCTTAGCTCACTGATTGTCATGTCTTTACTGGTTGGAGCAAACACTACCACTTACTTTATTAATTCTACAGCTTTTAGTTTTTGTGGGCTTGTTTGGTTTCACCTGCTCTCGTGGCTACGTAATGACAACCATTTTGAAAATGTTTAAATCTTTTCAGCTTCTTGGTTGAAAATATTCAAAATTTTGAATCTTATGAAAAGTGCAAGGTTGGTAATGAAAATGTTTTTACGGAGATGAGATATACGTATCTTTGATCAATTTGGAAAGTGCAACGCTTCTTCAATCTACTTTACAGGGCTATACTCTTCCTCGTATATTGGAAGGCATTCCATTGTTTCTTTGTCAATTATTTATTATTGGCAAATTTTTGATCGTGTTGTTTAAAGAGAGAAAGAATTTTGGTCAACTATTCTATGATGAGGTATTTTACCGTTTATTAAAAATGATTTATTTATGTTTTGTTGAGTAAAATTTTAATATTTTAACAGACCAAAGATAATTCTATCAATGTAAAACTTTCATTACCATGGTTCAATGATTATGTCAAAAATATTTTTTATCCAAGGTAACGTCACTAGTCTTTTTATCACAACATGATGTATGTATATATTTTGTTGTAAAGTTAAAGTCATTTTCTTTAATCTTTTCAGACAAACACCTGACCACTCCAAAGTTTTATCATATTTAAGGAAGATCTACAATCCTCATAAATGTAAGAATGATTTTACTCAAGTCAAGAAAAACAATTAAATTCCCTTAATTTCCCTAAAATTTACAGTTTGCTAACAATACGTTTTGATATGTTTTCTTTAACAATTTTATAGATTTTAAATTTTCAACTCATACTTTATCTGTGTTGATGGTTTGTTGTATTATTTTATATGGCGTAAGTTTTCATTTTATATATTTCTTCCAGCTTGCTACTATAGTTTTCAATGTCTATATGGTTGAGGAATGATGAATGATGGTTGTAAAAAATTGAGTTGAATGTTATTGAAAATATTTTGCGAAATTCGATGCTCTTTTTTATTGTCGCTGCAACTGCTAGCATACGATGTAGAAAGACGGATTTAAAACATATAATAAGGTCATTTTGTGCAAAAATTAAAAGAAAAGGAAGACATTTGTTTTTATGACATTAACATTATAACATTAGTTCTTAATTTCAAGGTAACTCCCGTGTACGCTATGCGTATGTATGTTTTCTTTTGACAGCAAATCTTTTAATCGTTTTTTAGGCAACAATTCCTTTTATTATAATTGTTGCTCAATCCTTTAACGTTAGCGACCAAAATTCAACTTCGGAAGACGTTATTCGCGGCATTCGTGGTTGGTTCTGTTTATAAGTACAATGAATTTATTTTATTATTTTCTTACCATATCTTTTTTATCAAACGTTGAGTTTTATTAGATTGCTTAATCGCAGCGTTGATTCTCACGTTTTTGTTTTGTGCGCTCTCCCTTCTTCGTTTTATGGAGAACCATAAGTAATATTTCATTTATTTTTTTGTTATTACCATTGCACAGGATAAATGTAGAGTCGTTCTTATTCTCCTTCATTTCATTCAGAAATAACATGTTACGAATGTTTAAAGGCGATAAATCCTTCATTCCAAAAAGAATAGAATCTTCACAGTTTATGATCGTAAGTTAAATCATCAAAGTAAAGATGAAATTGTTCAATTGAAGACAACGTTTGACGATTTTTTAGGGAAAATCTTTGAGATATCAAAGTTTTCAAATTGGCTATTTTCTTTGGGGTAAGAAAGTTTCATGAAACATTTAACATCATTTGATGTTAAATGTATACAAAAAAAGTTTTCCATGAATATACATTTAAAATAATTGTATTTTAGGTTATTTGTTACAGTGGCTTATGTTGTTCCTTATTTGTGGATTTTTCTACAGTCTAAAGTTTCCCATTGTGCGAAAATGGGTTTTGAATCGTGTCAAAGTAGCAAGGTAGGTCAAAGTCCAAGTAATTTTCTTTCAACATAATCTATATCAAATTCTGGTAGCGATAAGATATTGGAATTTCAATAAATGCAAGAATTTTGGATCCATGAATTTCCCAATAAATGTATTAGGACAGGACAAAATCGAATCTAACGGAAACAAGTTGTTAAGCTTAATGAGAGAGCCAAACTTTGGATGAAAGATAATGGTGAATTTCTCCAAGAGATATAAGCTACAGCGACTTAAACAGCGTGTCATGCAGTCGGTCTTTTTCAGCTTTTATTTGTTCTCCCTTTGACTTGTTGTGTTGATTCGTTTTAGAATGAGCTGGTGTTGTTCAAGTAGTACTTTATTAAAAGTGTTTTCTATCAGGCTGATGTGAATTTTTTTCTTTGGCCACTGTGATGTTGACTTTCTTGCAGCAATTAAGTCTAATATTTGCGTTTTTGCTGAGCTCTTTTGGCATGCAGCCTAGTTAGTTGTGTTTTTACGAGGGACTCCGAATAAATGGTTTTTTGAAAGAACTCGTTAACTGAATTAAAATATTAAAAAATTTGTATTCGTTGTTTGTTTACATGTTAAAGTTATGTAGTGGATTGCACAAAAAAAATTTCTTCTTCATTGTCTTGTTTTTCATCTTTCGTTATTTAATTATCGTAACTCTCAACTAATCATCATGATTTGTCATTTTTTTCAGCGTTTTCTTTGCTGTGGGATTATTAACATATCTTACTCTTCCTTTGACTGCTGTGACAATTTTCCGTGATCCTGATTACAATAAAAATGTAATATCCATGAACAACAGGTAGCAATAAATGTTTTCATAAAATCATCAAAATATTTTTAACAAATAAATTATTATCATCAACATTTTCTCATACACAGGAACGCGTATTTAGTATTTTCATATTTTTGGTTCTTCATTGGTCTTCCCATGGGAATATTGTCAGCATTGTCACGTATTTTAAAAGCAATGATAATTGGGCTTATTTTGTTACCAAGAGTGGATCATAGTGTTTTGCCTGAGGGTTTTCAACGATTAGATCCTGGTACGTCATTAAATGTCTTTAATCACGTGATATTAATTCCTGTCAAAGACACAGAGAGGTTGGAGTTCATTCAGTAGGTCTCAAAACATTTTCTGCGTTACATTATTGAAGGTTATATTTCGTACATCGCCTATCTTCATGTTCAAGCTGCATTTAGAAATCCTATTTTACGAGGATTTTGTCAAACAATTTTTGACAGAAGTAAGTATTTATATCTACTTTAAATATGTTTATAATGAACATGATTATAAATGTTCATATTACTTTACAGAAAATGGTATCCGTCAATGGAAATGCTCACCTCAAGCCCGCACCAGGTGGTTCCTTGCCTTAACCTTGACCCGCAATCCTGAGATCATCAGTTATCGTAAAGATAAGGAAAAAGTTTTAAATGATCCAGTTCGCACGAGTTCTTTGAAAATCAATTTGCCCAGTTCGGATGAAACCAACTTAGTTGTGTGAGATATAGTTATATCCACGACAACAACGTTTTAGTGGGGAATGTTAACAATTGTTTGTTTTGTTTTTTATATTTACTTTCATGGTTTGATAGTTAAGGAGATTGAAAATTGAAGTAATGGTCAACTCACAATCCTCAGATCATCAGTTATCGTAAAGATAAAGAAAAAATTTCCTATGATAAAGGAAGCGTCAGTTCTGATAAAGATAATCCGTTCGGTTTGGAAAAAAACAATTTAATTGTTTGAGTTATGATTTTTTGTTTCGTTTGTTATAGTTTTTTCATATTTACATAGTTGAGAAGATGAATGAAACTAGAAATGTAGTTTTCAATTTAAAGTTCAAATATGACAGGTATTAGAATGAAGCGATAGAGGTATTTTATTGCACAGAAAGTCCATTAAAGTACAAGCATTTAAATTAAAAAAATAGAAATAAAAACATTGAAACTGTGAAAGACGAAAAGTGCTGAATTACTGACAATAACAAAAAATAGATCGTAGTTTTGGCCATTTAAAAGTTGATTTAAGGAAGATTCGAAGATAAAAGAAACGAAAGGACAAGGATTGGAATCTTCATTCTTTTGAAAGAAGATAAGTATTCTGTTGTATGTTACCATGAAAAAAAGTCCAAAAACAAAGTTTTTATGGTTACAGAAATTTATCTCATCTTCTTTTGGATGATGGAATTATGCAGCATTTGTCACCGCAATGGCCGATTTCTTTGCTAAATGTCATGACTTGTTTTCAGTTAAATTTTATTGTGTTAGAGTTTCGTAGTTATGGCAGCATTCAGCCCTAAGCTCGTTCAACGTGTTGGTATTTCACACAAAGCGTCCAACATTAACGGCATATCTTGGTCCGAAGACAACAAGCTTGCATTTGCAACGAATTCTTCAGTTTCCATCATTGTATCCTTTCATTTTAATTACTTATGATGCATAAAGCTTTCTCGTGTCGTTCTCCTTCACTTGAAATCAGAATATCAACGGTGTTTGTATTGATGACAAGAGGAAAGAACCAAGATTAAAGTTTAAAAGAAGTTCGATTCCTGTTGATAGTAATCTTCCAAACAACGATGTAGATTACGAGTTCTCAATGGTAAAATTGACTCCAATGAGTAGCAATCCATTCTACTCTACAGCTGTCTTAGATCCCGCACTTAATCCAAATATATTGAAGACTGCAGGTTTTGATGATGTAACTTGTATAAAATGGTCTCCAGTTGGCTGTGATAGAACAGGAAGGTAAACAATCGAAAGATGATGGATTCATTGTTTTCTTTGTAGTTCTAACGAACTCTTTCCTTATAGATCTGTTCTTGCTGTACTTTTTCGAACAAATAAACTTTCATTGTACATTGCAGACAAGCAATCTCTCTATGGATGGTTTGAGGTTATTGATTTGAATGCAAAACATTTGCAAGAGATGAAGAATAATGATTTCTTTGTTGGTAAATATGTTCATTTGTTTGTTTGTTTTTATTTTATCTGATAACCAGATAAATAAAATTGTTATTTTTGAAGAAAATGGAAGCTTAAAAGGAGAATTGTGTCCTGATGAAAGGAGATCACTTGGTAAAAAGGAAAATTGGAAGGAATTCAATGAATGGCAAAGAAGAAAATATCTTATAAACTTCACCAACATGGAATGGTTTCCAGCGACTTTCAGTTGTTTGCATAAAGCAACCAACATCTCGTACAAATTTACATTTCTTGCAACAATTGTGAGAGGTTGTCAGTTGTTTGTATGGCAAGCACAGTTGCCTCTTGTGAAGAATCATAGTCATCTATACAGAGCTGTTGCAGCCAATACATTACTGTTTAATCCTTCTATTCTTGCATGGTATGGTACGACAAATACAAATGGTAAGTTTATACTGCTTGGAAATTTATTAAGGTGTTCAATTATTGTATGAAATTTTGTTGGAAATGTAATGTTTTTTTTGAAAAATCATTTGATATTCGATATTAATTGTGCAATGTGCATTAAAATATTTTCACGAGCATTAATCAAATAAGGAAGCTACTGTCAGATTTTTCTTCTTAATTACCATTTTACTGTGTGGGAAAATTTTAATTGAACATTACTTAACAACCAGGAGACATCTGGACATCTAGCACTAAGATGAATCTCTTACCAAAACGAAGAAAACTTTGTACGTGACATTTATTAACGGAAATGTCATCAATGTGTTTTTATTGCGTCATATCATGCTTAGAATGAAGTTCATTGCCTGATAACAATTCACATGCAGGGACGGACACTTGAGGACCCCCCCCCGCCATTGAACTAATTACATGAAACGCTATCTAAAGCAAATTATTGAAGGCAAATCTTACATCAGACACGCGAGATTACACGCAGACACGCGTGTGTAGTGTTTCGAGATTCTCTCGCGGAGTGAAAATTGATTGAACCACACACGCGTGTCTGGGTGTAATCTCGCGTGTCTGAGTGTAATCTCGCGTGTCTTGGTTTAATCTCGCGTGTCTTGGTGTAATCTCGCGTGTCTGAGTGTAAGATTGGCTTCAAAAAATTACTAGGTTTTTCTATTACAGGTAGCGTTCCGTGTATTTTGTTTAATGTGGCACCTCCAACTAGTCTCTGTCCCATAAGTATGTGTTGACTGTGGGTGATTGTGAAATATTACAAGAATCAGAAAAATTGGCGTTAGGAAACGTTTAAAGATAAGAATAGTGCGTCACTTTGCATTTTTTTTGTTACTTAGTCTCATATTTGGCGTGTGGTAATTCTGATGGCATCGTCAAAGTATTTTTATTGAATATTTCGTCAACGAAAATTGGAATTCCAGACATCAATATTGTAAAAGCTTACAGTTTTTGTGACGTCGCCGATGGCGTTTCAATCGATTGTATGAAGTGGTATCGCGATGTAAGTATTTTCTCAATGTTACCAACTGTAATGATTTACAAAACACAACCAAACTTCTCAAATATCTCAATATTCCTGTCCCCCGGCGCCTGAAGGGAAAAAAGTCAACTGTGCTCTATGCAGGGTGTATAAAAAAACTGAACAGTTTAAGAAAACATGGCTAAAGTCGTCAGAGCACAAGATATGCAAAAACGTTTGACGAAATAGGTAGTTGTACTTTCAATGGATCATCTCAAAGTAAACGTTTTGCAAATAATAAACGTTTTTAGATTGAGAATTGTGTTACCAAGAAGCACTTTTGAAATAGCTTGCGCACAATAATGTCAATGCTAAAAAACCATTGGAACAGGCAAGGTTAAAATATGGCACATGATGTCCTAACAAAGTTCCGGGAAAGACGGCCAAAACGTGTTTCTCAGTTATTCCTGAAACCGTAAACGTCGAGATACTCCTCAAAAATCCTCCCGAAATCTTTATAACTTTTTTTTTTGAATAAAAATTGCCTTGACATTCTAGTTGTTTTAACCTGTCGCCATTACTGGGAATTATTGATATCATCTTTATAAGATATCATCCTCATGTTTGCTTTAATCCTCTAGGATTCTAAATTATACCTGGCTTGCTCACAAGGTCCCCATATATCCCTCTATGGCAGTCATATTATGAAGGAAGGAACGTTATCAAAACCTGTATTACAGGTTATTACCGGTATTCATCTTTTAAATGTTAGTGGTCTGGACATAACGTCAACTGGAATGCTTTACAGCGTGAGCTCAGAGGGAAGCGTTCAACAGTTCAAGATCGGTATGAAGTAGTATTTTATAAAAGTCATTTTCTTCATTACTTTAGTAAATTTTTCATTTTATATTAGGCAGCCGAAGACCAAGTCGTGAAGTAAAATGTGAAATTCTTTCTGGTCATGGTTACAGTGGTGTGTCTGTTTCACCAAATGGTGTTTTTATGGCGTTATTTGAAACAAAACGTAAATTGTTTCATTACACTAAAGGCGCAGTTTCAACTGAAGGCCAGGTTGTAATATAGTGTTTGATTTTAAAAATCTTTTCATATTGTTGAGCAATGTTGAACAACATTAAATATTGTTGAACATTGTTGAACAATGTGGAACAATTCTGAACAATGTTGGGCAATGTTGAACAATGTTGAACAATGCAGAACAATGCAGAACAATGTTGGGCAATGTTGAGCACTGTTGAACAACATTAAATATTATTGAACAATGATGAACAACGTTGAACAACGTTGGACAATGTTGAACAATGTTGAAGTGGAGTTGAAGATTGCTGTAAGTTGATGAACAATGTTGAACAATGTTGAACAACGTTAGACAATGTTGAACAATGTTGAAGTGGAGTTGAACTTTGCTGTAAATTGATGAACAATGTTGAACAATGTTGAACAACGTTAGACAATGTTGAACTTTTTTGAATGTTGAATTTTCCTTACAGTGTGTGATACTTTCACTTGTTTCTAACGAGGAAAATGAGCGTGAATTATTGACGGCTGCCAATCACGTGCTCGACATGGTAAAGATAAGAAATAGATTTCTTCATCGACAACTTTCCATCAGTCACACTGACAGTTCTGATCTACCAACAGAATTCAACGGCTTAACCAAACCATATTTACAATTTCTATGGAATATGTTTACATCTGATCCCAAATACAAAAGCGACCTAGGTATAATAATTTCCCATTATACAAAAGTAAATTGATAAACGTATTGTAATATTTGTTTACATTGTTTTCGCTACTGTTACGACTGAAGCATTGAACTCGTTCCAACTTGACTTATGTGAAGAAGATAATGATGAAGGACCGATAATGGTGAAGAACATTGAAGAAGAAATAGCAACTATCGCCATGCAGAACGCTCTCAGTTTTATCTTGGATTATGATAAGACAAACAGACGTCCTAACTATGGGCCGATAGCAGGTGGGATATTTTTCATTATTTGTACGTAGAGGATAACAGTTGTTGATGTGGAGTTTACTGTAGCTTTAGTAAGTTTGAGGAGAAACTTGACTTGTAATTTTTACTGAAGTATTTTTTATTTTATTACAGGAGACGTGACTGTCAAAACATTATGTTGTTGGATCGCAAAAAGACAGCCTTCGACCTCCGTTATTGACATGCTCAATGACGTATGGCGGCGTTGTAACAATCCTCTTGGGACACGTGATGATATTGATGGATCTAAGGGTACAACAGAACATGGTAGCAAAATATGTGAAGAGATGCTTACTTGTGTCGTTAATGAAAACTGTATGTGTAGTGAAGAAATACCATTTACGCATGTCCGATATGGACGATGTCGTGCAGGTCACGTGTGGCCTCGATGTTGCATTACATTCAAACTCCTTGATGGAACAAATGCCAGAGTATGCGAGAACTGTAATGCGCATGCGTTAAATAGACATCCAATAAACAGTCCGTATGAAGATTGGACGAAGCATTTACTTGATGTGACGTCGTCTTGTACATTCTGTGGTGCTTGGTTTGAAGAGATTTGATGGAAAGAGGCTTTTAAGGGTTGTGTGCTGGGGCCTGGGACCGTGGGACTTTTCATGATTGGTGGGATTTTTGTATCAAGGTCATACAAAGCTTTGGATGTGCTGGGGCATGTACTCCCCTGGAAAATATTGAAATTTTAGGCTGAGACAAGGCTTTAAATGATTGCTTCTTTTAGTACGGATTTCTCGTGAGGAATGATTATTGAATCGATCTTTGACTTTAAGGAAGAAAAAATTATCTTGCATTAAAAATTATTTAACCAAACAACATTCTAAGAAACCTTAACAGTTTGCGCATTTTTATCCAAATTCCAAGCATGCTTTGAAAAGGTATGACGCCTTTATGTAAATATAGAACACAATGTAAATATTTTCTCGTGAAAGGAATGTAAATATTGATAGAAAATATAAAAATTTGGTAAAAATGTTGAGCGGACTGCAATGTTCAGAACAAATAGACCATCAACAGAAAATTTTTGTTGAGACTAAAGTCCAACAACATGCCACCTGCTTTGCTATACTTGCTGCGAATAAATATGTAATTTATGGTGTAACTCATGACCCGTGATGTAAACAATAAATATGTTGCATTTACTAATTTAATAAATGCGCAGTTCGTGGAAAATCGTATTTGCGCATCCACATGCTCACACAGGCTTTATCATGGCTTCCTGTTGTATAAAATAGATAAATTCCGAAATTTATGATCTTTCAATGCCATCACCATTGAATTCCTACCGCCTAGGCGGTTTCCTCCTCATCATAAAATCTCATTGTATATGATACATGGCTTCTTGTTCTCATTTAAATCAATTTACAAAGGACGGTGTACCTGTTTATCGTAAGATATGCGCCTGGTTCATTTGCCCAGCCACAAAGAAAACACGACGTGCGAAGGTGCCGCATTTCGCAATTTTCTCGTTACTATATTTTACCAAATTGTTCAGTATGATCATGTTTAAAGCTGGCAGTATTCTTTCGTTCTTTAGTCGTCTCGAAGCTGTCATCAATGTGGAACGACCTCAAATCGTTTACACGCCTGCTTACATTGTATTTATTTTGGATGTTATTCTGGGCTTAAACACATCCATTCTCACTCAAAGCAAGAAGGACACAAGCTAGGTGACGTAAATTTACTATTGCATGTTTCTTTAGCAAAAGTTGATGAATATAAAATTGTTTAAATCATAACTAATGTAGTGGGGATTCCCCAGTTCGATTATAAGTTTAAATATTGATTATGAATTTGTTTTATGTATAGCTGTTGACTTGACATATGGTGTAGTTTATTGTTTTGTCTGTGGTGATTATGTTCATAATGAAATTTTGGAAAAAGTTCTCAGTGAAGAGAAAGCAAAGGCATGGAGATCATATGGTTGGTTTTGTATTTTCATTTAGAAAACTAATTCTTCATTGATTAATTCTTTTCTCTTACAAAATTACTCTCAGGAAACAAAACTGCTTTATATGAACGTTGGTTACCTGGAAGAGATGACGTCAAACTTTTAAAACGAAATGTTAAATATCAACGTATTTGTGACAATTCAATAATTGGTGAGTCTGAATGATCTCATCAAGATATAAGTTGACGTCTTGTATCTCAGGATTTTAATCCAATTTGTGTTTTTTTAGGTCTTCGAGGCTTGATAAATTTAGGCAACACTTGTTTTATGAACTGTATTATTCAAGCATTTACACATACTCCTTTGTTACGAGATTATTTTCTTGCCGATCAACATAAATGCAAAAAACAAGATGGTTCATGTATTGTATGCGCGATGGTTGCTCTTTTTCAAGAGGTTTGTTGATATTTCATGATATTTATGAGTGTTTTATGTTTCTATGTGTTGTCTTTATGTAAAGTAAATAAAGTAAATGGTTTGAACCCAGGATTATCGTTATATGTTTGTAAATGTAGATCGTTCAGGTTGGTATAGTCCTGAGAAGGTCTGTTTTTGTTGTTGACAAACGTTTCGACAACCTTAGCGGTAGTCATCTTCAGAGTCAAGAGTCTGTTTCTAAAAGTTATCTTTATGTATTAAATAGTTTTATTCTGGGGAAAGAACACCTCTCATTCCATACAAACTACTCCATCTTGTATGGACAAATGCAAGGCACTTAGCTGGTTATGAACAACAAGATGCTCATGAATTTTTCATCGCTGCATTAGATGTTCTTCATCAGAACTGTAAAGGTATCTTGCTTTCATTTTCTTACACTAATTTTGTGCATCAAGTACAACAAGATTATTTTCATTTCATAGAAGACAGTGATAGTTCAAGTCAGAGTGAAAATTCTCAGCAATGCAAATGCATCATCGATCGAATTTTTACTGGAGGATTACAATCGCAATTAAAATGTCAAGTTTGCAACTCTGTATCAACAACCATTGATCCGTTCTGGGATATCTCGTTAGATTTGGGAAATTCTTTGAATAACAATAGTGGTAAAACGAGCTCTTTCATCAACTCAACAGGATCGGTTCCCAGTCCCACACCATCAGGTGGTTGTCTTGACAACTTGTCAATAAGATCAATTTCGTTTATTATTGATGTATCTTGTTTCTTTTATTATTCTAGATGATTATTTATTGTCGTGTACTCCTCCTGATGTGGATCAGTTGGATGAGAGTTTTGTACCAAATTCTTTAATTGAGTGCCTTAAGAGGTAAGAATTCTGGTCTACGTAATTGATATTGTGTTTTCATGAGTAGAAAAGTAAGTGTCTTGTTTACTACTGCAATGCAAATATTTTTGTGTTGATTCATGGGCAGAACAACCAACAATGAAAATCTTCTGAAACATTAACATTTTAGCTGTAGAATTTTGTGCTGGCTTTGACACTGGTCATTGCCTACCAACAAATATTGTATGACCATATTGACAATAGAGTATTTTGTAGCTTTATTTTAAAGATTTAAAATACTTTTTAAGATTCACTCGTGTTGAAAAGTTGGGAAGTGAAGGAAAGACAAGATGTAGTAAATGTCAAAGTTATCAGGTAGTTTGTGACATTATGAAGAATGGAAAATAAAATAGAACTAATGACTTTGCTGTACATAGGAGGCAACAAAGCAACTGTCAATGAAGAAATTACCTATTGTTGTTTGTTTTCATTTGAAGGTCAGTTTTTGGGATTATTTGTCGTTTTAATGTGATGTCTTGATGATATTTGTAACGTTTGATGCATTAATGAAGAACATAATGTTTATTTTCAATATTTTTATTTCAGAGATTTGAACATTCAAAGAAATCCAAGAAAATATCTTCTTTTATTCCATTTCCATTGAACTCGACATGGAACCGTTTATGTCCTCAAGGTTCGAAAAATTTTACTCCTTATCCACGACGCTTCGGTTCTTTAAGTTTCTTTCTATGGCGTCTCTCCTCGTGATCTCTCTCCATGACGTGTCTGTTCATGACGTGTCTGTTCATGACGTGTCCGTTCATGACGTGTCTTCATGACGTGTCTTTTCATGGCGTGCTTTTCATGACGAGTCCGTTCATGACGTGTCTTTTTATGATGAGTCTTTTCATGACGTGTCTATTCGTAACGTGTCTATTCGTGAGGGGTCAGCTCACGACGTCTCTGCTCAGGACGTGTCTGCTCATGACATGTTTCTGTTTATGACGTGTTTCTGTTCATGACGTGTTTGTTCATGACGTGTTTCTGTTTTGACGTGTCTGTTCATGACGTGTTTCTGTTCATGACGTGTTTTGTTCATGACGTGTTTCTATTCATGACGTCTCTGTTCATGACGTGTGTGTACACGTCGTCTCCGTTCATGTCGTGTCTTTCATGATGTCATCAAATGATTTATTTTTATTTTAGTGAGTACATGGACAATACAAAAGTTAAAAATTTAACATCAATGAACGATTACAGGTAAAATGATTCTTCATATACATTCACAGAAGTCGGTTGTCTTGACATGAAAAAGTTTAACCATCGTTATTGACTGTTCAGATATTCCTTATTTGCTGTCGTCAATCATAGTGGTACATTAGAAGTTGGTCACTATACATGTTTTGTAAGACAGAAAAAAGATCAGGTTATTAAAACGTGTCGATGGTTAAATTTTTACCAATTAGTAAAATGAAACACTCACTTTTTATATGTTTATCTTTTTTAGTGGTTTAAATGTGATGATGCATGGATAACTAAGGTCACCGTTCAAGAAGTGTTGATGAGTGAGGGGTAATAATGACGTCATGAGATTGTATCACGTGACATGCTCATGTGACATTCGTGCATTATTTTTTTCCTTGTAGGTATTTATTATTTTACCACAAACAGATTTTGGAATATGAATATTGATGTTCACGAAGATATTGAAGAACTTTGTGAACGATTCATTGAAAGTATGACTTTCTCACATTTATACGTAATGTAAATAGACCGTGTTTTTTCACGCAAAATTTCTAATGGAAAAATCTTTACTTTTGAGGCATTGTTGATTCCGAATTGTTTATAAAGTTAATTTTGTCTACTGTCCAGGAGTGCTGATTCCAAATGATTTATAAAGTCTATTTTGTCGAGTACCTTGAATTGTAATAAGATCTTTACCGTATTGTAATTCGCGTTTCAATAATTTATGTCTTTCCTCCAACATCTGGCGTTTGTTGTGAAGCGCGCGAGCTTGATGCATTAACGAAAGAAGTTCTTTTCTTAAATCTTTATTTTCTTCCTTCACCCGTTTTGTTTGTAAAACCATGGATTCTTTGACTTCCTGTACAGATAATAATGTATGTTTTCTTTAGTTCGGTCGTAGAATTTCTAACTATAATGTAATTATCCATTTTTCACTCGTATTTTGAAATGTTATAAAAAGTCTTGAATTGTTATATTATTCAGTTGCCTCTAAATCATATCTTACCTCATTTGCTTTCTTCACCATTGCTTGGACCTTCGTATCTGAATGATCTTGAAACTGTTTTTTCTCTTGTAAGAATTTTACTTTAAGTTTTTGAATTGCTTCAGAATGCTTAACACCCATAAGTTGAACTTCTTCTTCTAAAGATTTAATCTCGGCTTCCTGATCAGACTGCAGCTTCTGGTAAGAATTACGAAGGTTCTATTTGATACTTCGTAAAATGCGCGATCTATACTAAGATATCGTGGTTTACAATAATACCTGATACTGTTCTAGATCAGCGAGTTGTTTTTAGCACTCGTCAGTTCGCTTTCTTTTCCAAAAGTTGATTCTTTAACTCTACATGGAAATGAATACAAGCATCTTTCGCATTAAACAGTGCTCTCCCTTTTTGAAAAATCATCAATCCGCCACTTACCTGTTTTCAATTGTTCATAATGGCTTATCATTTCTTCTTTTGTTCTTCGAATTTTGTTTAGCTCTTCCTGATTTTTATCGTTAAGCGAAACAATAGCAGTTTGTCGTTTTTAGTTTTCCTAGCCATGTACGCCATATACTCATGCTGAAAAGAAACAAGTTTTTAAAATTCACAAGAAGGAATTTGTCGTCTTTGGTTCCTACAAAACAACCTACACTCTCTCGTCTTGTCTGCTGTGCTTCATCTTGTAACCATTCGTTTTCTTTACGTCTGGTTGATTGTTATATTTAGTTATGGAAAAATTGGTTTTGGTAAATAGGTTTTTCAACATTAAATCAGATCAGTATTGTGTTTTGATTTTGTTCGCGAAAAGGAAACACAAGCTTCGAAGTAAAGGGATACAATTGATCAACGCTTCGTTTCGTTTCTGCAAGTTCATTTGTTAAAGTTTCTAGCCTATAGTGCAATAAAACAGCGATGTTTCAAACAGAAAGCATCCGCTTCAAGCAATAGAATGATGGACCTTTAGAGAGAAAAGATGAAATCGTGAAACGAAAGAAAACATAAAATCGTCAACGTACTTTTCTGACATCAAAATTTCTCTTTCGGTCTTCTTAGCATCATTTTTTTGCTCCTCGCCATCTCGTTTTCCCTCTCCCTTTTTTTTTGAGTTGCCTTTCTTCTTCGGAGGCATAAGTTTTTAACAAACAAACTTGAAACGAAATCAAAATACAAAGAAAAATACCAAAAATTGTATCTACAAATTTTTATTTCCATGGCAACGTAAGAAGCGATACTTCATGTAGTTACACAACGTTTATTTAATATATTTGAAGATATTGAAGAGAATTACACGCAATATTTTACGAAAATTTTACAAGAAATAGGTTTCTGCTTCTCCCCTTGATATTTTAAAAGATCCTTTTCATCAAAGTCACGCACTTTTCTTGAAATTCTGATAATAAAAGCCAAACTTTATGCACATACTCTCAAGATAAACAATCAACTTCTTCATCCAACCTCCAAATAAACTGTTGCAACGTTCGCCAGGCGGGTATTTGAAGAAGTTGAGTAGGTTGTCATACATTCAATGATTTGGTCTGATCCTAGCTCTATGAGTGTGGAAAAGTTATATGAAAATGGATATTTGACTGAATTAATAAATTCATTATCACCTTGCAAAGTGTCTGAGCCTTTTAAATAGATTAAAGTTGTTATTGCTGATAAAACTGTTTCTTCATTGGAACTAAATAGTCACAAATCATAAAAATATTTGTGTATTGTTGTCGTGTACTATGAAAATTGACATGAAAACCTTGACAAACAGTTCACAATCTCTTGTAATCCATCATTTTTAATAATCGTATCACGACAATGAGGATCTGTAAGATTGAAGAACATAACGATAAGTTTGTGTCTATTTTTCATAAAATTCAGCATCACACATGACCAAGACAAAAATTGCATAATCCACTCATTCCAAACTCAACATATTTTTCATTGTCTTCAGTCAGCATGTCTAAGAGAGTGAAAATAAGATGTTGAGACATTTCATCATTCATCAAAATTGAAGATATTACCTAAGTTAATTAAAATATTTCCTTACCTAAAAACAATTCAGCCACATTCAACTTTCTAAGATGAGTATAATTTATAGGATCATAAGCAAAATTTGCCAAATTAGCAAGCACTTGAGACTTAGCATCTGAAGAAAGAACACAACAATGACAAACTTTAGTCAAAAGATACATACATGAAAATTATTTCAAGTTGATAACAGTACCATTGCTAGACGTATCTTGAAATTCCGTAACTAAAGCCTGAAGATATTGAAATCGGTTGAGATCATCAGGACCAGTTTTATCATCAAGATATTTTTGCGAGGAGAACATTATTCCACATTATTGTTTTGGTTTGTAAAAACGTAAAATATTTGTAGCATTTGTAGTCTAGTAGATTTTACATATTGTAAGTTTTATTTTGTTCACTATATGTGTGTTACATGAAGTAGATCAGTACAAGATGGGAAGACACAAAGGAAAGAGAGGAAGGACGAAAGATTGGAAGAAAGAAAATAGAGAAGCGAAAGATAGGGACAGTAATTTAACATTAAATAACTCGTCACCACAGAATGGTAATCAAACTATACACTTCAAGTTCAAATGCTGTACAGTTTAATGAATTATTTTACTGTTCATTTTATAACAGTAAAGGACTTTGGACGTGGCTTTCCTTTCCCATTGTTGATGTGGGTAAGTCAATGTAGGCAGATGAATGCTTGTGATGAATAAGAACATTGAATATCAAATGAAATAATGTTTAGGATCTTGGCCATTGTGACCCAAAGAAATGTTCAGGTCGTAAGCTCGAGAGGTTGGGTTTTGTAACATCACTAAAACTCTCACAGAAAGCCCACGGTGTTGTACTTAGTCCTTTGGGTGAGAAATGTTTGTCTGTTGAAGATCATGATATAGTAACACGGTCAGGTATAGCTGTTATTGATTGTTCATGGGCTAAACTTGATGACACTCCATTCAAAAGAATGAAAGGCGGACATGCAAGACTTCTGCCATATTTGGTTGCTGCTAATCCTATCAACTATGGTCGACCATGCAAACTTTCTTGTGTTGAAGCTTATGCTGCAACCTTATTTATAACAGGTAAAGCTTATAATACTAGGTCCCACAATGGCATAAACAGGTTTAATAATAGAAGGAAAGCTAGGCAATGTTGGATTTATACATGTTGTAATCCTTAAAAGTTATTGATTTCCAAGGAAATAGTGCATATGAAGACTTCTCTCACTCTCCAATTATCAAGCCTGCAACCATTGGTGATGCCAGCAAAATCTTTCACTTCTATGTACAATAATAATTTTTCAGCCTAATTATTGTTCATTTCTTTCGAAAATTAATTCCATTCATTGTTTTTCCATTGATTGAACAAAAAATGTTTGCATTGTAGGAGTAGAAAACAGGTTGGCTTTGTTAGTGCTTGCCAATGGCGTAGCAAGCTTGCAATTTTGTTCATGCATGGTAATATTTTGGTCATTAGCATTATTCATTTCTTAAGAAATCTGTTGTTTTACAGTAACTGAACACCAAAATATTTACATAGCATGAATAAACATATGGGCTGGCTATGTCATTGCTTGCAAAACCGATGACCTGTTTGTATGTTGTAATATGCTTTTATGTACTGAACTACAAATATTCCTTAAGGATTTGAAGATTTGGGATCAGAGTTATTGAAATGTTTTAAATGGGGAAAAGCATTTTATGAACTGAATAGGTAAGATGCTTGTGTATGTTTAAACATGTTGATTTATTCATAATTTATCATATTTATTCCACACAATCATAGTTTGTATAATTTACAGAGAACTGCTAAGTCTTTACTCATCTTGTAAGACAAGTTCTGAAGTCGTGTCAGCCCAGAATGAATGGTTGAAAAATTTGGAAAAAGTACATGAAAGATGTGATTGTATGATTATATTCATGAATTTTTTTAAATATTCCAAACTCTCTGTGTAAAAGTTCACATTTTTTCTTAAGTGAATGACCTCACCAACATCGATGATTCAAAAGAACATTGGAATCCCAATAGGAAGGTTTTGGATTATGAATCAAGGTTTGCAGACGGTTCAACATTTATTAAATTTAATACCATGGACCTTTTTAATATACACATGTGATTTTTAGTGAAGATGCAAGTTCTGATGATGAAGAATGTTCCAGAAATGAAATGGAAGATTGTAATAACCAGGATTTGACCTCACAATACAGTAAAATGAAAGTTCCAATGATGAATGTGACAAAGCCTAAACAGAACACAATTGAATGTTGCTACTTGTAAATAATTAAAATGATTAAACTTCAAAATAATAATTTTGCATAAGTTATTATTAAATTATTCAATTATAGCGTTTTACGATCAACTGGCGACCAATGAACTGTAGAATTATAATTTGTTTTGTTTGTAAATGCGTCATATGTCCATATAAGGAAGCGCTCAAATAGTAAAAAGGCGTTGTCGCCACCATTAATTATTGTGTGTCGAAGCTCTTACTCGAGAGTGTTGGGAATCAATTTGAGGACTTTTGTTTCGTCTTGCAGAGGTATTTGAGGTAGGCGAAGGTATTTGACATTATTTGCAGGTATTTTTTTAGGTAGAAGTTATGTTTCTTATCGAAGTGATCTTATGAAAGTGATCTAAACTTTGATTATGTCGTAGCCTCCAATCGACTGAGTGAGCAACGTTGCATTTTTTATGCGCAATTTAACGGTTCATATTTGTGCATCGTTTTCCAGAGATACGTGATGTGTATCTTTTAGTAAAGAAATGAAATCAAATTTCGTTGTTTGTATAGCACAATTAAGGCGCTTGAGGATATTTGAATAGCGAAGTTCGACGGACTGTTTAGGAATTTTAATTGTTTACAGCATTGAGAAATTTTAACACAAACAAGTCGTATGAGATCCTTTCGAAACTTTGTATAAATGCACAATTCACTAACAACATGCAGTAATTATCAACTTCCAGTGGAAATCTCATTTTTCCTTCACAGCTTGTTAGTTCTTAATATGGTAATGTATTTTGAATTGGTTAGGTTAATATTATGGCGTTCTCTCAAAAACTAATCACTTTTATAATCATCGTTATAATATTTTTTGCCTTTAATCTGTGGAACCTCGCTTAATTTTTTTAATGAATTTCTAATTATCTATTTAGCGCCATTTTCAAACACATAACACAAATGTTTGTGCTGTATTCTATCCCATAAATCGTACGTAGATGTAGTCGAATTTTACATCTATGGAAAATTTTGTTCTTTAACTTTTATGTAACATTATCTACATGTTCTTCGTGAAGGAGGGCACTGTAATCAACAGTCAAATGGTTTATTTCAATCAATATTGTGACAGCGTTTTAATTGTTATTTATGCTTAATTGTTAAGCACCTTTCGAGCAAGTTCCAACTCAAACAAACTGAGACATCGTCTTGTTGCTGTTTCTAAACTTAATATTTTAATCAAAAGTGGTCGAAATTGTACGTAGCTTTGAAATTAAGTACAAAATTACAGTGCCAGTGTGTTTATAAATAACGTGACTCCTAATTCTACGGTGAACACAAAGAACAATGAAAAGTATGATCAAAACTTTGCCGTTTGTTCACATGTTTTTAATTCATATTATGTAAATCATAAACATGTACTGTTCGTTTTATCGTTTCTAAAACATCCGCACTCTCTCTCTCAATGCCATTGTCAAGGTTCAAAGTAATCCTTGATTGAAACGTGTCGTTTATGGTTCATTTCATATGAACATTGCGGCTGCTCGAAGTATTTCAAATCAACAAAGCAAGATGATGGCATACAAAATTTTTGTGGACTACTTCAATTTAGCGGACACCTTGGACGCTGACCCAAACCCTATCATATAACCCTAAGAAGACGAGCCCGCGCTCCCGATATAAGCGCTTCGGGTGTCCGCTAAACAGCCAAAACTGCAGTCTAGCCAATTTTTGCGTATTGTTGTATATTTTTAGATGACGACTCAGTATACTACCCAAACTGTGACTGTTACCACACAACCTGGTGGTCAGAGAGATTGGAACAGTGGATTGTTCTCTTGCTTTGATGACATGAAGACATGTAAACTCTGTGTCCTGTCATTTTATTTTACCTCTTTATGGCTAATCGATGATCATATTTAATGTTTAGGTCTTTGTGGCTACTGCTGCCCTTGTTGTCTTGCTATTCAGGTTGCACAAAGAATGGGAGAGTCGTGTCTCTTCCCACTTTGTTGCCCAGGTGCATTGCTCGCAATGCGTGCTAAACTTCGTGGAGAGCAGAACATTCAGGTTTGAGCAAGACCCGCGCTTTCATCTTTGTTTTGTTTCATTGTTTAGTTTATTGTATTGCGATTTTCCTTAGGGTGATCTATGCAACGATGCCATTGCTGTGACATGCTGTGGAACTTGTGCTCTTTGTCAAATGTCTCGAGAGCTTGATGTTATTGGACGATAAATGTTCGCCTACTGAAATATTCTGTTTATTTACTATACATCTCGATGTCTCTCATCTTATCATTGTGCTATTGATATATAGAAAATACTATCATTATCTTTTCTACTTTATCTACTCATTATATCTCGTACTTTAATCATTAAAAGATGAACATACTCTTGAAATGCTGACTCATTCTGTTTCAAGTGCACTTAATATAAATTGCAAATTTTATTCAGCGATCATCAGCGCATCTGTTCGCTAGATCACGCATCATAATCAAGATGTCAAGGTTCTTAAGTCCTTCTTTATTGCATCATTGGTATTTATGTGCATTCATAAAAGCAAAAACCTTGAATTTCATAACCAAACAAAAATTTTACCCCGACAATCAAATAATATTTGTTTTCGTGTTGCCTGGCAACGAATTTCGTCCTTCGAAACTTCACGAACTTTTCAAGAGTGAACACTTTGCACTTGTTCTTGTAGTTTTCGTTCTTAGCTGGAATATTTCTCACAGTTTGTAAGTATTGTTGAAGCATGACTTGGCTTATACTTGCTAATAGAGTTACGCGTGCTTGAATGTGAACTAGCTCAACTGCTCTGTTTTGTCAAGTATTTGAAGTATGACAACTCCAGTTGTTCCTGTCGTCACAACACAATTTTCTGCAGTTCAAACAAGATACTGGTCAACAGGAGTTTTGGATGTTTTGAAGACATCGAGTCATGTATGTTGAAGGCTTGATTGTTCACCATTGGTGTGAATAAGTTGATTATTCTTAACCTTTTTTCAGGTCTTTTTGGTTTTTTCTGTCCATTTTGCTCACTTTTTAGTCTTTCTCGGCGCATGAGTGAAAATTGTTGTTTACCAGTCTGTCCTGGCTCTTTATTTGCAATGCGTACTAAACTGAGGATTGAAAATGGAATTCAGGTTTTATTCATTTCATCAAATATCTTTCAAATTTGAATTTTCAACATATTAAAAGATTTTATGTTCTCTATTTTAGGGTACTTTATGTAACGATGCCATGTGCTCTCTCTTCTGCAGTCCTTGTGTTTCTTGTCAACTATCGCGAGAGTTGAACGCAATAGGACGATAGGAAATATCTTCAAAATGATATATTTTGATGAGTCGCTCAAAAGAAAAGACCCTTCAGACTCTACAGCTTTATATTTTAAAAACAGTTTATGAAGTGTTTTTATATATTTTGGAGCAAAAATAAATAGTATAGTGGTACAGTCAGCCTCCAAGATCTAGTCCTGTAATTTTGATTTCAAATCATTTTAAAACATCACATATTTATTGAAAAATATATTGTTTTCATATGTACATATTTATTTTTCTGGAGACTTAAATTTAGAATTTCAACTGGAGAATAAACAAAATAACAAGTTTATTGAACTGTAGTTCAACTAAGGCTTCACCATTGAAATCTATAAGACTTCACCCCCAGGCGCCTTGCCTCAGGGTCTCATGTGGTCCCATGCCCTAGGGCTTCGGGGACCCCCCCTGTCTCCCCATATGTGGAGGTCGCGCGTGGACAAACGGAACTGCGCGTGATTGCTGAGCGTGATTGTTTATTGAATGAAATTATGAAAGATCAATATTTCAATGGATGAAAGCAATTGTTGATACAAGAAATGGCGACTTTGAAAAAGACGGAAGAGGACGAGATAGTCCGAGAAGTGTTTTCAATTCAGCCAATTATTATTGGCTCTTTCTTTACGCTTTTGATCATCAGTTGTCTAATGCTGAGGTAACACTTTGTAACGGTTGAAATTTTGTATTTCTAGGCCTGTATGTAGTATAAGATAGTACGTGCAATGTTTACAATAGTTTTAAATTGATTATCATTGTTGAGACAATCCTCTTCAAAACTATGCAAAGGAGCTTCTGCACGAATCTTTGTTTTACTATCAATGTATTTAAATTATAATTAAAAAGTAATGAAAATTTTATCGTCCATTTCGGACGAAATCTTCTAATATATAATATGCTAAAACAAGTAAAATTCTTGGCCTCAACTTCAAGTGCTCAAGAATCCTTCAAGGATCCGATCCTCCCATTAAATACTTTATATGGACTTAAATATTGAACCAAAAATATTATTGTTGTTTATATATTGTTTGTTTTAGGTATTTCATTATTTTTTTAGATATCTTAGTATGCTGACTTGTCTTTGGGCATTGTTAGTTGGCAGTGGACTTGCTTATGTTATCTTGATGTAAGTGTATCTTTTATAACTTTAAGTTTACTTAAACATTGAAGTAAAATTAACAAGGAATTTCTTATTATTTTTTTTCAGTAATTTTCCATTTGTCCCAAGTTTTTGGTTTTTTCAAAAGCTCCGTAATAAGGTATCTAAACTCCTTTGCCCCTTGACATATTTTATAGTTTGACATAACAAACTTGATATTTTAGCCAAAACAGATCAGCGATAACATCTCAATGGCTCGTTGCTCAGTTTGTCAGAAGTTTAAATGTCAGCGACATAGGTATGTTGATAAAGTGAATGGTTTGAACTTGGCAGTAAGGTTAAATTATTGAATATGTTGATTGCGGTGTTTTGAGGAGTTGTGAGAAGGTCAGTTGGTGTTAATGTTGACTGATGTTTCAATGTTTTTAATAAAGAGTAAAGTGAAGGTTGCCATCCATATTTAAATATTTTAATGAATACCAACACCAATAGTCCTTCTCAGAAGTACCCTTACCTGGATATGGCATCTACAAACATTTATATGTATAATTTCTAATTAGCAGCAATTTTAAAAACACTTGATTTTTGAAATTTTTGAATGCATGTTTGCTTTCAAAAATATATATGTTGATGTGATGTAAATATAGCATGGTTTTCTTAGTTATCTTATCTGTGTGCGTTTATTTTATAAAGGCAAGAAATATCTGAATTTGACCTTGAGGCAAGTGACCTTATTATAATCAAAGTAGCTCTAAACATGTTTTTATACTATTTGTCTGTGTTATACATATGTTTGAGTACAGAAAGATAATGTTTACAGCTTGCAGTACTTCAACTAGAGGATAAATGTGTTAATTACCTTCATTCATGGATTGTAACTGAATATTTTTTCACCATGTGTAGTTTCATTGTTATGACATGTTGTTTGTATGCAATATGAGGGAAGAAGTAGGAACTGCTGGGATGGGAAGGGATAAAGGGGATGTAACATGTTGTTTGTACACAATATGAGGGAAGAAGTAGGAACTGCTTGGGATGGGAAGGGATAAAAGGGATGTAACATGTTGTTGGTGCACAATATAAGGGAAGAAGTAGGAACTGCTTCAGATGGAAGGGATAAAGGGGATGTAACATGTTGTTGGTGCACAATATGAGGGAAGAAGTAGGAACTGCTTGGGATGGGAAGGGATAAAGGGGATGTAACATGTTGTTGGTGCACAATATGAGGGAAGAAGTAGGAAATGCTTGGGATGGGAAGGGATAAAGGGGATATAATGTGTTGTTGGTGCACAACAAGGGGAACTTCTTGGGATGGGAAGGCATGACATATTACCTTCTATCTTAATTTTTAATGCTTTGCAGCCTTGGAGGAATCTTAAAATGAACAAAGCAATAGACGATGCCATTGAAGAGGTTTTTAACGACTTTTATATCGCTTGGAAAATTAAAAATGTGTTTAGACTTTTTCTGCTGAGTTTCTTTGTCATTTCTAAGGCTTTTTCTCTCCTTGTTCCAAAGCTATTTCTTCCTTAGTTCTAAAGCTATTTCTTCCTTAGTTCTAAAGCTATTTCTTCCTTAGTTCTAAAGCTATTTCTTCCTTAGTTCTAAAGCTATTTCTTCCTTAGTTCTAAAGCTATTTCTCCTTGTTCCAAAGCTATTTCTTCCTTAGTTCTAAAGCTATTTCTTTTGTGGTTATAAGGCTATTTCTTCATTAGTTCTAAAGCTATTTCTTCCTTAGTTCTAAAGCTATTTCTTCCTTAGTTCTAAAGCTATTTCTCTCCTTGTTCCAAAGCTATTTCTTCCTTAGTTCTAAAGCTATTTCTTTTGTGGTTATAAGGCTATTTCTCTCTTAGTTCTAAAGCTATTTTCCTTCACAGTTCTACAGCTATTTTCCTTCACAGTTCTAAAGCTATTTCTCTCGTAGTTCTAAAGCTATTTCTTCCTTAGTTCTAAAGCTATTTCTTTCACAGTTCTAAGCTATTTCTCTCACAGTTCTAAAGCTATTTTCCTTCACAGTTCTAAACCTATTTCTCTCTTAGTTTTTGGATCTTCTCTTAGAAAATTACGTATACTATTGGTACAGGTTTGTAAGTTTGTTTTTCTCTTCATTTAAACATTCGTTAATCTAAAGACTTCATTCATTTACAAACGACAGGGAAAAGTTAAGCTCAGACGAAAGATTAGTTGATGAGCTACGAAAGTCTCTAAGACACATATTTTCCGTTGTGTATCGTCGATTGATAAAGGTTTCCTATGATCTCTATTGACGTAAAGTAGTGTTTACATCACGTCCCTTACTCTTGTTCTTACGTCATATGACGTAGGTTGATGTCACCGATCTCGTTATAAAGAAACTTGTAAAAAACTTCTTACAACATCTTGATTCTTATCTAAAAGTACGAAGAAAACTTAGAGAAAGTAAGTGTGTTCAAAAACATTCATAATTTTGTGCTCGTGAAACATGAAAATGAAACTTTATCATTCAGATTCTTATACCAACAGCAAGGATATAACGTTGTTATTACTGAGAGAAAATGGTTTGAATGTACATAAAGCTTTGTATAGTAAATGGAATGAACGTCAATATCAGCGTCAACTTCTTCATTCTTTATTACCTCATGTTTTACCTCGGTCTGCATTACAATCAAGGTAAAGGACTTGGGAATTTATTTTAGTTCGCGTATCATGAACTTCATGTAATGTTTGTCTCTTTAGGAGCGCCTGTGGTCTCTTTGGTGAACTCTTGGTTTATGGTGTATTTACGACTGGGATAGATGTCATAGTTCAACCGGTATTGATTGTTGAGTTTTCCGTTATTTTCCACGAGCTTGTTTTTGTTTGAATTTTTTTCGTTTTAGGATTTTGTTAATCAACTTCTTTTGATCTTGTTGGATAAGAAATCTGTGAGTGATTATTTTTAAAATCACTTCATATATTTCTCCTTTAAACTGTTGTTTTCACTGCTAGATGGAAGAACCTTTGGAACCGAAGACAGACGAAGTGGAAGTACTCGCAAAATTTGCTAAATCACGCGGGAAAACTCCTTTTAATGTATAAATCTGTTTTCTTATGTACTTGTGTAAACCCCTATAACCTCATCAATCCCTTTATGCTCCTTTACTAGGCTCTTCAATGCACAATGCCTCAGATCATCAACAATCCTCCTGTTTTATTTCATTTTATTAAATTCATGAAGGATCAGGGTTCCTTGAAAGTTTTACAATTTTGTTTATCTTTAGGTATGAAGATCTTTGATTTGTTTCAGGTCTTATGTGTCTTGGAAACGTTTTATTTTATTGATGTTTTAGACGATTTCAATAAACGAATTCTCGTTCCTAATCTTACCCACCAAGATAAAGAAAAATTAATTGAAGAGGTTTGCTTTTGCTTAGCAGAGATTGTGCGGTATAAATAATGACATTTGGTAGCAGGGATTGTGAGGGGTAAATCGTGACATTTGGTGGCAAGGATTGTGAGGGGTAAATAATGACATTTGGTGGCAGGATTGTGAGGGTATCATGACATTTGGGCAGGGGTGAGGGTAAATCATGACATTTGGTGGCAGGGATTGTGAGGGGTATAAATCATGGCATTTGGTGGCAGGGATTGTGAGGGTAAATGGTGGCAGGGATTGTGAGGGTAAATCATGGCATTTGGTGGCAGGGATTGTGAGGGTAAATCATGGCATTTGGTGGCAGGGATTGTGAGGGTAAATCATGGCATTTGGTGGCAGGGATTGTGAGGGGTAAATCGTGACATTTGGTGGCAGGGATTGTGAGGGGTAAATCGTGACATTTTGTGGCAGGGATTTGAGGGGTAAATCGTGACATTTTGTGGCAGGGATTGTGGGGGGTAAATCATGACATTTAGTGGCAGGATTGTGAGGGGTAAATCGTGACATTTGTGGCAGGGTTTTGAGGGGTAAATCATGACATTGGGAAAAGCAAAAAATAATCCCTGATTATTTTACAGGCAAATACATTATACGGTAAATATTTTGTGAAAGGCTCTCCTGATTTCATCGAATTTGACGAGGACATTGTTGCAAGTCTCAGAAAAGGTTTTGAAACAATATTTTTCTATATCAGTCAATATACGTAGCAATATACAAACAAAACTGGTCGTTATTTAGTGTTGGAGTCTTCATTTGATCAACTTACTCCTTTGGAAATGGCAACACCTCTCTACAGGTAAGAAATATGAATGCCAATGACGAAACCAACACGAAAATATTCTCTGGCTGTACAAAACTTTCATCAAAATTATCTCCTTGATTGTTTTTCTTTGAACGAGCACAAAAATACACGAATAGCTCGAGCTAAGAATCGACATGGACTTGCTCTCAAAAGATACATATTTTCGATCTTAACGTTGTCTAAATTTAAATATCTTTGTTACAGAGCTTACGAGCACGTCTTTGATCTCTTAGAACATATTTACCTACCTTTATTTCATCAAAGTGACCAGGTTGGTGGAAAACGACAATATTTTAAAACTGTTTGTGAGTCCATAGTTTGTTTATGAACTTCTATACTTCAGTATTTCTTCATGATTTGTGGTAAAAGAGTGATCAGCCATTTACAAAACCGTCGCAAAGGTGAAAGAACTTTTCGTTGTTTGTTCATTTCATTTATTTCATTTGCTTATCTCTGTCTTTGATAGAAATCTTAAAAGAAAAACGACAAATGGTAGGAAATTGTTTACCTCTATATTTCCTTCGAAAGGTAATGAGCAATGTTATCATCTTATTTCATCTATCTTCGTAGCAGTGAACGCAAAAAATATTTAAGAATTGTTATTTTCCTATGAGAACAGGTGAAGAAATGAACGAGAAATTTGATGATGTTGTTGAAACCTTTGAGCAAATCATGGTCGATGAAACATCGGTATTGTTTACAAATATTATTGTCCTCTTTTATTTTAAATTAACTTGTTTGCTCAACTTGTATATGTAGAACAACCTCAGTTTGAAAATAACAGCTTGATAACATTACACTATCATCAAAATCCTTTAAGGGCCCGGGGATAGTATTAAAAAAACGCACAAGGGAGCTTGGGATATTATCAACAGAAATCACGAGGGGGCCTAGGGTTAGTGTTAAAAAACCCATAAGGGCCTGTCATGAAGATAATAAATCTATTGGTGAATTTTTAGGATGAGCTGTTAGAAAATTTGTCGATTGAACCTGAGTTGCTACAAGACGATATAACAAGCGTTCGAGATATGAGTACATGGAAAATAAAAATTCCCAAAGTTGCTTTTAATATAAATGGTTCAAAAGAGGCAAGAAAGATCTTTTTACGAAGCATTAAAGCTTTCAAATTCATTCTCAGGCTTTTCTCATGTTTCAGTTGGTTTCATACGTCATATCCGTCTCCGAGTGCGAATCTAACGAGGATATTCCGACATGGGACGTTAAGAGGTAAAGTTGAACTTTATAATCAAATCCTTCAATGTTCCTCAGTGATCCTTTCATATTGTAAATTTTTATTTCAGGGAACATAAGGAGTTCTATGTTTTACACAATAAACTCACGCAATTTCATGGTACGCAATTTACAAAAGTTTGCGATGAAATGGAAATTTTTCGACAAAATGTATTTCGTTCATTGTTTTACAAAAACACAAAAACGTATGCATGTTTGGATTAATAAATTTGGCTGGCTTTGCCTCTCTGTCGAAATAATTTTGAGATCTAGGTATGACCTTCTCATGTTTCAGTCGTGAATCTTTACCCAATATTCATAAATGCGTCTACCTTGTACCATGCTATTCAGTTATCTTATTCAAGCAAAGCTCGTTTAAAACATCTTTTTTATTGTTTAGGTGATTTCGGTGGAGTTGTTCTACCAAATAAGAGAAACTCCACGTTGTCATCTAGACAAGCTACGGAAATCTTTGAAAACTATCGCAATTCTTTTATGTACTATTTACAGGTATATGTTCATAAAGAAATGGCTGTTTTTTTTCTTGACTAACCCTCCTCCCTCCCCGACTTCTAACGCAATTTCTGTTGCTAGGATTTAGTGCGTAATCCGCTGATACGCGGCAGTGAATTGCTTTATCGTTTTCTTTCTCCTGATGAAGAGTTTAGTAGCATGTTTGCTCCTGATACTGTGGGGAAACTTGCAGGTAATGAACGTCAGACCTTAAGATTTGCTGGCAGGCGAGGAACAGCATACTTTTTTGTTTTGTTTTGGTGATTTAGGAAGAAAATTGAAATCAGTGGCTACAAAGTTGAAGAAAGAGGTTTGTATTGTTTGGTTTTCTAAGGTTACTCATCACAATTCCTCGAGCTGTCTTGGTCTTCTGTATAAAGCTCTGTCAAATCTCGTTTGATTACAAAATCAAATAAGACAACTTAATTGATTCCGAGGATAATTTAAGCACCAGTATAAAGATGTTAGTTTATTTTCATGTTCTTTTTGTGCAGTGAAGGATAACGTTGATGTGATTGGTGAAGATTTTTTGTGTCTTTTTTACAGAAAGGACAAAATTTGGAGACGTTTCTGAATACATTTTTTGCATCGACGAAGTAAATATTTCTCGTTGAATAGAACTTGTTTATCTGTCGTTGTGATTTAACTACAATGAATGTTTATTTCAGGCCAGCTTCAGGCAAAAGTACTCCTGTATCGGGCTCTCCTAATCTTCAAAGAAAAGAATACGAAAGAGATACAGCTGCAAACATGGAGAATTCTGTAAAAAACTTGAGTTGATTCTTAGTAATGTATTGTAGCTTCTTCATGATACATTTATATACGTATGTAGGTTGGTTCACACTGCAGCAATGATAATGAAATAAATCAAATGCAATCCCCGAGAAATTGTAATTGTTCTTTATTGTACATATTTAACCCTACTGATCCACTACTCAACCATTGTGTATGTCTATATTTTCAGTGTCATTTACGAAATCAAACCATGTTTTACATTTGCAAAATCCAGCAGATTATATTCTTTATTTGGGTATGTACATTAATGTTTATTGTTTCGTCGTCTTTTTATTAACCATTACTTTTATTTTTTAGCGATCAATTTGTTTCAAATACGAACATGGACTTTAAATCTCTTCTTGTGCTTAAAAATCGTCGCTCAGAATACTTTCAATGACTTTGTAGAAAGGTGATTTCTGTTTATTAAAATTCTATCCATTATTGTACCGTAATGAATGCGCAAATCCATCTATATCTTGTTTTTTTCTTAGATACCTAGCTTATAAAATCAATCTTGCGATGCATGAACATCATCTCGTTCCAGTTATTCATATGTTTAGAGGTCAGTGAAATGCATGAGTATCATCTCGTTCCAGTTATTCATATGTTTAGAGGTCAGTGAATTTGGTCATTTTTTGCTGTAAAGTTGTGTAATTCACAATTTTTGCATTATTTAGACGCTGTTTTTTACGATAATGACCTTCCCAGGTAAGCTATTGCTTTCACTCGCTTAACATCCTTTATTATCCTAATCTTTCCAATGGTTTTTCACTAGGACAGAGGAGGATAAATTGGAGAGGAGAGATGAAACTCTACGGGAATTATTGGATTTTTTTCCAGGTAATGACGCGAATATCATTTCTCACTAGTCGTTTTTTTATTAACGGTTTACTTGTTACCAGGTCCCTTGGTCAAACTGCTGGGGAAACAGAAATGTAACGAAGGACTGACCGCTATATTTGAACTGTTACAACATGAGCAACTTAACAGACAAGTTAGTATCAGTTGTAATCTGATGTCGTTTTTACAATTAATTCTACGTTTGTTTTCATTGGCTAGATATGTTTTCTTTCTAGGTTTTTTACACTTTGTTGGATACCATTGTGGAGGAAATTTTTCCTGAGACTTCTTCGGTTCGTTTTCTTGTTCCTATAATTTATTAGTTTGGTTAATTTGTTAGAACTTCTACACGGTTTTCATTTATAGGAAAATTGTACAGATAACGTTGATTAACATTTGAGAAGAGCGCCATTGGTCGGAACAATTATCCGAAAGATAAAACATCCGAGGATAAAAATATCCGAGAGGTCAAACACCCGAGGATAGAAATATCCGAGAGATCAAACACCCGAGGATAGAAATATCCGAGAGACAAAACACCCGGGGTAGAAATATCCGAGAAATAAATATCCGAGGATAGAAATATCCGAGGTCAAACACCCGAGGATAGAAATATCAGAGAGAGGAAGCTGACCGCTGTAATACCTTTGAGTGGAAACGTGAGTGAATATTTTGAAATTCGATCGTAAAAATTTCTCATGAACACGATAACATTCATTTTATTTTATTTATTGTAAAAGTCACGTTGTCAGTGAGTATGATTATTGTTGTTGTTGTATTATTTTATACTAATTTACAATGAAATTCACTGATTTTTTTAAATGTGAACTCTACAATGGAGAATATCCCACAAAAAAATGAACATGGACGAATATCTGCCAGCTGGGAAAAAAATGAAGTGAAATTATGGCGAATTTTATCTCGAACTTCGAACTTGAGTTACGTCATGTTAAATTCTCCAATGCCTTCTTCGCTTCTCTAAAATGAACACCCAAAGGTGAAAATTCTACTCTTCTCAACCAAATCATAACGTCGTAAAAATTCTCACTTTGCTAAGATTCCTTCTCCTCTTTCTCGTTCTTTCAAACTTCTCAAAATTCTCACATCATTCCAGTTCATATGACTGAATAGACGCACAACCTAAAAGTAGGAAACGTCACATGATCTCATCACATACGTCACAAACTGGACCGATCATTACACTGACCTGTATTTTCGTGTACACACTGGAGTCTAAAACCAAGATATCCAAAAGGGCTTTAAGCTCCTTTTCTCCCTTCATTTCTAACGTTGCCTGTAAGGAATGATGGTAACTGTATGATGAAGGATAAGAAAGGATAACTAAAAGGAATGATGGTAACTGCGGTATGATGAAGGATAAGAAAGGATAACAAAGAACTAACTTTGCGTGTATATATATATACATAGAGGTGAATGATGGTAACTGTGGTATGATGAAGGATAAGAAAGGATAACAAAGAACTAACTTTGCGTGTATATATATATACATAGAGGTGAATGATGGTAACTGTGGTATGATGAAGGATAATAAAGGATAACAAAGAACTAACTTTGCGTGTATAGATATATATATAGAGAGGTGAATGATGGTAACTGTGGTATGATGAAGGATAATAAAGGATAACAAAGAACTAACTTTGCGTGTATAGATATATATATAGAGAGGTGAATGATGGTTACAGCTGTATGATGAAGAATACATTGGAGGTTTATGAAGAACTACATAACGTTGCCTGTAAGTAACAAACGCCAGTCCCATGTACTATATACGAAACATTCAAATCAGTTACCATAGAAATGACGGCTCTAGCACGTACTGTTTCTCTACTGTCTTCAAGACGTCTAAAAACAAATTTGATGATATATTAATGATAATTATCTTAACCTTACAGTCACCTAGATATGTTAACGTAGAGCCAACAAACATTTGATGATATATCAAACAGACAAACAACAATATAAAGACAACCAATCAGAAACCGAGCTATACTAGATGTATTTACCTTAGAACGAGGCTACATCCCCTTTTTCTCATTTCTAACGTAGTAAGTAATTCAGCGACTTTTGATCTCACTTCTTGATATGGATGATCCCACAGTAACCTCTGAAGTACCTCGAAAATTTCATTCGCGTCTTTAACAAGTACGTGACGGTTACCTAGACAACGGAATGTATAGCGCGAGCAGGACACGTGACTACTATAATAAAAGACGTCATTTACCGATAAACATTAGAAGGTCGCAAGCCTGGACACGAACCTTGAAAAAATACAATGATTACTTAAAGACTACGTCGTTTGTAAGATAGGTTCAATATAAATAGTGAATACCTTCCAGTCAATGGATGTGTTTAGCTCATGAAATAAAGATTCGACAATGCTAATATCTTTACAATTCATCTGACGAACTAACAGATCAAAAACCTAGATAAACAAACATTACATTAAGTATTGCGTATTTGACACGTCGTCTACTCACCCTCCCCTCCCCTCCCCAACGTTGTCACGTACCTGGGTTTTTTGAGCTGGATTGAGTGTATTTTTCTTGATCACTTTTATTAAATGATTTTTCGCGAGAGGATGAAGGACAAATAGTTTACCAAGACATAACGAACTTAGAAATGCAAGATTTTCGTCTTCATCTTCGTCTTCAACTAACTTCTCAAGGATCATAAGAATATTTTGATACGGTAGCTCCTCGCTCTGGGAAGATTATACATTTTTTCTTACATAAACTTTATCTTATTGATGAACGAAAGAAGGATTTACGAGAACCTTTTCAAAAAAGGGGATGTTTTCCACCGTAAATAAATCATTTAATATTTCCTCCTTTAGTCTTTTACTTCCTGATAAAGAATTTTATTTCATTATTTGTAACGATTTCTGCTTCAGTTCTGATAAAATTATCGACAGAAATTATTTGTCCTCACCGTTCTTCAACACATTGTAAATTATGGTGATGGCCGATGGATGCCAATTACCTAAAGAAACGATAATTAGCGTCAAGTAATGATGCTTTAATTAATGAGTTATTGTAACTTTTCCATGGAAAATGAATGCATAAAAGATGCCAAGTACCGCGGTTATATTTCCATTAATAATGAAATAATTTAAAGCCGTTATTTTAAAGTACTTTTAAACATCTGCTGTTACAACCTGTTAAAATCAAAGCTCGTCCTGCTTCATATAAAATTCTCGGATCGTCAGTTGTTTCAATCTAATGACATTATAAGACAAAAATGAATTTGATAAGTCTTCAAATCTTCAAATAACGAATATTTTTCTTACAAATTTCCCAAGGGTTTTTCCAATTTCTTCTTCTGGACATCTTAAGAAACTGAGTGACTGCAAATAATCAATAAGACGGAAGAATTCTTTTGATACATCAGATAAATTGTTTGTATTCAAACCTTCAAAGACGCAACGATTGTTCCTTTGTTCTTTGAAAAATACCATTTGATCCAATCAGCCATTTAACCCTGTCCCATTTCTCATCAGATTGCCGCGTCGTATTCCATTGCTGTTGTTGGGTTTCTAAGATCTTTAGAACTGACGGAAAGAGAAATCTATTTTAAACTATCATCGTACTGTAGATGTTGAGTATGATTACAAACCTTTCGTTGTTCGGATCATCTTATATACAATAGAAGGCCGCCATAACATCGCTTCTTGTCTAAAGGATCATTTGATTGAAATCAATGTACCAATTTATTTTGTAATAAACAAAGTTCTATGACTAGAAAATTTTCATAATTAATGTTTATCGCATACATTGCCAATTGTTTTGCAGTAGCCTCATTATTTTCCATGTTTTTCTAATTAAAAAAAAATCCCAATGCTTATATTTGATGGTCATTGAGAATGTTGATGTATAATTTAAAATGGACGTTTTCTGTTAAACCTTGGCGAGAATGAGTTGTGTTCTATTTAAAGTAACTGGCGGTTTGGTTTTGATTTTTTTCACCACTTGACCGCCTGCTGAGCACCTACTGAGACACCACACACTTGAGCTTCGTGGAAATATTGTTTTCTAAAAAAACACTTTTTCTTAGAGTTTGTTCCATTATGAAAGCTAGTGCACGGACTGTTGTTTCACCTTCGTCGATTTCTGGTCGTTATTTCTTTCAAATGGAATAATTTCATTGATTTTTAATGAGAGTTTGTCTGAAACTTCAGGTGTGGTATCATTACCGAACTATAACGATGGGAAATTATGTATAAACATGACTTATGAATTTATTGATAATCAAAAGATGGTGATCAATGACAATTAACACTCAAGATTCCCGGTGTCAGATGAAAATTCAAAAATTTATGCAGTAATTTCGGTTGAGGTAGATCAAGATTCGACGGGAAATTAGAGATTGAAATTTCGATCGATGGAGCGACGAAAAACCGTTGCTGGACTGCGGCTTCGCTTGCATGTACACAATGGCGATCGAACAAGAGGCAAAAATGCACATTATTTAAGGCATTATTTCTCGAGTTAAATTTGAATTGGACACCTAGGACTTCGCGAGAGAGGTAAGAACAATATACATTTTCATATGAGTGAAAGTTGTGTTAAGGTCTGACTACTCCTTTAAAGTTCAGTTGGGATAAACATGAAGATTTCCTACCATTGAATCTTGACATGAATCGCTTCCCGAAATTTTGCTGGTGACCTTCGTGGTGCTGTTGACACCTTGAATTGAAAAAATCATCATGAAGGATTCTTTTGAAGAATTTACATATTTTTCTACATACTGGCAGTATTTCTCGTTTTTATTTTCACTTTTTCATCTTTCTTTTCAGCATTGATTGAAGCTTTTGTAACTCGCTCAATAACATCATAAATATTGTGAAGTTTCGTGTAAAGTTTTTTTAAAGTAAGATTCTAAAACGCAAAAAAATTAGATGTATGAGAATCACTTGTAAAATAAGTTATTCTCTTTCAGTATAAAGAAAATGATTATATCTAAGATGTATTGATGAATTAAGTAGTTTGAACCCGGGAGTATCGTTGCATGTTTGTAAATGTAGATCGTCCAGGTTGGTATAGTCCTGAGAAGGACTGTTGTTGTTGATGTTGACTGACGTTTCGACAACTTTAGCGGTAGTCATCTTTAGAGTAAAGTGAAACGTCAGTCAACATCAACAACAACAGTCCTTCTCTGACTCTATGCCAACCTGGACGATCTTCATCTTCAAATAGGTAAACATATTAATCTTACATGTATATCGTTGACAGTTCTAACGTTTTCTAACTTTTCTTTCCACAGGATTTCAGGTGTAAATAATGGTTTTCTACACGAACATACAAAACAAATGTATAACAAAATCCTTTCAATAATGTGTAATCCTATGAAAGAATGTTATATGCAAGGTGACTCAACGGGATTTTTCAGGTTCATGAGACAATTGCTTAAATTGTCCAGCAAAGTGCGAAGATCATATCTTCATTCAATGTGTAATCCTTTCAATAATTACATATGTATTTCCATAACATTCCCAGTAAACTTTGCGGGTTTCAACTCTGCCTTTTTGGCATTAGCGATTCTTTTTAGTAACAATGAAACTTCACTTTAAAACTACCATTTAAACTTTAGTTTAAAAACGAATGTAAATTCGACAAAAGAAAGGGACAATATTCAGATCTATGAACGTTACCAATGCTTGACAATAAAAATATTTTCCTTTCACCTTGAACACGAAAAGATTCTCATACTTTAGGAAGAACTTTTAAAGAATTAAATAACGTTAGTTTTTAACAAATAGTCAGATGTATAGCCAGCCCACAAATTTGGTCGTGTAATGTTAACTTTTCTGTGTTCAAAGCTTTGAAAACAAGATATTTCTAAGGAAATGTCGCCGTTCTTAATTTTACATCGCAACATTAAACTTGCAGGCTGACTTCGCAACTGCAAATAGTAAATCAATGATTGGATTATTCAATAACAGAAAGTAAATACTTTTTCGTTTCTGTGTCTTTTTAAATATATCATTTTGTAAGCGGCAATTACTGTCAGTTTCATCATTTTCTAAATCAACACGTTTATCATCCGATGGTGATGTCTTCACGATGACGGGAAGCAAAGTTTGTTTTTCTAATGAATCTTTAAAAGTATCATCGCTTTGTTCAAGAATGTTAGCAGCAATTTCACTGTTATTTTGTTTGATATCATCACAAGAAAGTTTCATTGCGTCTAAAAACGAAAAGATTACCACACAATGTGAAAATGGAGAGTCCTTTCATAGCCTTGATGTACTTGTATGAATTCTTACCATAATGCAACAATTTCTGGCTGTCGTCAAGAACTGTTTTAGTGACAGCGTAAGTTTTCTGCAGCTTGCTATGCGATATTTTATAATAACTCCCGACGTTAGAAAGCATTCTTTCATATCTTGGCGATGAGACTTGTTCTTCGTCGCATGTAGCGATGTAAGTGTGCGAAAGTGTCTCTTTAAGATCATTGCAGGAATTGCATTTGATAAGATTTCTTGCTTTTTTATCGCAGTCGACAAGTAACTTCTCTAAACGATTTTCTAGCCATCTAAGTCTTTTTTTTGCCTTCTCTACATTTGTTGACTGAAAAACACACAAATGCTATCGTTTCTTAAAATTTCGAAACGGTTTAATAATTTCAAGATCCTCTATTAAGAAATAACACCGTACTTTCCTTTTAAATTTTTTTGCTTTTTCAACATCCAAACGAGCAAAAACCAGTTCATTACGAACTTTTAATATGATCTGTCAAATCAATGAATACAAATTTATTTTCTTCGTTATTGTAATCCTGGATTTTTTTACGCTTTCCGCATTGCAAATAACTTTAAATTACCTGCACAAAAACAATCAAATCTTCGCTTTTTTCTACAATGTTCTTTACGGAGTCTACCGTTTGCAGATCGAGCTAAATGTTTATGTAAATATGATTTTTTAAAGATAGCCATCAATAATCAAAGCAGCTATCATGCTATTCACCTCTTCGTCTGCCAAGTTTATTTCATCAAAAAGATTTTGCAGTTTCACTTGACTTTCCCTAACATTCTCCACCTTTAAATATGAGAAAATTTTCGTTCAAATAAGCTTCATAAAGTAGAGGAATGATGACTTAACCAGCAGTTTTATACCTGTTCATTTACTAAGCCACTAATTTTTTTCGATTTTTTTATCAACTCATCTGTATTTTCTCTGGATTGTACCAACAACTGTTCACCGTCAATTTCATCATTACATACAACACGAATTACAGGCAATGTTGTCGTCATAATAACGACTTTAAATGACAATCAATAGCTGCTGTTTATAAGCAGTAACATTTATGACAGATTGCAGTAATTTTCATGATTTTTTTTCAACCACGAATAGATTTTAAAAGGTTTATTCTGACAAATACGATTTTATCATCTTGTCCGCCATGATGGTTACCTAGCAACGCGTTCAGTAACCATGGTAACTGTGGTCATGCCGAAGCGTCCCGTCAATAATTTCGCGAAATATTTTACGTTTTCAGCATGGCGGATGAAATGGAGGAAAACCTCGCTGAAAAGGAAGAAATTTCTAGTTTTAAAGACCTTGTAAGCGTTAAGTTTTCTTTTTAAATGGGATGATACGATAAATAACTGTATGAAATGTTTTATTGCGCTATTTTATTCAGGAGTCACAGATATTTTGTGTGAAGCTTGTGAGAAAGTCGGATGGAAAAAACCCACAAAAATTCAACAAGAATGCATTCCTCTGGCATTGCAAGGTTTGTTAGTCGAACTAACTGAGTATTGTGGATTATTTGAATCTTTAATATCATTAATGTTATTGTCTTTTAACATAGAGAAAGACATTATCGGTTTAGCAGAAACAGGCTCAGGCAAAACGGGAGCATTTGCTTTACCTATACTTCAGACATTACTTGATAATCCTCAAAGACTTTTTGCTTTGGTTCTTACTCCAACAAGGTATGCACATTGTAGATAATTACTTCCAATTTCCAAACATCGCTAGTTAAGACATTTTTATGTGTTTTTATTTAAGGGAACTTGCATTTCAGATATCTGAGCAGTTTGAAGCTTTGGGATCTTTAATTGGTGTGAAATGTGGTAAGTATTGTCATGTGGTCATTCTGAGTGTAATATTTTATATTTAAATTTCATGATTTTAGCATGGAGGTATTTGTATCAAAGCTTGATTTAGAGGATGTATGAAAAATGTGAATTTTAGCATCAATTGCTTGAAAGTTATAACAGCTACTCAACAGTTTTATATTATGCTTGTATTATGTATAGATATCAATATATTGCTATCTATATCCCATGATGTCCTGTAAACTATAAAATGTCTCATATTTTCTATAATGTTTATTGTTTCAGCTGTTATTATTGGTGGTATTGACATGATGTCACAGTCGTTGGCTCTTGCAAAGAAACCTCACATTATTGTCGGTAAGAATTTACTACAACAAACTCATTCTCCAGCGAGTCTAATGGTCTAAACATAAAATAGACATTTAGCAAAATTATAGTGTTAAAGATTTTGTTTTACCCAAAAACCAACATGACATTTCATAAAATAACAATGCTCTACCTAGTCTTGATTATTAAGTTTGAATAAAATATTTTGTTCAATCTCCATGGTCTGTTTGCTACTTTTATTGAAACTATCAATACTGAATATTTATTGATTTGAACACTTTATTTTACTTTTTTGTTTTATTGGTTAAAAGCAACACCCGGACGAATTGTTGACCATCTTGAAAACACGAAAGGATTCAATCTCAGACCTTTGAAGTTCTTGGTATGTTTCAATTTTTTCATGTGCTCACTCTAGTCCCCAGTACTTGTAAATGTTTCATGAGTATTTTAGTTATTATTTAATACTTGATGTAAATTTAAGATAACTATTTTAGGTGATGGACGAAGCAGACAGAATTCTGAACATGGACTTTGAAAAAGAGGTAAGTATGACTGGTGCTTAATGCAAACTTAGGATATGGAATTTAAAATGTTTTTGAATTGCTTTTACACGCACAATATTCTTAATAAGTAAATGTTTTGAACCCGGGAGTATCGTTACATGTTTGTAAATGTTGATCATCCAGGTTGGTATAGTCTTGAGAAGGACTGTTTTTGTTGTTGTTGACTGACGTTTCGACAACCTTAGCGGTAGTCATCTTCAGAGTCATCTTCAGAGTCAAAACGTCAAAAATTTTGACTCTGAAGATGACAACCGCTAAGGTTGTCGAAACGTCAGTCAACATCAACAAAAACAGTCCTTCTCAGGACTTTATCAACCTGGACGATCTACATTTACAAACATGTAACAATATGTTTTATTTAATATTAATTTTCTTTCATCTAAAGGTTGACAAGTTATTGAAAGTGATTCCTAAAGAAAGAAGAACATATTTATTTTCCGCTACAATGACAAAAAAGGTAAGTTGAATTTTCTCTGAAAAGTCATGTTTAAAGTTGCAATTATTCAAAAACAAACAAACCAGATTTGCAATTATTCGTACGTATAAAATTCTAACATCACAATGTTACGTCCAATCAGGTGAAAAAACTTCAGAGAGCATCGTTACAAGATCCTGTTAAAGTAGAAGTTTCAACAAAGTAAGCATTTAAACCAATCCTTGTTGATGTGTCTTTGTATCCTATAACATTGCACATGTTTATCCCTTAATATCCATCAAAAAATCCAACAGTATCCTACAATTTCATTCTTGTTTATGTATCACAGGTATACAACCGTTGAAAAACTTCTACAAAGTTATATTTTCATACCAAGCAAGTACAAGGTGAAATAAAAATTGTTTCTATCATTACAGAAAACTTTTTTGACTACCTGCGTATTTGACTATGTGTTGTTTTAAGGACTGTTATCTTGTTAGTATCTTAAATGAGCTCGCTGGGAATTCCTTTATGGTGTTTTGTGGTACCTGTAACAATGTGCAAAGGTAAGATTCTTGTTTCAACTTTACATTTTATTCTACATCAAGGAAAAGGTTCATAGCTGACATTTTCATATATTTTACAGAACGTCATTATTACTGCGTAACCTTGGTCTTCATGCCGTTCCTCTACACGGACAAATGAGTCAGGTGAATTTTTTACTGTAAACTTTCTTGGATATTATAGTTTATTTTATGAGAAGAACTCTTGTCAACAAATGCACTGTTTTCGAAAGCAAAAATCTGTTTTCGGTGCATGCTTCACGATACTCTGAGATACGGAGGGCACTAGAACGTCGCATATTGATTATTGACGTTTCAATGGAAGATATAGCTCTCGACACGCTTTGCCATTTTGGGATGACAATAGTAAACTTCAAACCACTGTAACGCACAAAGTTACTCTGTGTTTGCAAGGAGACCATCGTTTCGACCAACGTTTTGGTTCATAAGCCTTTGTAACTTAGCAATACTAAGCCTACCCACGCTGCTATTCGACATCTACTGTACATGATATTAATATGAATTGTGGTGTAATTAAGTAAATGTCGTTGATGGAAATACAAAACAAATATATGAAACATTTTATGTGATTGATTCAAATTACGAATAAAAGAGCAGTTTCCTCTTTAAACTTTTCACAATCCCTGGATTCCTAACAATCAGTAACAATGACAAATTTATATGATGTATTCATTTTTATTACCAGTCAAAACGTCTTGGTACTTTGAATAAATTCAAGTCAAAATCCAGATCTATCTTGGTCGCAACAGACGTCGCAAGTCGAGGTTTAGATATCCCTCATGTTGATGTTGTCATTAATTTTGATATTCCTACACATTCCAAGGTAAATGATGAAAACTTTTTCAAATGAAAGGTTTAAACCTGGGAGTATTGTTACATGCTTGTTGATGTAGATTGTTCAAGTTGATGTAGTCTTGAAAAGGACTGTTGTGTGTTGGTGTTAATATTGACTGACGTTTCTACAACTTCAGCAGCGGTAGACCATCTGCAGATGTGGTCCTTCTTGACTCTGAAGATGTCTACCGCTAAGGTTGTCGAAACGTCAGTCAACATCAACAAAAACAGTCCTTCTCAGGACTATACCAACCTGGACGATCTACATTTACAAACATATAAACTTTTTCCTTAAAAAAAACACGTCAATATTTTTTATGAGAAAGGAACTCATAATTCCAACAACATATTTCACATTCAATATTATTTATTCTTTTTCACGTACACTAAACATCAATTTCTGTATTATTACAGGACTACATACATCGTGTTGGTCGCACAGCTCGCGCGGGGAGATCTGGTAGAGCCATAACATTTGTCACTCAGTAAGTCCATTATATTTGTAATTCGTTATTACACAAGATAACGAGTGTATAAATTATTTATTTACCTTTCAGGTATGACGTTGAGTTGTATCAACGTATTGAGGTATTGATTGGAAAAAGATTACCAAAATTTGACGTCGTTGAAGAGGAAGTGATGGCGCTTGTAGAGCGAGTTACTGAAGCACAAAGAATTGCAAAAATGGTCAGTTGTTTTATATTTTTTTAGCATGGTCCATAAACCAACCCACTTTTATCTTACTGTGTCCATGTACTACATTCTCCTACACTTATGTACATCATGTATTGTAGGAAATGCGTGAGATGGAAGAAAAGAAAAAACGACCCAGGCAGGACAAAGATATTGACAATGAAATGCAAATACCAAAGAAAAAAGGAAGAACTAATTCAGCAAATAAAAAAAGAAAAACAAGGTAGAAAAATATGTGAAAGTTTACATGGAAACTGAAGATATATTTTAATGGTTGATGGAAGAAAATTGAATATCTAGGTCAAGTCAATTTTACCATTGATACCAAAGGAATTTTCTTCACAAGACATAGATTTATAGTATATTTTCTGATTTACTGCACAAGAATATGAATATTTATTTAACATGTGAATGACAATCATAAACAATTGTTAAATCATCGGCAAAAGATTGTTAACCATCGCTTTAGAAACTCCAACTTCAATTGTCAATTGAACATTGCAACCAAGCATATTTTCAATTTCATATTTCACACTTCTTTCAAGTTCACCAAACTTTTCTAAAATACATCGCCGTTGACTTTCACAGGGCAAAACAACTTCTGATGAACCTTCAAGCTGCCATCTTCATTTTCTTCACAAAATACATTTACCTAGAATACTTAAAACTGTCACATCTTTGTCTAATTTTGAGGACTGTTGGTGTTGTTTTTGACTGACATTTCGACAACCTTAGTGGTAGTCATGTTCAAAGTCAACACCAACAGTCCATTCATCAAACCTGGATGATTTACATCTACAAACATTCAATGGTACTCTTAGGTTCAAACATTTACATTAAAGAAAAATATTTGAAGAAAACAGAGGATGTTAAATTTAGGAAACTCATGATTATCATGGTGAATAAGTATGCTGGCTCAATGTACCTGTTTGGTTTGCCAAGGTATTTCATGTTTGTATAGACTTAATAATTTCCCTCGAAATACTTCTGCTATTTGTTCTTGAATATTGAGATCGGTTGTGACACCAGGTGAATACGGCCAATCATCTGGTTTTGCTTTGGCAATCAAGTAGTCATTTAGTTGTTGAATACCATCACCAGATAGCGCAGATACCATGAATACCTGATCAAACCTATTCATCCCTCCTTGTGGTAGATATCCCCATTTATCCTTTTCTCGATCTTTGGTGAGAACGGCAGAATAATGAAGAAGTTTCACTTTGTGTCTGATCAAATCAATCTTATTTAAAATCAAAATTGTCTGCAGTTCAGGTTTGGTTTCCAGTAAATTCAATATTTCATGATGGATTCTTATACGTTGATATTTATTTGATGAGTCAGTGAGTACGGCAGCCAAATCAACCTCTTCAAGACAACTAGCTGGAGTGCGTAAATGTTCTTTTGTCATTTTTAAACGTTTACCATCTTCAGCTGTAACAACTCCAGGTGTATCCAGTAATACCAATTGACTTTCACCTATGAACCCATTAACCACACAATGTCAGCTTATTTATGGTAGGTCTTGTTAACTATAAAGTAAATGGTTTGAATCCTGGAGTATTGCTACACGTTTGTGGATGTAGATCGTTGAGGTTAGTAGAGTTCTAACGACTGTTGGTGTTGATGTTGACTGACATTTCGCTCACCTTGACTCTAAATATGACTACCGCTAAGGTTGTCGAAACGTCAGTCAACATCAACAACAACAGTCCTCAGGACTCTACTAACCTGGACGATCTACATCTACAAACTGGAAATCTATCATCTACACTACATTACCTTCTGTACAAACTCCAAGAGTACGTTGTCTTGTTGTATGTGGTACTGATGTTACTATAGAAACCTGATTACCAACAAGACCATTTACTAAAGTTGATTTGCCGCAGTTAGGTTCTCCAATGATTGCCACTCGTAAAACTCGCGTTCGTTTATTGTTCTCATTGTTTTCGTTTGTGGAAGAATTTCTTATCGTCGCCGAACTAGTAACTGACCGTTCTATTCTACATTGAACGATTTTACAAAACAAACTTCTACATCTCTTAAAATGTCCGCAAAACCTCCAACTTGAAGAACTTGTTATGGCAGCCATTTTTACACAAATAATTTAGAAACAAGAGTTAATTAAATATTAATCAATTAATTAATTTACACGAACTTGTTACGTAATTTTACGAAACTTTACGAAGTTCTATCTCTCGCGAGTACGTCACGAGACTCGAGATTTTCACGGGTTTCTTTGCACATAAAGATTTTTGTATTATGAAGGACCATCCCTTCATATTTTCCATTCTTTATTGTCGAATAACCCATGCGCATCAAACGAGGGAATCGTTGATAATTATCGCGATAACTTATTTTATTTCATGTCATATTCGATTAGCAATCATTTGGGACAAATTTTATATTAAATAAAAGCTTTTTTAATAAATTATATCAAAAATAATGAACGAAATTTCAATTCGTACGAATAAAGGAGAGTACGTCGGTGGAGACATAATTTATGGGTAAGTAATGTTGTTTCAAAAAATTGATCTGTGACCTTTAGTAACATTCTCTGTTACAATCAATAACTATCAAATCAACTTGACTTTTCATTGTTCACAGTAGCAGGTGCCTGTATCATAACAAACAAATATTCTAAATTAGATGTAGATATGATCTTCGCACTTTGTTGATCCCGTTGAGTCACCTGAATTTTTCAGGTTCATGAGACAATTAGCTCATCAGCTTAAATTGTACAACAAAGTGCGAAGATCTATATCTACATTTAATTTCAAACACCGCACAGCATAAAACATTCTTTCATAAAACAAATATTCTTTTGTATATGCCCTCGAACATTGCTGGATTGCAAGTTGAGAATAATGTGAAGAAAGAGAGTTTATGTAAAGTTTTTGTTTATTTGCAGGACTGTCTATCTCTGGATTAACCAACCAACATTAGCTAAAGAAATAAAGCTCAAAATTAAAGGTTATGAAAAATGTGAGTATTTTGTTGAAATATTTTTTTTGCTGGTTTTGATTTGAGTGTGAAGTGACACTGTTTTGTCGTTTTTGACGAATTTTTATCACAGAAATGAAGTTTATTTAAAATAAAACTTATAAATATGAGTTAAAACAACACCAGGGTTTGAGTTGGGCTGAAAATTCTGTGTTATAATACTAAAGTTGTTTTTGCATCTTTTCTAACTTTTACAGATAAATTTTTTTCTATAATTATAGGCAAATGGGATTATGTAAAACATGTTAGTCGTGAAGGACCTGATGGAACGACTGAATGGGAAACAATTGAAGGCAATGTTAAAGGAGATCGAAAGTTCTTTGAAACCGAGTTTACATTGGTTGAGTATCACGGTATAACTGAAATTTATATAAATATACAGGTTCAATGCTTTTGTTGTAGATTCAAATTTTATATTTTAACATATAGATGGAATTCCATGTGGTCATTATGCATATCCTTTTCAATATCCTCTTAGACAAGACTTACCTGGTACTAATTAATACAGTTATGAAATATAAAATATTATGTATATTGCAATGTATAAATTTGAATTTCTTGAGAAATATGTACATACATGTACATAAGATATTCTTTTATTGAGAATAGAATTTTGGTTTTTCCTAACTTGTAGCTGTTTAAATTTAGGATCATTTTGTATGAAAGGCAAAACTCCAGATTCATATGAAGGAAATGACTGGCAGGCAGATATAAAATACAAAGTTAAAGCCAAAATGGAAGCTTCTGATAACAAGTTGAAGGTTGTTTAACAGATGAGGTTGCTTAATTGATCACAAACAAATTCAGCCTCTCATATACTTTCTGGTTTTTAGGTGACCCAACCATTGATTATAATGACACAAGATCTCATTTAAATTATCAACCAGAAACACATGAGAAAGAAGAAACAGTGCGATTGTGTTGCTGTATCCCCAGAGGAAATGTGAAATTAAGTGCTCGGTTAGAAAAGTCTTTAGTTGTTACACAGTTGTAGGAATAAAGTACAATTGTAAAATTTATTGTTTTTGTTTTAGTTTGGATAGTGATGTTTATGAGGCTGGATCCACAGCAAGAATTCATGTTGATGTGGTTAACGATTCCAGTGTTGATATCGAAAACTTTGTTCTTAAGGTTAAAAGAAGAAACCAAGTGTGAAAACATCATGTTCTTACGATTTTGAGAGAATTTTTCATTGCAGTTAATGCAGGTGATTCATTTAAAAGGAAAGGATGATGATGATCTTGAGAAACTAATATCATTGACAAATACAGTATGAGTCGCTCACGATGGTTGCGAGAAAGAAAGCAAGAAAGAATGGTTAGATGGTCTTTCTATTCTATTAATGTTTGATATCTAATGTATAGTTATAATGGTTGATTCTTTGATAGTGATATTGATTTGGAATTAAAATCTCCGGGTGGTAAAATTGAACCAACAACAAAAGGTGACCATATAGAGGTATGTAATGATGTCTTTACTCACCATTTCTGAGAAAACATCTTTCATATAAAAATTTTTTATTATTTTAGTGTACTTATCATATTGACATTGAAATGCAAGTGAATTGGGCAAGGGACATTGAAATTCATGCACCTATTACCTTAATTGCACCTTCAAATACCTGGGTAAGAGATATTGTTGTTTTCACTACTATTTTCTATTGTTAATAATTATGAATGTCCGGACTTGAATTTAGTGGAATGATTGGTGAAACCTCAGTGGGTGATGAACTGTCAGCCAGTACCAGTTCAAGGACCATGTGCCGTACCAATAGCTGTGACAGGTAAAATGTAGTTGTTGTAATAAAGAAATTAAACATGCAGTCGAAGATGGATTGTTTTTGGAGAAATATTAAAACAATGGCGTTATGTTTCAGGTTCTCAAACTTTCAACAACATTCCTGGCTTTGGACCTCCGCTATAAGATGAGAAAACATTCAAGATAAAATTCAAAATAAGAGTGTTTGGGTGCATAAAGTAGGAATTATAGGTGTTGTTGCTTAAAATAATTATGAATATGAATAATGATTAATTTTGTAAGAATATAATAATTACATAATAACATTCCTTTCTTATTACATAACAAATCTAAGAGATTAGTAAGTTATGTCTTGATTCTTCATTTAGCACTGACATATAACTTAAATTAGAGATGTTACTGCACAAACTACAATTTGCACCCATTTTGTAAACTCACCATAATCTGATGTATTTGACTTGTTATGGTTAAAACTGTTAATTATTATCTACGTCGGATGAATTGTCTTAGTGTTCCAAGTCACTTCGCTAATTATTGCCTAAGTAACTCCAATGACTGACCATTTGAAGAAGAAATTCTTTTATGCATAGTTACACACAGTGTGCGAATTAGTTCAGAAAAAACGATGTGCAATTTTTTGACAAAAGTGTTTCTTTAGAGGCATAATCAATTATTATACAGCGCTAATTGCTAAATTAATATTTTTAAACGTGAACAAATTCATATGATTTACCACAGTGTTTTTTGTTAAAACCACTGATTTTTGCTCATCGTTTAAAAAAGTGATGTGCAATTGTTTTCATTTTAGCTAAAACGATCTGCAAGTTGCACATTGCACACCGTTAATTCGCACACTGGTTACACACTTTTAAAGTTCAAGAGCATGTATTATTCTGTACATAATCCTGTCATTTTTTCACTAATTTCCCAAAGTTTTTTAGCCTTTCCATCATCTCTAGCATGCGGGGCACAATCGTTTTTCTTGCAGTCACCAAAATACATTCCAGACACTCCTTCTAATGTCGGTTCAGTGGCACAGTAGATGGAAGTCTGGGCTCCTTGCCAAGGGGTTTTGAGAATTAGGAGTAATAAGGGATATGCGAGATATTTAAAAAGAGTATAAAAGGTGGTGTATCTTGCTAATTCTGTGAATACTATCCCAGGATGCACTGTGTTTACTGTGACACCTAAATATAAAAGAAAGGACGTTTAATTATTGAAATATATTTTATTTACATGTTGTTAACCAATCACAGAAATGGGTGTTTCAAATACCTTGAGGTAGTCGCTTTAACTCGTGAGCAAATAACAAGTTTGCAAGTTTACTCTGTGCATAAGCTCTCCTTGGATTGTAATTTTTGTCACCATTTAAATCTTCAAAGTCAATACTACCATACTTATGTAATGAGCTACTAACAATAATAATTCTGCTGGGTTTGGATTTAGCTAGAGTGTCCATAAGGAGGTTTGTTAGAAGAAAATGTCCAAGATGATTAACAGCAAACTGCAATTCAAAGCCATCTTCAGATTTCCAGTGAGGAGTGCCATAAATACCGGCATTGTTTATCAAGATATGTAAAGTATTTCCTGTCTTTGTGAAATCTTTAGCAAACTGTTTAATGGACTTCAAAGAAGACAGATCAAGGAAAAATACACACACGTTAGCATTACGTACTCGATGTCTTATTTCATCAGCTGCCTTGTCACCGCGTTGCAAACTTCTGCAAGCTAATATTATTTTAGCACCCTTTCTTGCTAAGGCCAACGCAGTAGCTTTCCCAATGCCTGTATTTCCTCCAGTAATGAGAGCAGTTTTTCCGCATAAACTGACATCGTTTTGACATATTTTACCACCGAAATAACGTCTAAATAACCAGACTAAAGTTCCACAAGCACCGGCAACAGCAATAACGTACATCTTGGAAATCAGGAAAGAAACAAACAGAATTTACAGAAGTATTGGAACTACAAGTCTACAACAATGATCTAGTACCCATTCTCCTAGAACGTCACTCAGCCAAATCGAACATTGCTGCAAACTTATAATTAGCCTCTTTCCCTCCCCTCCCCAAACGTTGAAAAAAACGTATACGTATGACTGCTGTACTACACTACTACTATACCACTTTTTCTTTCTCCTACATTTCCACTTTCCAGTTGTATTTTCTGTAATATAAATGACTAAAAAGTGGTTTTCAACAAATTTTTCTGCTATTTTGTTCCGATACATGATAATTATTCATTTTTTAAAAATCTATTGTTTTTCATTTAGCGAATACATAGAAATAAGAGGACAGGATACTTCACTATTTGTTGTAGTAAAAAGTCCATTCGCATGAAATATATTAACTAAACTTGAGCTACATCAATTGTACAATGGGCGCTACTGGTTCATCATTAGTTTTATACAGGAATATCTTTTAACCCAACAAAAAAACAATTGTTTCAACTTAATCTGTTAAAAAAACAGAAAGGATTTTTTTCTCTTTTCAACTATCTTCTTCTGATCTTTTCATAAAAAAGATGTAGAAAATAGCGCAGGGTACCATCTCATTTAGCTGGTATCTCATAATTTTTTAACATATTTAAGGCCTTAAAAATGTTAAACTTTTTTTTGTATCGATAACTAGTAAAAATAGGTAAGATTGTCCAAGTATGGCTGGTGGGTTGGATTTCTGATCCACTTGAAGGAAAAAAAAGTGGAGATTCTCATAAATCTTCTCTTCCTGTTGAATTGAAACATTCTTCAAAGATTTTTTTTCCGGAATTAGGTGTATCTTATTATCAGACAACCAAAAATAAAAAAAAAGGAAGCTCTCCAACCGTAGAACCAAATTTAAATTCATATTTAGGTCAAATTTATGACTACTGACTACTGATGTTACTGACAAGAACTTAAACGACACATGCAAAAATCCTTTTGAAAGCTCGTAGCTTCGCCTTCTGAGAGGATGCTCTAAATACACTTCGCCGTTAGAATTTCCCCCCTTTGTCATTTGAGCTTGTACAATATTCATACTTCCGGGTTTATGGTTGTTCGAGACTTAGAGTTGCAAGTTTTATAAACTTTTCTGCTTACTTCCAGATCACAAGATCAACTCTCGTGATGTATCATGTTATGCTGACTTATGCTAGGAATGCAAACTCTACACAGCATCTTCGTTACAAAGGATTATAATATAATTACAAGGGACAATGCCGAATAACAAAGATCCTTGGTCTGAAACAATTGCCCTGGGTATTGGAGTATGTGCTGTTGCTTGTGGTGGGATTTTATATTCTTATCATAACAATTTATCTTCAAGTCATCTAAAAATATCAAGTTCAGAAGAAATAAACGTCGATTGTCAAGCTGCTAATGTACCGGTATGTTTTAATTTAAGGATAACTTTTAACCAGCGGACTTTAAAATTGATAATGTTCGTTCATTCAAAGAATGATAAAATGTGTATAGAATAGAGCTATAAAACGACAATGTTCAGCAATGTATAGGCCCCTGATTAACGTGTGACGAGCAAATTAAATTCTCGTCTTTGAACTTTAGTCAGTCAGTTGCAGGCTGCAGGAGGTTGCAGGAACGTTAATTTGAGGGGTAAGGGGGGAGGAATCAATATTCATGTATTTAATTCTACCCTACTAACTTTTGAAAGTTGATTAGCTTTTAAATGAAGTCAGTGGGAAACAAATGAATAACCCCCCTTATTTAACATTCTATGATAAATGAATCCAGGGACATTCAGGGGGACTTGCCTCTTGTGTTTATTGCACATGTGGGATAAAACTATTTTCAGAATCCCTAGCTTTGCTAGGGATCTATGTACACAGTGCTATAGAATTAAATTTATCAGATGGGGGGGCTCTCTTGATGTTTTTGTCAATAGTGCCCTTTTAAAATTACCCATTTCAAAGGTAGAAGGTGGCTCCTCCCCCAAGCCCCCCCAGTTCTACAGCACTGAGTGTACAATACCTTCCATTAGCAAATGTAATAAATATTTTATTGTTAAATGTATTTCCTCTATTTGAATAGGAATATCCTGGTGCAAAAGATCTCTGTTTTCAGAAGATTTGGTGGTGTCATATCAAGGAATTACTACTGTTTATGAAGCATATGACAGAGGAACTCAGATTTCTGGTTAATTAATTTTTGTGTTTAGTTATTTTTGTAAGTTATTTGATGAAGTATTCATTTATTAATGCACTCTACAGGTGACCAGCCATATCTTGGTACGATAGTTAATGGGAAATATTCATGGTTAACACACAATCAGGTAGTTCTCATATTTACTACAAACAATATCTATAGTGCCTGAAGTCCTTATGAGTTATAGTTTGACCCAAATTTTAGGTGCATCAAAAAGCACTTGCTCTAGGATCTGGGATAATGGAACTTGGCTATAAACCATCAACTCAAATGACATTTGGTATTTATGCTGTGAACAAATTGGAGGTTTCACACATTATGATTTTTGACTTAGATTGGCCATATTTTGATCTGTAATGTTTTATTTTATTTTCAGTGGATGTTAATGGACAGAGCCTGTGTTATGTTTTCCTTTGTATCCGTTCCACTGTATGAGAGTTTAGGTGTTGAAGCATGTATCTACATCATTAACCATGGTATGTTTACTAAGAATGTTGAAGTTACTATGGTGATTAAGAAACATCTGTTGATGACACTTGATTTCAAATTATATTCAGCTGAGTTATCATTAGTTGTGTGTGATGAGAACAAGCTGCCAATATTATTGGAGTCAGCTCATCAATGTCCTAAACTCCAGCATATTATAAAAATTGGTGATGTGACAAAGGATGAGAGAGAAAACTTTAAAAAACTTGGAATAACTGTAAAGTCATTTGAAAATGTTATGGTAAGAATTCTTTGTTGGATTTGGTTAATTAAGTACAAGAATTTGTCATGCTTAACGATTTGTGTTCATTTGTTATTTTTTAGTTAATGGGACACTGGAATCCTTGGAAAATATCTGTATGTTATCTTTTTCTGGGCGATTTTTTCTTCTTTGTTTTAAAAATTATGTATTTGTTCAAAATAATGGGATTTTGTGGTGATTTATTTCAGCCTGCTAAACCTGACGATCTTTACACAATTTGTTTCACAAGTGGTACCACAGGTAAGATTTATGTGTAGTTTTACCTTGTGGCAGATTAAAGTAGGGAGTAATTATTTCAGCGTGCTAAACCTGCCGATGTTTACACAATTTGTTCCACAAGTGGTACCACGGGTAAGATTTATAAGTAGTTTTACCTTGGAACGGATGAAAGTAGGGAGTAATTATTTCTGCCTGCTAAATCTGACGATGTTTACACAATTTGTTTCACAAGTGGTACCACAGGTAAGATTTATGTGTAGTTTTACCTTGGGACAGATGAAAGTAGGGAGTAATTATTTCTGCCTGCTAAACCTGACGATGTTTACACAATTTGTTCCACAAGTGGTACCACAGGTAAGATTTATGTGTAGTTTTACCTTGGGACAGATGAAAGTAGGGAGTAATTATTTCAGCCTGCTAAACCTGACGATGTTTACACAATTTGTTTCACAAGTGGTACCACAGGTAAGATTTATGTGTAGTTTTACCTTGGGACAGATGAAAGTAGGGAGTAATTATTTCTGCCTGCTAAACCTGACGATGTTTACACAATTTGTTTCACAAGTGGTACCACAGGTAAGATTTATGTGTAGTTTTACCTTGGGACGGATGAAAGTAGGGAGTAATTATTTCAGCCTGCTAAACCTGACGATGTTTACACAATTTGTTTCACAAGTGGTACCACGGGTAAGATTTATGTGTAGTTTTACCTTGGGACAGATGAAAGTAGGGAGTAATTATTTCAGCCTGCTAAACCTGACAATGTTTACACAATTTGTTTCACAAGTGGTACCACGGGTTGGATTTATGTGTAGTTTTACCTTGGGACAGATGAAAGTAGGCAGTAATTATTTCAGCCTGCTAAACCTGACGATGTTTACACAATTTGTTTCACAAGTGGTACCACGGGTAAGATTTATGTGTAGTTTTACCTTGGGACGAATGAAAGTAGGGAGTAATTATTTCAGCCTGCTAAACCTGACAATGTTTACACAATTTGTTTCACAAGTGGTACCACAGGTAAGATTTATGTGTAGTTTTACCTTGGGACAGATGAAAGTAGGGAGTAATTATTTCAGCCTGCTAAACCTGACGATGTTTACACAATTTGTTTCACAAGTGGTACCACAGGTAAGATTTATGTGTAGTTTTACCTTGGGACGGATGAAAGTAGGGAGTAATTATTTCAGCCTGCTAAACCTGACGATGTTTACACAATTTGTTTCACAAGTGGTACCACGGGTAAGATTTATGTGTAGTTTTACCTTGGGACAGATGAAAGTAGGGAGTAATTATTTCAACCTGCTAAACCTGACAATGTTTACACAATTTGTTTCACAAGTGGTACCACGGGTAGGATTTATGTGTAGTTTTACCTTGGGACAGATGAAAGTAGGCAGTAATTATTTCAGCCTGCTAAACCTGACGATGTTTACACAATTTGTTTCACAAGTGGTACCACAGGTAAGATTTATGTGTAGTTTTACCTTGGAACGGATGAAAGTAGGGAGTAATTTGCTATCGCCAGGAGCTACGTGATTATGAGAACACCTGCAAAAAGCAAAGTTATTTCTTCTAAAGAAATAAAGCCTTCATTTAGGCCAACCAAAGGGAGTGATGTTGAGCAACAAGAACATGATATCCTGCCTCGCTGCAACTTTTATACATTTTGAGAAGGTTTAGTAAAATGAAGATAGTATCTTTGCTGTGTTCTTTAGTTTCAATTTCTCCATACTTTCGTCTTTAGAATGGCTACCCAGTGGATTCAAGCTTTGTTCACATATCCTATCTTCCGCTTCCTCACATGTACGAGAGACTTGTTATGGTAACTGAAAAATATTTTACTTCCTGGTTTAAGTTGTTATTTTAAGCTACAAATTTTTGTATTACGCCGTCGTCATTTTTAGATGATTATTTGCTGTGCTGGAGGTAGAGCTGGGTTCTTTCGTGGTGATGGGAAACTTCTTTTGGATGACATCCAGTTATTGAGGTAATTCTCTTGAAATTCATTCACTTGTTGTGGATCACTATAAATCATACAATATGATGTGTGATTAATTTTTTAGGCCGACATTCTTCGCTTCAGTTCCTCGTTTGTTAAACCGTCTTTACGATAAGGTTATTCAATGTAGACAATCGTTGTTTATTTGTGTGAAAGATTTGTTGTGCTCATTTGTCTGTGATTTTAATTCTGCAGGTTATATCAAATATTGAAAGTAGCAGTGGCTTAAAAAAATGGCTGTTCTACAAGGCTTTTGAGTCGAAGAGAGCGGACTTGAAAAAGTATTCAATAGTGAATGAAATAGCTTTAAGACCATTATGAAAATCTAAATATATTTATTTTCACTGTAGAGGTCAAATTTCCAAAAATACTTTTGGGACAAAATAGTTTTTCATAAAATTCAGGTACGAAACGGACAGGCTGTTACGTCACCGGTGACTAACTGTTACGTCACCAGTGACGACCTGTTACGTCACCGGTGACTTCATGTTACTTCACCCGTTAAGGCTGTTTACTTTACTGGTGGGGGCTTGCTTCGTCACAGGTAAGAGTCGGTTACGTCACCGATGAGGCCTCGTTACGTCAACATTGTATAGTCATAAAACACTTCATTCGTTTCATTAAAAAAGCTTTTATCATGTTTCAAGTATATTGAGATCAGTGATTTTCCTTATATTTCCCGCTAATTGTTTTACTCTCACCTGGCCAATGAGTTGTAAATTACATTTCGCTGCACCGGGCACTCGCCGTCATTCTTTCGGGGGACTGGTATTGAAACTAACCGAGAACTTTCTTCTTTACAGGCAATTTTAGGTGGAAATGTAAATGCCATTCTCACAGGTGCTGCTCCTATTGATGGTAAAGTTTTAGAGTTTTTAAGAGTCGTTCTTGGATGTTTGGTTCGTATTTATTGATGACATCACGTTTTAACTGTGTTACCATGGTTACATATAAGTTCTCTTTGTATTAAGATTTTTGAAGGTTATGGTCAGACTGAGTCTACAGCACTTGTTTCTCTGACAAATAAACTTGATCTTTCACCAGGTACTACGTATTTCCGTATGAACACTTCTGCGGTACTTCATTTAAAATGTAATATTGTTAACGTTGAGAAAGTCAATATTAAGACATTAAGACCTAAGTAAGGTTGCCTGGGTCTGAATAGTTGATTTGAAGTGTTTTGTCATCTTTTATTTATGTACAATGAACTATAATATCCTAGAAAATGAGCTAAAAGCGAACACTTAATGTTCATCTTTATTGTTAGATTGTCACAATTACCTATAAACTCCATTCATATTATCTACGTAGGTACCAGGCCTTGCAGTTGATAGCGCTATTATTGTAGTCATGTCCAGGTTTTGTAATCATTTCTAATTAATAATGGTACAATGTTTTCCTAAGTATTTTACACAATATAAAGTGAATAACTCACTAGGAATTTTTCAACATATTTTATCCATCTGTATACTTATAAGTGACACTATCTTATACATGTCTATACCAACAGGTGACTATATTTTATCCATGTATGTACCTATAGGTCACGTTGGATCACCTAGTGCCTGTAACTATGTGAAACTTGTTGATGTACCAGAAATGAACTATTTTACTTCAAACAATCAAGGCGAAGTAACGAATCTTGTTTTTATTTTCTACTTTGCTAATGTTATGTTACGATTGTGCATTGAAAGAATGATTTTTGTTTTAAGATATGTGTCTATGGTCCAAATGTCTTCAAGGGATATCTTAAAATCCTGACAAAACATCTGAAATGTTAGATGATGATGGCTGGTTGCATACAGGTGATGTAGGAGAATGGAAACAGGTCAGTTGAAGTTACATAGTAGCAAAGGATGTAAAATAATGTTTTTGTTGTTATCGAAATTAATGTGGGAAAATGACGTTAACTGGTTGTTAATTTTGCTAAGACATTATCTGTAAGCGAATTCAGGAAGATGATAACTAAAAACAGACATTTGACTTCAAGAATTTTACACCAAATACGAAACAAGTTCCTTTGAAAGAAATTTATTATAATTTATTATAATATATTAATATTAATTTTATTTCTTTAAGAAGAAAACGATAGGAAAAATATTTTGTCATCATGAACAATTTTTTTTGTATTATCGTACTTTCATGCAAAAAAAGTGTACATTATCTTTTACTTAATGATTAAGTATGTGGTGAGGTGCTCATAATGTTTCTGTTTTTGTTTTATAGAATGGAACGCTTAAAATAATTGGTCGAAAAAAATGTATTTTCAAGTTGTCGCAGGTTTATAAAACATAAATGATAGCAACTATTAAATATTTTGTTTTTTTTTATTTATCTTATTTGTGATTGTGTCTTTTAGGGCGAATATATTTCTCCTGATAAAATTGAAAATGTTTACATCAAATGTCCTTTCGTCGCTCAAGCTTTTGTACACGGTTCTAGTCTTAAGGTACTGGGGCGAGTTGTTGAACATGGCTGTGAAGTTTTGCTTGAAATTTTGATTTGATTCTTAATTTTTGAGATTTGGATTTGCAATAAAAATTACGATATCTTTGCTTACTGCTGAGATCAAAATTCGTCTCAATTCACTAACTTTCTTATGGGTTGAGATTTGAAATAAAAATTGCTCTTGATTTGCCAGTCAGGAAACGTTCAGTAAAATTGATGAAAATGTACTTGCATTTATTTGGAATATTTATTCGCTTAAAATGTTTGGCTTTGATTTTTTTGATAAAAATAAGAATGAATTTATGATTTCTTGTTTGCAATGTAGCATAATGTAATCTTTCGAATATTTAGTCATTTCTTGTTGGAATCATTGTTCCTGATGAAGAAATTCTTACAAAATGGGCCAAAGACAATAACATAAACAAATGTTTTGAGGAATTATGTCAGGATACGGTACTACATTAACATAGAAATTCCACATGTTTTCATTGCATTCAAACGCTTGTACTTTCTATTACTTCAAACTTCAGGCCGTCAATGACATGATTCTGAATGACATCATCTCCAGAGGAAAGGAAGCAAAGTTGGCGTCGTTTGAACAGGTTTTACTCGATAATTTTCTTCTGTAGTTTTATTTCACCTCATCTTATTTCTGTCATTATTTCAGGTCAAAGGAATTCATCTTCATTCGCAATTATTCACTCCAGATAATGGATTACTAACTCCAACCCTTAAGTCCAAACGATTTACGTTAGCGAAAAGATTTAATGATGAAATTGATCGTTTGTATGAAAAATTGGAGAAGATTCCAGCTAAGCCGAAACTTTAAGGCTCATGGCTGTTTTAGTTCGTTTATAGTTTAGTTTGATCGCTTGATTCTTCAGGGTAAAAATACATTGAAGACAAGGGTTTAAAAACTTGTTGCTCTTAAAATAGAATTTTAACGTCAAATTATACAAAATGCAAATAATATAACGAAGAAAGAGCAACTGCGGATTATATTCTTTAATGGGGGTTGTATGGTTATTGACCACTGAATCCTAGAAAGTTGTTTTCTAGTAAGAGATTTGGCTACAAAATTCAAAATGGAAGCAAAATTATTTCGGGGGTGGGTATAACTGCACAGTCCCCTTGGTCCCATACTAATACTTTGGAAGCATTAAACTAAGTTTAGGAAAGTTTAAATTGAATAAGACCTTAACCGTGTCGCATTTTAAATTCAAAAGACTTTTTAACAACATTAAAAGTTTATAAAGAATATTTAAGACTGAAATAATCACAATAGGATTCGCTCCAGAGTATTTTAAAATGGAAATAGATTTTAATGTATCCTGACCATCCATAGATCCGCCACTGGACCTAAATATTGTCGAACTAAAAATGTACGATGACTTGCAATATTATTCATGTTATGCACTTTAAGTAGCAATTTTTACTACTAAAGCAATTTCTAGGAACATTGCAAATCTTGAGGTGCTTATGTTGAAAATATATTTATTTGATAAATACAAAATAAAAAAGAAAACATTATTTCCAGTAGATTTGAGGTTGATACTTTATTTAATATCCTTCTTAATCCACTAAATAAATTGTCTACAAAATGCTAAAAGATTATTACATGGCTTAACACTTGTTGCTATAAAAACTTCCAGTCATTTAGCTGAACTTTATGCAAACATCATAAAAAATAATGTAATTTATGAGCAGTTAATGTTTGGATTACTTTTACTTACAACAACATTTTTTATCTTAACTGACATTTACAATTTCTAAATTAAGGTCTGTTTATTAATGGAGAGACGTAACCTGAGGCTTGTTTAAACGAAACGTTTTATTTATTTTTGTAGGGGTAGGGTAGCAATATTTGATAATTTTCTGTTTAAAGACAAGTCTGTGATGTGATATCAGCTTTTCATATTTTTTTTGTCGGAAATGAAGAATGATTTACGTGTCGAAAAACATTTCGTCTTTGGTAGGATCCCAACTGTTGTTTGGTAAGTGACAAAGACTCGTCAAGTTCTGTCTCACCTTTCATATAAACATGGTTCTTATAGTATTGTTTATTTTTACTACAAATATCTAGAATTATATCAACAAGTAAATAGTTACATTTATAGCAATGTTCACTGATTAATTTGATGTTGAAGATTGTCGTTAAGACGACTTTTTTCAATACGACGGGTGGGTTGAGTCGTAGTGGGTGATATTTGTTTTGAATAAGATTTTTTTTTACTTAATGTCCACGGCTTGTACGAACGAAATGACTCTTTAACATCAATAACATCAATAATTGTCTCAAAACGATTTTCTAAACATTGCTATAAATTGTTAAAAAGTGTAAAAAAGGTACTTTTTTCATTATGTTTTTCTGAAGTACAACCAAAAATTTACATGTTTACACAACATACAACATTTCTATCTCTGAATTATAACTTTCCCCAATCTCTAAGATCAAGAATTCTCAACTATTACACAACACAGCTGTGTAATCTTCACAAAAAGTTTGATTTTAAGATGACGTTCTTAAGCAAATTATTGAAAAAGGCAGAAAATTTAAGAAACTTAAGAATTGGGACCGGTTTCACGAAGCCTGGATAGCGTTGTGCATTGAATAGCAATTTTTTTAACTCTTATAATACGTTTTAAAAAGCAATAACTATAAGATTCTTTATAAGCAATCACTGAAATAAAACATTGCTTTTAAAATTACGGAATTTCTTTGTCGTAAAAAAATATAAACAACTTTTTTACAAGTTTTAAAATATTTGCTATCCAATGGATAACGCTATCCAAGGTTCCTGCCACCGGCCTCAGATGATCAAGTTATCAACAACTTTGCATGTTTCAGGTTGATGATTTAGGCGCGGAGTATGGAGGGAGGCATATTTTCACAATACAATATACTGCAAACATTTGCGGACTTAACCAGCAGAAAAATCTTAATTTCAAAATATACGTTCATAAAAATGTGAAGGTATGTTTTGAAATTTGAATATGTCAACAAATAAGTTGATATAATTTATCTACATTTGCTTCTGACCGCAAAATATTAATTTTGTTTGTATGAATGGGCCACCCCCCGGTAAAGAAGCTGGCTTTCTCAATAACCCTCACTTATCAAGTTGGTAAAGATACGATTATGAAAATTCGTTTAGCAAATTTTTCCTTGTCTATTTTGTTTAGAAAAAAATCGATGCTTTGATGGAGGCGTAGATTATAGTCATTATACATAAAAAATAAATGAAATGAGTTTTTATGACAAAAGTTTTCATTTCTTGTAACATCTCAACGATGCAGCCCTGGACCTTCAAAATAATTTCAGCTGACTTTTCACACTGTCGGTGATACTGTCGACTTCATTATCACTATTAGTGAAATTAACAACACACATAAATTACAAGCTACATTGTTAAACCATTTCATCATCACTTTCATTACTTTCAGATTGCCAAAATTCACTATAATCGCAATAATCGTCATCATCATCACTGTAATTGATTATAGATAATGCAAAGTCGTCACATCCAAATTATAAGGTAGATTGTACCTTGCCTGACCAATCGTTTAAACCGTCAATAGCGAGAACATTGATTTTACCATTTGGTTGAATACAAGTTATTTTGTAATCAGTAAGTTTAAAAATTTTAACTGAAGCTTCAGCTTTAAAGGATGTTACAAGTTTCCATTGAGTCAGATCAAACATGAACATGTAACCTGCAATATCTTGAAACAAAACATATTTGTTTCCTCCCATAAAATAGCAACACTTAACCATGCATGAATGCTTAAATTGAGATGCTTTTTCAGGAGCATTTAGCAACTCATAAAAAATTATTTTATTTTCTACACAACAAGCTAACATTTTGTCGTCAGACGACAGAATACAATGGCTACACTTCTCGTGTTTACTACCTGATTGAAATGAACGCGTGGTTGGTTCACTGGCTATATTTTTATCATAGTCATAGTCGTATATCCAAATTGATGTTCCTCTACACAAGATGATTATGCTGTTATACCTGGAAGAACAACAAGTGTCTACTTCTATCCAATCATTTTCAGAAAAAAAAGGCCTTAAAACTTTGTCTTTCACAAACCAGACGTAAATTTTTTGACGACAAGAATCCTTGTTATTGGTGCAAAATAGAATCAAGGACGAGTCTGGAGAAAACAACACAAAATGGAAATCTGATTCACCATTCTTCAGTTTATGAACTATTTCAGAAGTGGAGAAAGAGGAATCGGCGGAAAAAATTTTAAGTTCAGAATTAGAACATTTTACAAAATACCGTCTATCATAAGAGAATGTGCATTTATTTGCATCAAATATCTCTAACTTGGAAAAGTCTACGTTGTATTCATGAAAGTTTGAGTCGACGAACTTCAAAAAATCTGCAGGAAAGTCTTGTAATAAAATCATTTTTTCTTCGCCATTCGATCGAAATACAAACTTAACTCCCGCAGCAGAATTCTCGTCCATACAAAGCAAAGGGGAAAATCTGGAAACACTTTTAAAATGCTTGTTCCTATCCAAAAACCAAGCGAAAAGATTTTTTCTATTTTTGTAAATGATAGCGTTGTTATTATGTGTAAAACCAAATATATCTGAATTACCTTCCATAACACCATGGAGCTTGAAGCTATCATGGCTAGTCTCAGCAGTATTTTCCTTAAAGTGAACCTCGTCATGATCTTGAGAATGATCAAAATTGTACAAATGAAATTTACGTTTATGTTTAAGAAGCAACCAATTTTTGTAACAATTTTGAGAATTGTTTAGCTGTTTGTACAAACGAAATTTGCCTTCATGTTTAAGAAGCAACCAATTTTTGTCCCTAGACAAACAAACTACATCGCCCCAAATCAGATTATGTAAAGATATTGGCATGTTGTGAATGAAAACGGAGTCTTTCTTGACAATCGATACTTTATCTTTGAGAAGCCCAAAACGATTATTTAAATTAGATGGCCAAACCATATTTCTCTGGACGAACCTACGTTTCTTAAAGTAATTTCCCTGGAGGAACCTACGTTTCTGAAAGTAAATCCCCTGGTCGCAGATTTTTACATTAGATTTATCTTCATTAAAACGATTTATCAATAAATATCGGAGAAATTCTTTTGGAGACAATTCACCCTCTAACGTTTTATAAAGAGTATATGGAAAAAAATGCCATATGTAGAAGAAAGAATTCAGTTTCCATTGATTATTAAGATCGCTTTCACACATGAGCTTGAACACATGATCCCCTGTTTTGACATCCCAGATTTGGTGTTTGGAAGAAGTGGGATATTTCTCAGGAGTGACGGAAAATATACATTCATCATCAGGTCGACATTCAACATTTTCCGCTCTTACCGCTATGTAATTTACATGTTCATGTTCAACAAAAGAAGCCCAGTTATAAAATGTATCAGTTTGTGGAAATTGAGTTTTCTCAACTGTCATTCTCTCGTCTACGGAAAACCAGAATCTTAAAGTCCCAAAAAATATCCATTTGTCGTCAGGAGAGAATGCTAAGCAATGAATCTTGTCCACGTTTAACTGATAAGGACCAAATTTTTGTTGAAAAAAAGATGTTTCAAACAGATAAAGAACGTTTTCTTTTCCTCCTGCCAACAAAGTTCTGTCTGTTGAATAAGCATAGACGTCACACTTAATTTTTAAAATATTAATGTCGTCATTTGAAATAATATTCGGCAATCTACATTGGTTTGAATGCTTTGATATAATTGCTTGTCTGACCTTTGAGGATAACCTTGAAAGACAGGAGTCCAAAAGATGAGGGTTATCTACCAAATAAAAACTGTCATTTTCAAGAATAGACAGTAGTTCCTTAACAGTTTGTTTTTCATCTTCTTTTAACTCAATATTTCCAATTGCAAAGTGAATGTCATTTAAAAGGGAAAAAATACCTGATGTACTGCTTTCTATTCGTTGTTTGAGAAACTGATAGTTAGTAAAACACTGAAAAAATATTCTCGACAATTCAAAGTTTTTAGTTGAAAGATGAAATAGATAACGAAACTCAATTGTGAGGATGTAACAGACAACGGAATTTTCATCTGAGTTATTGAATGGTAGTCCATTCTCCAGGAATGATGTCAAAAGTTCGATGACAATTTCCTTAAAGAAAATTTGTGCTGCTGTTTTATCTATTACGAACTTTCGCGAAGCACGCTTTTTATCAGTGAGCCAGTCAGGAATAAGATTGTGAAGACACGTGAATTTTTCTTCATCACAAGGAAAAAACAGTGAAATAGCATCAATTACTTCTTGTTCGTCAAGATTTAAATTTTCTTTCTTTAAAAGAAATGGAATAAACGAACTAGGAAGAGGTGAAGGAGCAACCACTGCACAACCTAACAATTTTTTATAGAAATCTTTTCCAACTTTCTCATAAATACGTTTAAAATTATTAAGAAAGTAACCATCAATATCTTGTGGGCATTTTTCAAGATCCGTTTCAGATGAATCTTTGAGAATTTTGACAAGATAATGTGCAAACAAAACATTCCTTTACATTTTTTGTAATTTCTTTTGCAGAAAATGATTTACCAGTGAAGTCGACTTGATTTTCCAAAAAGTTTGAATATCTTGTTCATGTTTTTCATAAGCCTCATTATTCATCTCCTGAACAAATCTTTACACATGGATTGTAATTTTTCAAAGTAAATTGCGTGTAATCTACTGGACGTGTTGTTATAAAGAAAAGTAGCCATTGTGGAAGTTGGGGAAAACGAAAAGTTACCACATCAAGAAATTCATTTTTCGAATCATAATCTGCCTCATCTAAAGCATCGATCACAATGAGAGTTTTGAAAAGTCTTAAAATTACTTAATGGTTCTTCGAAAAACTTAGTAAAAAGTTCTTGAACGCCTAGTTTTTTATCGCTTAGTCGTTTTTGTATTCCAGACATCCCTCCCAATAATTTCAAATAATCAGGAAAATGTTTACCTAACTGATAAGCAACACTGGCCAGGAGAGATCTTGGATCACGACGTGTACCATCATAATGTCTACAAAAGAATGTTGCTCCTAACTTCCCATCATCCTTAGCGCGTTGAGCGATAGCAGCTGACATAACTGTTTTACCAACTCCAGCATCTCCCATAAATACAAAAGCTCTTGATTCTCCAGGTTCATCGAACCAAGCAGAGAAATCGTTGATCAACCATTTTCTTGTTTTGGATCAAATTTTTGGTAGTGTAAATTGATATCGCGGTCACAAATGGCGAAATCTATGAAAATACAATGTTAAAGTAAGTTTTATTTGAAAGACATCTCGTCTTCATTCTTTAATGCATTTCTATATATAGCACTAATGGTTTATTGTTAACATTTTGCAAATCGTTCACACTTTTTCAATAGCTTAGTTTGCTTAGGATTTTCAATAGTGTGTTTTGTGATGTTTAATTTATAAATCTGCACTTGAAATTTTGTAGTTTTAATAATATACCATTAATATTGCTTTGATTAAGTTGATCAACTGTGTCTTTAACTTTCTCAACTTTGTCTTCAACTTTCTCAACTTTGTCTTCAACTTTCTCAACACGTCTTTTTAACTGATCAATGCAATTCGAAAATTTGTCAAGCGTATCTTGCGCTAACTTTTTGGACTCTTCGTTTTCAAATTTCGTTTCTTCAACTTCTTTTAGAAGTCTGTTAATGTGATCTTTTAACTCTTCACATAAAGTACGATCGTTTGTCCACAATGTCAAAGCTGTAAAATGTAATTAAAATGGTGTTGATAAAATATATTAAATATACGATATACCGATATACCGGTATTGCTGGGATGTTTTAGATGAAGATGTTATAACTAATTTTTTGTTACATACGTTCTGCAAAACGTTAATAAAACCCACTCAATGATATAATAATGAAAAATATACCTTGATCTTTCCAATGATTTATATCATTCAAAACTTCATCTTCAGTTGCTAAACACAATTCTTTCACAAGTATCTTCATATTGTCGATTTTCTTTTGAAAATCTGTTTCGTTCCATTCCTCAAAATTGCAGTGACCCCAAGAATTTCTATCGTCTCTAACAATTTTTGCCACATTCTGGACCAGGTTGGAAAAAATTGGGATCCTTTCTAGTAAATTAAGCACTGCTGATGCGTCACAACTGTCGTAACTGTTAAACTTTGTCATGTGACTTAGAAGGAAAAGTTTTCCAAAGTCGACATGTGACTTAACTTCATAGTTGAATTTCTTCTTATCCTTTGCTTCATTATTGTTGATATTTTTATAATGTAGATTGTGGGAATATTTTGATGAAGGAAAGTTGTGAATCTTTTGAACATTAATATTATGAGATTTCTTTAATTCATCATACTCATTTAAAATATTATTTTCCAGGTAAGGTCGAACAGCTGGTATCAAAACATGATTAAGTACGATTCCATAAACACACCATCGTTTTTCATCATCATTTAACAACGTTGCCCTATAACGATCATCATTAATTATTGAGGGAAAATTGGAATACATGCACATAAATTGCCCTATAGTGATACATATGATTGACAGACACTTAACTATAAAAGATTATTAGCTAGCACGTGATAAGGACAATGTATGTGTGTACTTCATGTAGAGGCGTATTAAGAAAGCGTAAAACTCAGAAATGTATTGTTGGACAAAACCATTTAATTTGATCCAAGTTCATCATAATATAATATTATATAAGCAAATGATGGCGCAAATGTGTTATTACAGTTGATTTTTATTAATTCACCCTAAGATAAAACGATAAGTTATGAAAAATTCAAAAATTTGCGACGCATTAATTGAAATCAACTTAGAATTAATTGAAATTAAGCCAACTTACATTTTTTCATTTCATCAAACTTCATTAATGATTATTTCTTCATAAACTTTAAATGCCATAACGAATAACCATCTCCGTCGTGAAGTTTAAATTTACCTGTGAATATTCAAGTATGCCATTTCATTAACAATATAGACTAGACATTACATCAATAATTTAGTGTAGAAATACAGCATGAAGTTAGCACAATTTAAAACCATTGAGAGACAAAAAGAACTTTATTGTATTTGATGAACATAAGTCAAAGAGAATTTGTTTTTTATATTACATCTTGGACATCACAGACGATAATTAACCGTTGTGTGATTATATTCTTTCATTGGTTTTAAAAAGAGAGAAAAGAAACTAGAAATTTAAGAAATTCATCAAAATATATCTTTACTTGTAACGTACCTTTATTAAACTTTATATTTCACAGATCTCGTTACAAAAATCTTGTTAGTTAAAAGAATGCTCAATAATGAACAGTGGTTTACTACGTGGCAGTATGCATAAATGATTATGATAATGACAAAAATCTGTGGGAGATCATTCAACAATGCCTTAATACAAAACAAACAAAATATTTTACACGTTTTCTGACAGCATTTTATCCATTGGAGTTTGGAAAAAGTTTTCAATTCCCTCTCGACTGCTAATTCTTATAACCATTTATTTTTTGTCTTCTCGCATCAGCCTGTTTCAACCTTCTCGTAATAATAGACGTGGTTACGTAAATTCTTCTCATTCTGGTACTTCTAGCTTTATAAATTACAGACCAATTTGCAAATCTGATGCAAGTGTCTGTATCCAGGATTTATCATCAGGTAAAATCATTAAGTAAAATATTGGACAGAAATTAAAGCAGACAATCGTAGGACAATATCTATAATAGCCATGTCATCATTCTCTAGTAATCTTATTTTTCTAGTCATGTTAAGGCAACGACTTCAATGAGATTTTGATCTTATCCCGTCATTCGTGTTTAACCGAAGGAGAATGTTCTCTGTCTATTGTACATAGTTTCTATTTTCCTAATGAGCGGTTTGCTAATCATTATTCATCATGTTAGATTTAAGCCTAGGCCACACTATCGTCTATATCGACGAAAATTAGAACGAAAACTGCCGCAACGAAAACTTTGAACGAAAACTCAACGAAAATTTCGTTATAAAGTAAATGGTTTGAACCAATTTACAAACATGAAAATTTCGTTTTCGTGCATATGAGAAGAGTTGAAGTTTTGACCTTTTTCGTCAAAGAAAACGCATACTATTGTCTAGTAATATCAGACTTTGTACTCAAACATGGCGGAGTGGCAAGAGGTTTTCATAAATCTGATGCGAGAAAAACCAATTTTGTATGATAAAAGTCACCCGGATTATAAGGACTCGAGGAACAAGAAAAGAAATCACTGGCAAGATGTTTTAGATGAATTTCATAAAATTACTGACTTGGCGTGGGATAGTGAGTATTATTGATAGTCCGCCGACACACATTTTATATCAAATCATGCATTTCCATTATTTTTTAAACATTTTACAGTTGACACTATCATGAAAAAGTGGGCAAATCTGCGTGATTCATTCATGCAGTACAAAAGGCAGTACGATCTTAGAAGAGCTAGTGGTGTTGCTGCCACTGACGAGCCGAATTGGAAATGGTGGCGACACTTTTATTGGTATTTGAAAAAGCAGTAACTTTTTCAATAAATATTTTATTGTTAAATGTATTTCCTCTATTTGAATAGGAATATCCTGGTGCAAAAATATCTCTGTTTTCAGAAGAGTTGGTGGTGTCATATCAAGGAATTACTACTGTTTATGAAGCATATGAGAAAGGAACTCAAATTTCTGGTTAATTAATTTTTGTGTTTATTTATTTTTGTAAGTTATTTGATGAAGTATTCATTTATTAATGCACTCTACAGGTGACCAGCCATATCTTGGTACGATAGTTAATGGGAAATATTCATGGTTAACACACAATCAGGTAGTTCTCATATTTACTACAAACTATATCTATAGTGCCTGAAGTCCTTATGAGTTATAGTTTGACCAAATTTTAGGTGCATCAAAAAGCACTTGCTCTGGGATCTGGGATAATGGAACTTGGCTATAAACCATCAACTGAAATGACATTTGGCATTTATGCTGTGAACAAATTGGAGGTTTCACACATTATGATTTTTGACTTAGATTGGTCATATTTTGATCTGTAATGTTTTATTTTATTTTTAGTGGATGTTAATGGACAGAGCCTGTGTTATGTTTTCCTTTGTATCTGTTCCACTGTATGAGAGTTTAGGTGTTGAAACATGTATCTACATCATTAACCATGGTATGTTTACTAAGAATGTTGGAGTTACTATGGTGATTAAGAAACATCTGTCGATGACACTTGATTTCAAATTATATTCAGCTGAGTTATCATTAGTTATGTGTGATGAGAACAAGCTGCCAATATTATTGGAGTCAGCTCATCAATGTCCTAAACTCAAGCATATTATAAAAATTGGTGATGTGACAAAGGACGAGAGAGAAAACTTTAAAAAACTTGGAATAACTGTAAAGTCATTTGAAGATGTTATGGTAAGAATTCTTTGTTGGATTTGGTTAATTAAGTACAAGAATTTGTCATGCTTAATGATTTGTGTTCATTTCTTAATTTTTAGTTAATGGGACACTGGAATCCTTGGAAAATGTCTGTATGTTATCTTTTCTAGATTTTTTCTTCTTTTAAAAATTATGTATTTGTTGAAAATAATGGTATTTTGTGGTGATTTATTTCAGCCTGCTAAACCTGACGATGTTTACACAATTTGTTTCACAAGTGGTACCACAGGTAAGATTTATGTGTAGTTTTACCTTGGGACAGATGAAAGTAGGGAGTAATTATTTCAGCCTGCTAAACCTGACGATGTTTACACAATTTGTTTCACAAGTGGTACCACAGGTAAGATTTATGTGTAGTTTTACCTTGGGGACGAAAGTAGGGAGTAATTATTTCAGCCTGCTAAACCTGACGATGTTTACACAATTTGTTTCACAAGTGGTACCACAGGTAAGATTTATGTGTAGTTTTACCTTGGGACGGATGAAAGTAGGGAGTAATTATTTCAGCCTGCTAAACCTGACGATGTTTACACAATTTGTTTCACAAGTGGTACCACAGGTAAGATTTATGTGTAGTTTTACCTTGGGACAGATGAAAGTAGGGAGTAATTATTTCAGCCTGCTAAACCTGACGATGTTTACACAATTTGTTTCACAAGTGGTACCACAGGTAAGATTTATGTGTAGTTTTACCTTGGGACGGATGAAAGTAGGGAGTAATTATTTCAGCCTGCTAAACCTGACGATGTTTACACAATTTGTTTCACAAGTGGTACCACAGGTAAGATTTATGTGTAGTTTTACCTTGGGACGGATGAAAGTAGGGAGTAATTATTTCAGCCTGCTAAACCTGACGATGTTTACACAATTTGTTTCACAAGTGGTACCACAGGTAAGATTTATGTGTAGTTTTACCTTGGGACAGATGAAAGTAGGGAGTAATTATTTCAGCCTGCTAAACCTGACGATGTTTACACAATTTGTTTCACAAGTGGTACCACAGGTAAGATTTATGTGTAGTTTTACCTTGGAACAGATGAAAGTAGGGAGTAATTATTTCAGCCTGCTAAACCTGACGATGTTTACACAATTTGTTTCACAAGTGGTACCACAGGTAAGATTTATGTGTAGTTTTACCTTGGGACGGATGAAAGTAGGGAGTAATTATTTCAGCCTGCTAAACCTGACGATGTTTACACAATTTGTTTCACAAGTGGTACCACAGGTAAGATTTATGTGTAGTTTTCCTTGGGACGGATGAAAGTAGGGAGTAATTATTTCAGCCTGCTAAACCTGACGATGTTTACACAATTTGTTTCACAAGTGGTACCACAGGTAAGATTTATGTGTAGTTTTACCTTGGGACAGATGAAAGTAGGGAGTAATTATTTCAGCCTGCTAAACCTGACGATGTTTACACAATTTGTTTCACAAGTGGTACCACAGGTAAGATTTATGTGTAGTTTTACCTTGGGACGGATGAAAGTAGGGAGTAATTATTTCAGCCTGCTAAACCTGACGATGTTTACACAATTTGTTTCACAAGTGGTACCACAGGTAAGATTTATGTGTAGTTTTCCTTGGGACGGATGAAAGTAGGGAGTAATTATTTCAGCCTGCTAAACCTGACGATGTTTACACAATTTGTTTCACAAGTGGTACCACAGGTAAGATTTATGTGTAGTTTTACCTTGGGGCAGATGAAAGTAGGCAGTAATTTGCAATCGCCAGGAGCTACACGGTTATGAGAGCACCTGCAAAAGCAAAGTCATTTTTCTAAAGAAATAAAGCCTTCATTTGATGAAACAACATGTTCGTAACGATTCGTCATTGCAAGAAAATCGTTGTAGAAATTAAATTTCGTTTAAAGCGCTTTTGTAAATAATTATTTTTTGAGTATTTTTCTAAATATGTTAGTTGAGGAAGGGGGAGAGGGTTGCCGCGAATCTTTGATCCGCCCTGATTTTAGGAGTCGTACCCCAGGTAATTCTCTTGTGTAGTTTCACCAGTGGTACGTATATTGAACTTTGGTTATGACGTTATTTTAGGACAACCAAAGGGAGTGATGTTGAGCAACAAGAACATGATATCCTGCCTCGCTGCAACTTTTATACATTTTGAGAAGGTTTAGTAAAATGAAGATAGTATCTTTGCTGTGTTCTTTAGTTTCAATTTCTCCATACTTTCGTCTTTAGAACGGCTACCCAGTGGATTCAAGTTTTGTTCACATACCCTATCTTCCGCTTCCTCACATGTACGAGAGACTTGTTATGGTAACTTAAAAATATTTTACTTCCTGTTTTAAGTTGTTCTTTTAAGCTAAAGATTTTTGTATTACGCCATCGTCATTTGTAAATGATTTTTTGCTGTGCTGGAGGTCGAGCTGGGTTCTTTCGTGGTGATGTGAAATTTCTTTTGGATGACATCCAGTTATTGAGGTAATTCTCTTGAAATTCATTCACTTGTTGTTGATCACTGTAAATCATACAATATGATGTGTGATTAATTTTTTAGGCCGACATTCTTCGCTTCAGTTCCTCGTTTGTTAAACCGTCTTTACGATAAGGTTATTCAATGTAGACAATCGTTGTTTGTTTGTGTGAAAGATTTGTTGTGCTCATTTGTCTGTGATTTTAATTCTGCAGGTTATATCAAATATTGAAAGTAGCAGTGGCTTAAAAAAATGGCTGTTCTACAAGGCTTTTGAGTCGAAGAGAGCGGACTTGAAAAAGTATTCAATAGTGAATGAAATAGCTTTAAGACCATTATGAAAATCTAAATATATTTATTTTCACTGTAGAGGTCAAATCTCCAAAATACTTTGTGGGACAAAATAGTTTTTCATAAAATTCAGGTACGATATAACGGACAGGCTGTTACGTCACCAGTGATTCCTGTTACGTCATCAGTGACTACTTGTTACGTCACCGGTGACTCCTGTTACGTCACCAGTGAGGGCTGTTTACTTCACTGGTGGGGGCTTTCTTCGTCACAGGTAAGAGCCCGTTACGTCACCGATGAGGCCCGTTACGTCAACATTTTTATACTCGTAAAACACTTCATTCGTTTCATTAAAAAAGCTTTTATCATGTTTCAAGGATATTGAGATCAGTGATTTTCCTTATATTTCCTGCTAATTGTTTTACTCTCACCTGGCCAATGAATTGTAAATTCCATTTCGCTGCACCGGTCACTCGCCGTCATTCTTTCGGGGGACTGGTATTGAAACTTACTGACAACTTTCTTCTTTACAGGCAATTTTAGGTGGAAATGTAAATGTCATTCTCACAGGTGCTGCTCCTATTGATGGTAAAGTTTTAGAGTTTTTAAGAGTCGTTCTTGGATGTTTGGTTCGTATTTATTTATGACATCACGTTTCAACTGTGTTACCATGGTTACATCTTATTTCTTTTTGTATTAAGATTTTTGAAGGTTATGGTCAGACTGAGTCTACAGCACTTGTTTCTCTGACAAATAAACTTGATCTTTCCCCAGGTACTACGTATTTCCGTATAAACACTTTTGTGGTACTTCATTTAATATGTAATATTGTAAACGTTGAGAAAATGAGCTAAAAAGTGAACACTTAATGTTCATTTCTATTGTTAGATTGTCACAATTACCTATGAACCCCATTCATATTATCTACGTAGGTACCAGGCCCTGCAGTTGATAGCACTATTATTGTAGTCATGTCCAGCTTTTGTAATCATTTCTTATTAATAATGGTACAATGTTTTCCTAAGTATTTTACACAATACAGAGGGAATAACTCACTAGGTATTTTTCAACATATTTTATCCATCTGTATACTTATAAGTGGCACAGTCTTATACATGTCTATACCAACAGGTGACTATATTTTATCCATGTATGTACCTATAGGTCACGTTGGATCACCTAGTGCCTGTAACTATGTGAAACTTGTTGATGTACCAGAAATGAACTATTTTATTTCAAACAATCAAGGCGAAGTAACGAATCTTAGTTTTTATTTTCTACTTTGCTAATGTTATGTTACGATTGTGCATTGAAAGAATGATTTTTGTTTTAAGATATGTGTCTATGGTCCAAATGTCTTCAAGGGATATCTTAAAATCCTGACAAAACATCTGAAATGTTAGATGATGATGGCTGGTTGCATACAGGTGATGTAGGAGAATGGAAACAGGTCAGTTGAAGTTACATAGTAGCAAAGGATGTAAAATAATGTTTTTTTGTTGTTATCGAAATTAATGTGGGAAAAATGACGTTAACTGGTTGTTAATTTTTGCTAAGACATTATCTGTAAGCGAATTCAGGAAGATGATAACTAAAAACAGACATTTGACTTCAAGAATTTTACACCAAATACGAAGCAAGTTCCTTTGAAAGAAATTTATTATAATTTATTATAATATATTAATATTAATTTTATTTCTCTAAGAAGGAAACGATAGGAAAAATATTTTGTCATCATGAACAATTTTTTGTATTATCGTACTTTCATGCAAATATAGTGTACATTATCTTTTACTTAATGATTAAGTATGTGGTGAGGTGCTCATAATGTTTCTGTTTTGTTTTATAGAATGGAACGCTTAAAATAATTGGTCGAAAAAAATGTATTTTCAAGTTGTCGCAGGTTTATAAAACATAAATGATAGCAACCATTATATATTTTGTTGTTTTTATTTATCTTATTTGTGATTGTGTCTTTTAGGGCGAATATATTTCTCCTGATAAAATTGAAAATGTTTACATCAAATGTCCTTTCGTCGCTCAAGCTTTTGTACACGGTTCTAGTCTTAAGGTACTGGGGCGAGTTGTTCTGCATGGCTGTGAACTTTTGCTTGAAATTTTGATTTGATTCTTAATTTTGAGATTTGGATTTGCTATAAAAATTACGATATCTTTTGCTTACTGCTGAGATCAAAATTCGTCTCAATTCACTAACTTTCTTATGGGTTGAGATTTGAAATAAAAATTGCTCTTGATTTGCCAGTCAGGAAACGTGTTTGTTCAGTAAAATTGATGAAAATGTACTTGCATTTATTTGGAATATTTATTCGCTTAAAATGTTTGGCTTTGATTTTTTGATAAAAATAAAATGAATTTATGATTTCTTGTTTGCAATCTAGCATAATGTAATCTTTCCAATATTTAGTCATTTCTTGTTGGAATCATTGTTCCTGATGAAGAAATTCTTACAAAATGGGCCAAAGACAATAACATAAACAAATGTTTTGAGGAATTATGTCAGGATACGGTACTACATTAACATAGAAATTCCACATGTTTTCATTGCATTCAAACGCTTGTACTTTCTATTACTTCAAACTTCAGGCCGTCAATAACATGATTCTGAATGACATTATCTCCAGAGGAAAGGAAGCAAAGTTGGCGTCGTTTGAACAGGTTTTTACTCGATAATTTTCTTCTGTAGTTTTATTTCACCTCATCTTATTTCTGTCATTATTTCAGGTCAAAGGAATTCATCTTCATTCGCAACTATTCACTCCAGATAATGGATTACTAACTCCAACACTTAAGTCCAAACGATTTACGTTAGCGAATAGATTTAATGATGAAATTGATCGTTTGTATGAAAAATTGGAGACGATTCCAGCTAAGCCGAAACTTTAAGGCTCATGGCTGTTTTAGTTCGTTTATAGTTTAGTTTGATCGCTTAATTCTTCAGGGTAAAAATACATTGGAGACAAGGGTTTAAAAACTTGTTGCTCTTAAAATAGAATTTTAAACGTCAAATTATATAAAATACAAATAATATAACGAATAAAGAGCGACTGCAGAGCATATTCTTTAATGGAGGTGGTATGGTTATTGACCACTGAATCCTAGAAAGTTGTTTGCTAGTAGGGGATTTGGCTACAGAATTCAAAATGGAAGCAAAATTATTTGGGGGGGAGGGGGATATAACTGCACAGTCCCCCTCGGTCCTTGATAAATGCATAGTAATACTTTTGAAGCATGGAACTAGGTTTCGGAAAGATTAAATTAAGACTTAGACCGTGTCGCATCGAGGGTAGCTCAAAATAAATTATAGAAGCTCATTTTAAATTCAAAAGACTTTTTAACAACATTAAAAGTTTATAAAGAATATTTAAGACTAAAATAATCACAATAGAATTCGCTCCAGAGTATTTCAAAATGGAAATAGATTTTAATGTATCCTGACCATCCATAGATCCGCCACTGGACCTAAATATTGTCGAACTAAAAATGTACGATGACTTGCAATATTATTCATATTATGCACTTTAAGTAGCAATTTTTACTACTAAAGCAATTTCTAGGAACATTGCAAATCTTGAGGTGCTTATGTTGAAAATATATTTATTTGATAAATACAAAATAAAAAAGAAAACATTATTTCCAGTAGGGTTGAGATTGATACTTTATTTAATATCCTTCTTAATCCACTAAATAAATTGTCTACAAAATGCTAAAAGATTATTACATGGCTAAACACTTGTTGCTATAAAAAGTTCCAGTCATTTAGCTGAACTTTATGCAAACATCATAAAAAATAATGTAATTTATGACCAGTTAATGTTTGGATTACTTTTACTTACAACAACATTTTTTATCTTAACTGACATCTACAATTTAAAAATTAATGTCTGTTTATGAATGGAGAGACGAAACCTGAGGCTTGTTTAAACGAAACGTTTTATTTATTTTTGTAGGGGTAGGATAGCAATATTTGATAATTTTCTGTTTAAAGACAAGTCTGTGATGTAATATCAGCTTTTCATATTTTTTTGTCGGAAATGAAGAATCATTTACGTGTCGAAAAACATTTCGTCTTTGGTAGGATCCCAACTGTTGTTTGGTAAGTGACAAAGACTCGTCAAGTTCTGTCTCACCTTTCATATAAACATGGTTCTTATAGTATTGTTTATTTATACTACAAATATCTAGAATTATATCAACAAGTAAATGATTACATTTATAGCAATGTTCACTGATTAATTTGATGTTAATATTTCGTTAAGATGTTTTTTACATAACTTAGTGTAAATTAGATTTGAAAAGATATTTACCATCTGTCCAGCTTTGAATAAATATTTAACATCAACATCTGGTTTGTCTAATAGTTTTCTAAAATAAATTGTTAAATTGTAAAATTAGTTTTCATAATATTATTTAAATTAGAACTTTAAAAATATTACCATCAGTTTGTGTTTTTAGCATGTTCTAAATAGAAGTCAAACATACTTACCATCTGTTTCAGTCTTTGTATAATATTTACCATCAGCTTGTGTTTTAGTATAATAGTTAGCTAAATTAGAAGTCAAAGCATACTTACCATCTGTTTCAGTCTTTGTATAATATTTACCATCAGCTTGTGTTTTAGTATAATAGTTAGCTAAATTAGAATTTAAAGCATACTTACCATCTGTTTCAGTCTTTGTATAATATTTATTTAAATTAGAACTTAAAGCATACTTACCATTTGTTTCATTCTTTGTATAATAGTTGGCTAATCTTGAAACAAAACATATTTATTATCAGCTTGTGTTTTAGTATAATATTTTAGTAAATTAGAAATCAAAGCATACTTACCATCAGCTTCTTGTTTTAGTATAGTAGTCATTAAATACCATCAGCTTGTGTTTTAGTATAGTAGTGATCTGATAGTTGTGTTTTATCTAAAGATCCTTGTATATTTACATTAATATCTGTTTTATCATATCCATAAAATAAGCTCATTTATATTATTACTCAGATTTTATATCCGGTTTATTATTTTTATGTTCATAAACATGTTTAATAGTTATCACACTACCCGATAGAAACCCTAAAAAAGGTAAAAATGGTGATACTTTTTCTACTAAATTGTACACATCTCGTTTTAAAAGATCGTCTGATTTAAGCTGTTTTGTTAATTCTTTGGGATCTTCAATAGCATCAAACCCTTTTAATATATCTGAAAATTTTGATATAACTAGATCAGTTAAAAACTCATTGGTTTTTTGTAATCGTTTTTTCTCGTATTCAGTGTACAATTTATCAATAATTTTTTGACTAGCTTTTTTAATGTAAGCAACTGACTTGTCTAAATCACCATCTTCAGCTAGTTTAAGTAGTTGATCTCTTTTATTAAAACTTTCTTGCGGCTTATCTTGTATATTATCATCACATACAGCATCTTTGATAGTATCATTTGCGGAATCAATCTCATTAATTATATCGTTAATTGTTTCAGGCTCTTTACGCTTTGGCATATATATTAACACATGTTTTATTGTGGAATAACAATTTTCCATTGGTATGGGTATACAAGTTGAATTTCTAAATGTGCATACTTATTATTTTTCAATTTTTTGGTTATTTCTTCTATATCATCTTTCTGAAAACCATAAAGATAATCATCAAATATTGTTTTCATGTCATTGCGGTTTGGATTATAAAATGTAACTAAATAACTTATATTTTCGCGATAAGGTTTGGCAATACTTGTCAATTGCTGCGTCACCATAATAGTAGATAGTCCATAATGACGAGCACTAAACCCTAATCGTACTAATTCTGATGTTCTATTTTTAACATCTAAGCAACTAGCAACATCATCGAATATAATAAGACTGTTGGTACCTTTATATACATCACTAACATATTTTAAAACAATATCTACCTGATCTTGGTCACATTCTACTTTAATTAAATCAGAATCATTTATATATTTCCATTCTTGATAGGTTTTATTGTATGATAGCGTTGGACATAATAAAATAATGTAATCGAAATGTCTATTAAAGTTTTTTTCTAACATTGTGAGAAGGTAATGACTTTTACCACAATTCGTCATGCCTACAATAATCATATTAACCCTTTCATTCCCAAATTATTAGCCGTGGCCAAAAAAATTTTTCTGCGCTATATATGCATAGAAACAATGTTAAATATGTCATGAATTTCATTACTAGTCTAAAAATTTATATTTTCATGGAATTAAAATTTTGTTGCCAAATGGCAACATTGGGAGTATAGTGACATAGCTCTATACTTAATACTCATGTTTATTGATTGACATTGAAGTGTTATAATGATTTTGCCTGTATTAAAATCCATAAAATTAACTAAAAATACAATTGATCAGTGAGGCTCCCATTTACTCCAAGTAAAAGAAAAAAATATGTACAAAATAGCAATACTACAAGTAAGAAATATTTACAACTATAACAATTTTACTGCCCAAATGCCTCTTTCTTTTAACATTTCTACCAACTGCACTGATGCAAACCAGTTGTCGAAATATATCTTGTAATCTTTGTGATCTGCCAAATTTTTGGTAAGTCTGAGTACAATATTGCCAGAGATACCAAGATCTCCTTCCAGTTTCATTTGCTTTCCAGAGTATATTTCAAAGTCATACATCATTCCGGATGCACCAGCCCTTGTAAAGACTTTGAAACCCCACTTATGGGGTTTGTTCTTATTGTATTGTTTCAGGAAACTGCGACCCTTGAAGGGAGTTATTTGCTCATCAATGCTGTTACCTTCTCTGGGTCAACTTTGAGCATGTTTTTTCTCAAACTGCTCAATAACGGTTGTATCTTGAATAAAGGATCATAATCAGAATGATTTCTTCCCGGCAGTTTGGAATTATCATTGAAATGCAAGTAGCGCAGGATAATTTCAAAGCGATTTCTTGCCATTGTTTCAGCAATAGGATTGAACCAAGAAGAATTTTCCCAGTACATTCTGCATGATGGTGCAGGAAACAGACCCATGTATAAGAGGATGGCAAAAAACTTCTCTATTTCATCATTTTGGATAGCACATTCCTTACCATCCTTCTGCATGGCATAAATATTACTTTGTTCAGTGCATTGTTTTATCATTTCAAAATCAAAGAACATGTTGAAATATTCCAAAGAGGAATGCAGTTGTTCAGGTGGATCTGGGACTGTATCATTGAAATGGTTTTCGGGAAAAGGAACATCTTTCTTTTGCCATTTACACTTTTTTGTCTTGCATCGCTTTGCTGGTTTAGATCGCCTTACAGGTTCATCATCATCTTCAATATCACTCACTTCACTATCTTCATGAACTGCATGAATTTCAATGTTGTCTGGAAGGGCAACAAAATCTCGATCCTCAGCATGGAAAATATCTTCCAGCTCATCATCACCATCATCAATGTCGCTTACATCTGATATTTCACCATTAGGACAAAAAATGAGCTCTACTGCTTCAGTCAAATCCATAACTCTCTTAAAAAGAATAAAAACATCAGTTATAGAAAGAAAATGCTTAGTTTATATCCAATTAACACTATTTCTACAGTGACATCTTCCAGAGATTGATCTTCCCATTGTTGCCATATGGCAACAACATTATACATTAGAAAATCTATGTGGGCCGATCGCGCTTTTAATAAAATAATTGCTTAAATATGACAAGGACCAATAATTTAATCAATTAATATTTTTATATATCACAAAACTAAACATATTATAATCAAACTTACCTTTGAAAATGCGCGAAAATTTGCTGTCACTTACTTCCGTAGGACACCATGTGAAATAGTCAATTAAACTAATATAAAAACAAATTTACGAAGATTTGCCTCACATATCACATCACCCACATCAAAACCTAAAAACGCTTGCCTGATTTTTGTTTTTGAGCTTACTTCATGTAAGCTATGTAGCATAAAAGACAATGTTCCCATATGGCATCATTGGGAATGAAAGGGTTAAAGGGTGTTTCCATTTATATATTACTAGTTATTTAGTATTGAATACTTTGTAAATCATTATTAACAAATTGAACAAGAGCATCACTAACAACATA